GCCGCCCAGGTGGTGCCCTTCGCCACGGGCGAGGCCAACAGCTTGACGGTGGCCATGTGGGTGCAATTCGCCCAGAAGGACGATCCCGGCATCTTCTTTTCGCTGTACGGAGTGGAGTCCGCACGCCTGACCCAACGCCGTCGTCTCCTGCTGCAGGCCCACTCCAGTGGAGTGCAGGTGTCGCTGTTTGAGGACCAATCCGATGCCTTCCTGAGCTTCGGCGAATACACCTCCGTCAACGATGGCCAATGGCATCATGTGGCTGTTGTCTGGGATGGCGTCAGCGGACAGCTGCAGCTCATCACCGAAGGATTGATTGCCAGCAAGATGGAGTACGGTGCGGGTGGCAGCCTCCCTGGCTATCTCTGGTCGGTGCTGGGTCGCCCACAACCCTATGGCGGCGTCAGCCATGAGCTCGCTTACTCGGATGCCGGCTTCCAGGGCACCGTGACCAAGACCCAGGTGTGGGCCCGTGCCCTAGACATCACCTCGGAGATCCAGAAGCAAGTGCGCGACTGTCGCTCGGAGCCCGTGCTCTATCCCGGTCTCATTCTCAATTGGGCTGGCTATGAGGTCACCTCCGGCGGTGTCGAGCGCAATGTGCCCTCGCTGTGCGGACAACGCAAGTGTCCTGTGGGCTATACCGGTGCCAATTGCCAGCAGCTGGTTGTGGACAAGGAGCCGCCAGTCGTCGAGCACTGCCCTGGGGATCTGTGGGTCATAGCCAAGAACGGTTCGGCCGTTGTCACCTGGGATGAGCCGCACTTTAGCGACAATATTGGAGTGACGAAGATCTACGAACGCAACGGACACCGCTCGGGCACGACTCTCCTCTGGGGCACTTATGATATCACCTACATAGCCTCAGATGCGGCTGGCAATACGGCCTCCTGCAGCTTCAAGGTTTCGTTGTTGAGTGAGTATCTAAAGAAACAGATTTCGATTCGGAAACTATTTATTTACATATACAAATTTTGCGCTTGCAGCTGACTTCTGTCCGGCCCTGGCTGATCCCGTGGGTGGCTCGCAGGTCTGCAAGGACTGGGGCGCTGGCGGACAGTTCAAGGTGTGTGAGATTGCCTGCAACACGGGCCTACGCTTCTCCGAGCAGGTGCCCGAATTCTACACATGCGGAGCCGAGGGCTTCTGGCGTCCCACGCGCGAACCCTCGATGCCCCTCGTCTACCCATCCTGCTCGCCCTCGAAGCCCGCACAGCGTGTGTTCCGCATCAAGATGCTCTTCCCCTCGGATGTGCTGTGCAACAAGGCGGGACAGGCGGTGCTGCGGCAAAAGGTGACAAACTCTGTGAATGGATTGAACAGGGACTGGAACTTCTGCTCGTATGCCATTGAGGGAACGAGGTTTGTGGTTGGGCTAGCAGCAAGCTTTGATCTGTAATTAATCTTTCTATTTCTACTTTTATTTTTATTTATTTGTGGTGTGGACAGGGAGTGCAAGGACATTCAGATCGATGTCAAGTGCGATCATTATAGAGGGGCGCAGAACAATCGCGTGCGTCGCCAGGCCAAGGATGGTGGGGTCTATGTGATGGAGGCGGAACTGCCAGTGGTCAAGTAAGTAGAGAGCCCCAGAGAAGGGAAGAAGAGCCTGTAGAAACAACTAGCATGTCGTGTCGTGTCGTGTCGTGTCTTGTCTTGTATATTATGTTTTGTGTGTTATATGTTATATGTTTTATGTATTGTATGTTCCGTTAACCCACCAAAAATTTACAGCGAGGATAATGACGATCTGGCACTGACGGGTCGCCAGGGACGCCAACAAACTGGCGGTGATACATACACCCTGGAGATAGCCTTCCCGGCTGTAAAGTATGTCCATGTCCATAGCATTCATTTGTTTTGCCGTTCATGCACCCCGATATATGTATCTGCCCAGCACCAATCCACCAAAACCAAACCAAAACCAAGCCAATCGCCATGCAAAACCACTTTCTAATGCTTTAGCTAACACCATAATCACATGTCTATGCGTGCTAACCCCCCTAATTAAATGCAGTTTTCTCTTTGTCTATTTAAAGGATACACGATAAATATTACTTGCTTAATAATATGTCAGTAGACATCTGAAGGGATCTTATCCCATAGATACCTCAAATCAAGTGATATTTATCGCCTAAAATTGAGCTAGAAACTGCTAAAATCCACCATTAACATTTATTTTATATCAAAATCTGAAGATATGAAACCATAACTAACTTTGGATTTTTTTGCCGATTCTTTAGCGATCCTGTGGTCCATACATCGACGGGCGAACGGTCCAGTGTCAAGCAGCTGTTGGAGAAGCTCATCCTCGAGGACGATCAGTTTGCCGTGCAGGAGATACTGCCCAACACAGTGCCCGATCCGGCTTCCCTGGAGCTGGGCTCGGAGTACGCCTGCCCCGTGGGTCAGGTGGTGATGATACCCGACTGTGTGCCCTGTGCCATTGGCACCTACTACGACAGCGCCAACAAGACGTGTATTGCCTGTGCCCGCGGCACCTACCAGTCCGAGGCGGGCCAGCAGCAGTGCAGCAAGTGTCCGGTGATTGCTGGACGTCCCGGTGTAACGGCCGGACCTGGAGCCCGGTCGGCGGCCGACTGCAAGGAACGCTGTCCGGCTGGAAAGTACTTTGACGCGGAGACGGGTCTGTGCCGCTCCTGCGGCCATGGATTCTATCAGTCGAACGAGGGAGCCTTTGGATGCGATCTGTGCGGCCTGGGACAGACCACACGCTCGACGGAGGCCACCTCGCGCAAGGAGTGCCGCGACGAGTGCAGCTCTGGCCAGCAGCTGGGAGCCGATGGTCGCTGCGAGCCCTGCCCACGCGGAACCTACCGCCTTCAGGGCGTACAGCCCTCGTGCGCCGCCTGTCCATTGGGACGCACCACGCCGAAGGTGGGTGCCAGCTCCGTGGAGGAGTGCACCCTGCCTGTTTGCTCGCCCGGCACCTATCTGAATGCCACCCTCAACATGTGCATTGAGTGCAGGAAGGGCTTCTATCAGTCCGAGTCGCAGCAGACCGCCTGCATACAGTGCCCGCCCAACCACAGCACCAAGATCAGCGGCGCCACCTCCAAGAGTGAGTGCACCAATCCCTGCGAGCACATAGCCGAGGGCAAACCGCACTGCGATGCGAATGCCTACTGCATCATGGTGCCAGAGACCTCGGACTTCAAGTGCGAATGCAAGCCTGGCTTCAATGGCACGGGCATGGCCTGCACGGATGTGTGCGACGGCTTCTGCGAGAACTCTGGCGCCTGTGTCAAGGATCTAAAGGGTACACCCTCTTGCCGTTGCGTCGGCTCCTTCACGGGACCCCATTGCGCCGAGCGCTCAGAGTTTGCGTACATTGCCGGCGGCATTGCCGGTGCGGTGATCTTCATCATCATCATTGTGCTGCTCATTTGGATGATTTGTGTGCGCTCGACCAAGCGCCGCGATCCCAAGAAGATGCTCACACCCGCCATCGATCAGACGGGTTCGCAGGTGAACTTCTACTACGGCGCCCACACTCCCTATGCGGAATCCATAGCGCCCTCGCACCACAGCACCTATGCGCACTACTACGACGACGAGGAGGATGGCTGGGAGATGCCCAATTTCTACAACGAAACGTACATGAAGGATGGTAAGCGATAAAAGTGTTTGATCTTGATTTATTTGCTTAATTAATATTGATTCTGTGTAGGTCTGCATGGTGGCAAGATGAGCACATTGGCCAGGTCGAATGCCTCGCTCTATGGAACTAAAGAAGACTTATACGATCGACTGAAACGTCATGCCTACACGGGCAAGAAGGGTATGTAGGGGCTGTACTTATGTGCGCTTTGGTCCTTTAGATATTTATTGTATTCTCTTGTGTTCTTTATTGCAGAAAAGAGTGATAGTGATAGCGAAGTGCAGTAAACAATAAACAACGAATGCAAGAAGCTGCTTTAATGTAAAATGTGGTCATAAAAAATACAACAAAAACCAACAACAAACACACACACACTTAGATCAAGGGAATGTTCCAACACTGCCCCCCGAAATACTCATTGGAGGAGAGCCTTGCATTGAATCACCGTAATTGCTGTTAAAAATCATCTAATCTATCGTTTCCGAATGTCCAAATGTCAGCCAATGCAGCAATTACGTGGCTTAATGCCAGGCTTTAAGAGAGAAGCTGCTCGAAACGAAACAAAGCAAAGAGAAATCTGAAATCTTGACTAAGTAAACAACTCCAATATGTGCTCTTTAGGTATGCAAACTAAATGCTAAATGAAATTAAGTCGAACTTATATGCATAATATACATAATATAATAATGAAATTATATTGTTTTAATCTTAAGTATTATTTACCTATACCACAACTCGAATCGAAATCATCTTTGCTTGACAGACAAGCTACCAAACTGCAATACATACTATATACTTTAAACTATACATATATTATATACTATATTTAAATATAGATTCTTCCAACCAATATAGATTGTGTGTCCAAACTTGTTGAACCGATTCCGCGAGTACTGTAACAAGCAAATCAAATATAGTCGTTATTTTGTAATTTAATAAAAACAAAAATCAACTTAATTATTATGTATGTATGTATGTATGACAATTAATTTTATGAATTCTCGTGTATAAAATAAAAAACATCAAAACAAATGAAACTAATTTGTTGCCAGTGCATTTGTTTTTATTTTAAAAAGTATCACCGAAAAGTATCGATTTCGGTTCAAGCGGCCAAAAATTGTAGAACCCACACACAAGCACAGTATGTGAGCACACATGGCACACACACATTTACGTAACCTGGAAACGAAACTCAAAACGGTTTCGGAAAATAAAAATTCATAAATATTTTGTCGTGTCTGTGTACACACACGCACTTGCAATTCTCGGCTTGCTTTCGCATCTCGTCATCTCGGCAGACTTTTAATAAAATATGCAACACAGCCAGGTGTCCACTATATATGTACATATATGCAAATATCCATGAAATGTTGTTGACCGGTCTCCGGGAAAATTACATTTATTTTTAATATTTCTTGGTGGCAATGGTATGGAAAAGATGCTCCACAAAGCTCGCCGTCTGCGCTTGTATGAACACATACATCTTGTGGATCATGATATCCTTGATATCCTCATCTGATTTGTGTTTATTGAGCAGCACAATGACATAGCGTGCCAAAGCCGACGAATCCGCATCGGATCTGTAATAAAAGTATGCGTTAATTTGTGAAAATTACATGTAACAGTAGTAGTAACTTACAATGGCTCCAGCTCCATGGTCAGCCATTTCTTGCCGGTGTACGTCAGAATGTAGGCACCCGCAATGCGTAAGTTAATTGTAATCCGCAGCTGAATATTTACGAGGATCCTGTTCTATTTTACAATTACGAAGTTTGTGGCGCCCACTTTCTGCAGTTCCATTTAGCTATCGTATATCTATAATTTACAATTCTACAATATCTTGGCGCCATCTGGAGTAATTCAAAACCTCCAATGCAGCGCTGCGATACATTGCCGCGAATATTTCAAATTAAAAATTTATGTCGAGAAAAATACAGTGAGCGCCTTAACCAGGACAAATTGATCAGCGAAAACTAATTAAATCAAAATTTATAAAAATAAAGAAAATATTTAAAGAGTTTGTATTTTTTGATTTCACATTCTCGAGGGACATGCAAAGATATGTTTTAATAGAAATATATTTTGTATGTGTGTGTGTTTGTTGCGCAACTATTTGCCACCTTATGCCTTTTGCCACCTTCTGTTCGTCTCAAAAACAGGACAAACTTACAAAATAAAAGCGGAAAAAATGATGAAAATATTTTAAAAAGGACAGAAAAAACAGGACATTTTTTTTATATAGATAGGGCATTTTAAGTTATAGAAGCGGGTTTGATCCTTTTCCTCCTTCATATGAGGAATTGGTACCTTTTTTTATTAAGTTATTTTTCGGTCGGTTTTTATAGTTCTGCCAACATTCACCGTTGCAGCGTAATAAAAACAAAGTAAAGGAAAATTTTAACAATTGACACAGATTTCCTGTCTCCTTGAAACTATATTAAACTATATTATATAATCAATTCAATACCATAAAATGGCAGAAAATTACCATAAAATATCAGAATGGGACAGAAAAATAAAATATCACAGTTTAATCCATAGCCAATGATCCGTGAAGGATGTAAATCGTATTTAAAGATCTGCAGGGTCCAAAGAATTAAACATTTACATAAAAATCGCCCGAACATGAAGCTGGAACTGATACTGTTGGTCTTCCTCGGATTACTGTCGCTTAGCCAAGAAATAATGTCAATAGTAATCGTAGGACCCAAAACAGTTCAACGCGATGTGGGCATTTCCGCCAAATAGTCAATCAGGACCGAAAAATAAAATGTTCATAACCATCGTATTTTTTATATATGTATACTTATAGAGAAATGTAAAAATTTGCATATTACAATGGTTCCATAGCATATCTCAGTTGTTTTCATGAGGGAACTTGCCTGAAAACTATCTACTTTTAAAGGCATTTTTAATTATTTCATATGCAAAACATATATTATGTTTGAACTCTCTCCGCCAAAACTCTTTATTGAAATCTATTAAAGGAGAAAAATGCAAAGAGACCGAAAAAAGTTCAATTAACAAAGACTTTATTTTGCTTCTTATCTATGCTCTAATCATACTTTCGCGACCGAAAACATATTTTTATTGTAATTACTTCGCATTGAATGCGATCAGATGGCTGAAACTACATGTGTATTAAGTAAGATTGGCGAAACTAATTTATATAAAAACGAGAAGGAACGTGTGAGTCGCTTCTGGGGACGCGACTCTACTTATACCCGTACTCAGTCAGTATATACATTTTTCAGCTTACATTTTTTAGAATTTTTATACCCGCACTCAAAAAGAGTTAAGGGGTATATTAGATTGTTGGTAAAAGTGGATGTGTGTTACGCAGAGAAGGAAACGTTTTCGACCCCATAAAGTATATATACTCTTGATCAGCATCAATAGCCTAGTCGATATAGCCATGGCTGTCTGTCCGTCTGTCTGTCTGTCTCGATGAGCGCCTAGATCTCAGAGACTAAAAGAGCTATGGTAACCAAATTTGGTTTTCTAGACTCATGTGATATTACACTGCTACAAGTGTATTTCAAAATTTCGCCCCGCCGCCTTCCACCCCAAGTTCGTCTCCAGCAGTGTCATAATGGCATCAGGGGATCACAAAAATGTCGTATGATAATAATACAATCAGTTTCAAGTATTTTATTTCATGATTTTATGTATGTTTTCACCTTTTTGCACAACCATTCATTTTAGCGCCAAAATTTGATTTTTTAAGTACAAGTTTTTGTTGTTCTTAGAGGTGATAGTTGCGCTGATAGGCAGAAAAGTGCAAAAATGTGCAGTTAAGCGCAAAAGCAATCGAATATATCGAATAGACGCACATGAATCAGAGACCGACGCAACTTTTTGCCACCACTAGGGCCCTATGCTTAGCCTATGTAAAAAAAACTGCGTCTCCGGCAAGACGCAAAGAAGCATGACGCAGTCCCAATGTAAACAGCCTATCAAATTACCCGCAAAGTCAGCCATTTATGTGCTCTCATTTTGCGTCCATCCATTTTCCACCGAGTTGGCATCATCTGCTATCTGGTCATACTAATTTTCTGCAAACGGGCGCCGGTTATTGTTTAATTTTAATTTCAGCAATGGCCGATGATGACGATCCTCTACCTCCATGGGACGAGCGCTCATGGAACAAAGACCTACCTGTTATGTTTAGAAGATGGGTAGAAGTTCAGGGCCATGCAAGCTCTTCAAGCTCTTCTTCCAGCGATGTAAGTAATTACTATCAACATATATTTTATATATTCATTTATTTATATTTTTTAGAGCGAACCAGAATTGCCGAAAAACTATGCTGAAAACTTCGTTATCATACTAGCTCCAGAATGCAGTGCACACCGCTGGTCACACACTGGCCGCTCCAAGAATATCAGGGGTGCCACAGAAATTCCATTCCGCTGTGCCACACACCGATTTTTCAGCGGAATCAAAATCGCTCACAATTTATCCAGCGATTTGATTAAATACACCCATAAAACACACCTAAAACGATTCTAATCTTACTTTCCCATAATTGGTGGTTAACCCTCATCCAAATAATTTAATATCATACATGTTAAGTTAATAAAATAAGCATTTTGCAAATCACTATTCAATCTGCTGCAGAGCGGAAAAATCGGTGTGTGGCACGGCGGAATGGAATTGAGGTGATTTTCCAGCGGAAGTGATTTCTGTGCACCCCTGAATATCTGTCTGGAAAAAAGCTAAAATAGCATCACTGGTGCAAATATATATGTACATAAATCTGTACATAAATCTGTACATATACACAATGAATTCATTTTGCTACATGGCAACTACACAGGTATGAAATTGTCACGGAGACACCTACACCTGACGTAAAAGTAATGTAAAATATCCAGCTGTTCTGTACAGTTCGCGCTGCAGCCTTTAAATCTCTGAAAATGGTAATTATGAATATGCGCATCAATCCAAATCAAATCCCTTTTTAACTCGGTTTCAAATGCAGCGTCGCAGCCTGGCTCCCAGCCAACTGGTGGGACAACGACCCGTGCCCCGGAATGATTTTACGCCACCACTGCTCAAGAAAAACAAACGTGCTTGCCAACAGGAGCTGGAACAGGATCGAATCCGCCAATCCGCCTTGCGAGATGCCACCAACACATCGGACATACCACTGCCCATACGTTTTACTGCCAATAGCGAGTATGAACAGGCGATTGCCAAAGTTCTAGCCAGGAAATTCCAAGTCCCCATTGACAACTATGTCCCGGACTACGGCGGGAATCGTTGTCTTGGCGTGCGTCGCATCATCGTGAGACGACCGCTGCACGATCCGCTGGCCTGCAATGCCTTAGTTCTGTACCATGCACCCAACTACACGGACAACGAGCGGATGTCGATGGAGCCTACATCAGTTCTGGTTCATGTTGTGGTGGATCCCATACTGAGCAACGTTCTGCGTCCCCATCAGCGCGAGGGCGTCCGCTTCATGTACGAGTGCGTGGAGGGGAAGCGGGGCAACTTCAATGGCTGCATAATGGCCGATGAAATGGGGCTGGGCAAGACCTTGCAGTGCGTGGCCCTGGTGTGGACCCTGCTAAAGCAAAGCGCCGACTGCAAGCCCACAATCAACAAGTGCATCATTGTCTCGCCCTCGTCGCTGGTGAAAAACTGGGAGAAGGAGTTCGCCAAATGGCTGCACGGCCGAATGCACTGCCTGGCCATGGAGGGAGGCTCCAAGGAGAACACCGTGCGTGTCCTCGAACAGTTCTCCATGAATGCCTCCTCGCGTCTCGGAACGCCCGTCCTGCTCATCAGCTACGAAACCTTCAGGATCTACGCAGAGATCCTCTGCAAGTACGAGGTGGGCATGGTCATCTGCGACGAGGGCCATCGGCTGAAGAACAGCGACAACCTGACCTACCAGGCCTTGATGGGCCTCAAGACAAAGCGACGCGTCCTGCTCTCTGGCACGCCCATACAGAACGATCTCACGGAGTACTTCAGTTTGGTAAACTTTGTAAATCCGGAGATGCTCGGCACGGCAGCGGACTTCAAGCGCAACTTTGAGAACTGCATTTTACGGGGCCAGAACGCCGACTCCACGGACAAGGAACGGGAACGGGCCATAGCGAAAACTCAGGAGCTGATCAAGCTGGTAGATCAGTGCATCATTCGGCGCACCAACCAAATACTCACCAAATACCTGCCCGTCAAGTTTGAGATGGTTATCTGTGCCAAACTGACCTCCATCCAGCTACAGCTCTATACGAATTTTCTCAAATCGGATAAAGTTCGTCGCAGCCTAGCGGGTAGGTGGCTCGCTCTGTAGCTGTTTCACTTTATTTCCCTCACTTTCCTTACAGATTGCAATGAGAAGGCTTCTCTCACGGCCTTGGCAGACATCACAACCCTCAAGAAACTGTGCAGCCACCCAGATCTCATCTGTGAAAAGATTGCAGCAGGGGAAAAGGGCTTTGAGAACTCGCAGAATATACTTCCCAGCAATTACAAGCCCAAGTATGATATTCCTGATGTATATATGGGGGCTAGCTAATGGCATATCCTTTCAATTTGCATTCACAGAGGTGATATCAACCCAGGGCTGAGTGGAAAATTCATGCTGCTAGACTTTATGCTGGCCGCCATACGAGTCCATGGCAACGATAAGGTCGTGCTCATTTCAAACTATACACAGACTCTGGATCTGTTTGAGCAACTGGCACGCAAGCGCAGTTACGGGTTTGTGCGCCTTGACGGCACAATGTCCATAAAGAAGCGATCGAAAGTTGTGGACAGATTCAATGACCCGGAGTCGGACTGTTTCCTCTTCATGTTGAGCAGCAAGGCGGGGGGCTGTGGATTGAATTTGATAGGAGCCAATCGCCTGTTCATGTTCGATCCGGACTGGAATCCGGCCAACGATGAGCAAGCCATGGCCAGAGTGTGGCGTGATGGCCAGAAGAAGCCCTGCTACATCTATCGTCTTGTGGCGGTAAGTTTCTGAAAGACTTACCTAAGAATAATAGCTGGATAATAGCATATGACATTCCAGAGCGGTTCCATTGAGGAGAAGATTCTGCAGAGGCAAACCCACAAGAAATCCCTGTCCAGCACGATCATTGACAACAACGAATCGGCCGAGAAGCATTTCACGCGCGACGATCTTAAGGATTTGTTTAGTTTTGATCCAAGCATTCTGTCCGACACGCACGACAAGTGAGTACAAGGAAACAAGGAATTATTGCTGCTGCTTAATGTCACGATCCATCCTTTTTTGCAGGCTCAAATGTAAGCGCTGTGTTGAGAATGTCCAAACGAAGCCGCCGCCGGATGACACGGACTGCACCTCGCATTTGTCCCAGTGGTACCATTGCTCCAATAATCGTGGCCTGCCAGACGACATACTCGCCCAAGCCTGGACGGACAGTAAATGCGTCTCCTTCGTGTTTCATCATCGATCTCAGACGCAAAAAATTGAAGCAAAGCTTTCGACGGAAACGCCAGTGGAGGGGGAGGTGGAGCCGGAGACCCAACGACGAAAGCGTTCAGCAACGCCCCTAAGCGATGACAGTGCTGATGAGGATTTTATTGGATTCTAGCGATTGTTTCACGTTTATTTGCTTCTGTCAATCAAACCTGCAATCTTCTCCTCGTTCTTAACAATTACCATAGAATAGTTTTAACATTAAAAATGTGGAACTGCCGCAAAATTCAAACGTGCTAGGGATTAACCATCTGCCATAACAATCAGTCGGGAAAGTGTGTGTTCTTTTGTTTAAATACTGATTCCATTACAATGCTACCCATTAAATGTAATTGTACATTTCGCGAGCATAGAATTTGGGAAAACTTAATTTTGTGTATATCTAGATGACAGACTGCTTGTATCGCGAAAACGAAACATTTCTGTAAGCAACCATCGCATCTCTAGCACGTTCTCACGTATTCAGCAAAAATTTAAACATAAATTAAAGCAAAGTTTAGATTAAAATCTTGTTATATAATAATATATATAGTATACTATATATATATAGATGTATGTATAAGTAATAAACCATTCGCAGTGCTAACACAGTCAATAGAACACGTTGTTTGTATTCCGAGTTGCCAAGGAGCCTTAAACATCAATGATTTTATGCTCCTGCCCCAGCTCGACCCAGACATTGCTCTTCTCAGGCGGTTTCTGCAGTGGCAATGGCACCTCTTGTAGCTCGGCCAAAAATTGGCCGATTGCTTGGTAGTACCTGGAATTGAAAGCAATGAAACGACTAAAAAAATGGAATTAAAGGGTAGTCTGCCCGCGCCATACCCATCCACTATCCAGGTGTCGTTGTGGGAACCGCCGGGGAACTCGAGCAGACGCTTCAGCTCACTGCCACATTTGGTATACAAGGCACGCATCATACGCGGTGGCACTAGGTTATCCGCAAGGCCCGATATGAACAGAAATGGATACTAAGGAGGGAATGACAATTGAGAAGGTGATGACCATTCTATAGCTAAAAAAAGGAAACGAACTTACCTTATTCTTATAGAGTAGATTTGGTATATACTTCACCGACGGATGCACCAGCTCCACAGCCATGTCGGGTATGCTGCTGAACGTGTTCTCCACAATGGCGCACATCAGCTTCTGGCCATAGACAGCATCAGCGGCCACATCGACGACGACGGCGCCGCCAAGAGAGCGCCCAAAGAGGATCAGTTGAGAGTGATCCAGATCATGGCGTGTGTGGAGATAGTCAATGGCAGACCGAGCATCGGTGACCAGGCCGCGTTCCGTGGGTACGCCAGTGGACAGGCCATAACCCCGATACTCTACCATCAGAATGTTGCAATGTAGATGGTGATAAATGCCCCAAACCTGAAGTAAGATAAGACTTACTGACATGAAAGGAAATACGATAGGTATGGGAGAATTGACTTGCATTTTGCATGCGATGTCCCATGTTCCCAGCATTGCCATGAAAGTAGAGCACAGTGGGAACGGACTTGCAGCGCTCCTCCGGTTGGCTTATCCAAAAGGCGTGCAACGTAACATCGTCGGGCGTGTTGATGCTGACTGTGATGTGCGGCAAGTTGTGCATGGTGGGAATGGGTATGTAAATGCGAGAGTTGGTGGGCAAATCCGGATGATACAGGAGCAGGTCTTGGGCGTAGTAGAATATCACTGCAACGAGACAATACACTTAGTGGATGACGTTCTCTGAACATTACTTACTTGTATATTTTTGTACGCACACAGGAGAATAGAAGCAATTAGTAAAAAAGTCATGTAACCCCCATAAAAGTAGTAAAAAATGAAGCATAACAATAACGCAGCAACTATCCCGACACCCACGCCTCGAGACTTGGGCAGAGCTATGCCCACTTCTTTCATATTGCGTTTTTGTCCAGCTACGCTACGCTACATAAACATGTCAAATTGTCTTGTCACATAAAACTTTTAACACGAAATTACTTAAACGATAAAGAAATTAGTTAATTTTTGTATGTGGCTAAGTCCAGCATGTCTGTTTAATTAAAGGGGGCTAAGTGGGCTAAGTTTCTTTTTTCCTCGGTATATTTACGGTATGTTTAGAAAATAAGAAGGTATATTTCGGTATATTTCTTTATCGATACGACCCACGGTCACACTGCCTTAAAACAAAATGGCGTATTATTGAAAGAAAGACGAAGACGACGTGATATTTTTATGTGTTGAGAAAAGTGCATTTAAAAACAAGTGGCTTGTTGCAAGGACCACAAAAACATTTGCCCAGCTAACGTATAAAAGTGTATTGCATGTATTTAATGCGCGCTACACGGCAACTCTGTGTGCTACCACAAAAATATAATGAGCCAGGTAAGTAGGCCTTGAAAAAGTAGTGACAGTGAACGTCGGTGTGTGTTTGAAAAGTGGGAAATAAAAATATGGAATTGGTATATTACTCTCAGCAAGGCGGTTTAAATCAGTGTCAATCCAGTCGTCTAGTGAGTATTAACAAAAACAAAAGTGATATTTTTGAAATATATGCTCCGTGCTGTGGGTGTGGCTACACGCCTGGCCTGGGAGCCAGCCCCCCGTAGGAGCCCCTCGTTCCGAGACACCCTCACTTTGCTGGCGATTTGTGTGGCTGCAAGTGGGGCATTTGGCAAAAACTAACTTTTTAACCATTATACCGATAATGTTTCACAGTTTTGACGATGCCAAAGTATCCTCGGGACTTTGACGTGGCAGTGAGAGTAGATTTTATGGGAATCCATTGGGTACCCATTTTCGCAAAATTTGTTTAAATTTGACCATTTCGGTTTGTTTTCATCGAATCCGGCTATGAAAATCCTTCAAAATGTGTGCATTTTATTGTTTTTCGATGCAAATTGCAAATTTTCATCGATTACGTAATCAAAATTTGTTGGGTGCAAAGTTTTTCCAACTGGATTTCCTACAATATTCCTTGGGTTTTCACCCCGCCAAAAGGTAGCCGGTAAACGAATTCCTCAAAATTTCATTGAATTTGATCAAAAGAATAGATTCAAAAAGTTTTTTACTGCAATAAAACACATTTTTCGAAGAATTGGAGGACTTCTTTTGATATAGATCATTCCAGGAGACCCAAAACCCGCTGGTTTTGCAAGGATTTCCGCGTTCTGGCTCCCAGGATTAGTGTGTGCTGGTGACTGTCGCGTTTTCCTGTGAAGAACTCTCCAGATTTCTCCTTGAGCCTCCCAGGAACCCTCACTGTTTGTTGCCTTTTAACTGCATTCCTTTCAATTCGAGCGTCTGAGCAGTCTGAAGATTTCTGGACAGGATTAGCTCCATTAGAGCAAGTAGATGCCCTATACCCGACCTGTGTTCTCTCGTCTTGGGCTAGATATAGGCAATACCTTGCTGGATAATCAACAATTCTATAGAACTGTATACATTCTTGATACTGATTTGCCATTCCAAGCTTGGGGTCAAGATCTGGTGGGGATTTGGGTGTCAGTCGAGCGCAAGTTAGGCACCAAACTGTAGCTGGAAAGTGGGCCGTGGACTAGAAGTGCACTCTGTTGTGCAGCTGTCCAATCTCTAATATATTAATGTGAAATTTGTAAAGAAATAGAGCTTGCCAGAAAAATTCTGGGCAGGATTAGCGGGTGTAGTCTGCGGTTCTTTGCTCAACTTAATGTGTGTGTCGTGTCGGTTGATTTGGTAACTATTTTGTGATTTGTTTCCGCTTTTCTTTAGGCACTCAATGAATCGGCGAATAGTATTGGCTCAGACGAACAAGATGACCCCCGTGATGAGGCAAACGGCACGGACAACAGTGGCAGTGGAAGCGCAAGCGGCAGTGGCAGTGGCTCCTCAGGATCCGACTCAGATTCGGATAGTTCCTCGGGAAATTCCAGTGATGGACGAAGCTCTCCGGAGCCGGATGTCAAAACATCAAGCACGTCGGTGGCGGGTTTTCCACCAACAGCAGCAGCTGCACAGGCGGACAGTAAAACGAATGGCTTCACAGACGATCAGGAGGAGAGCTCCAGTGGCGGATCAAGTGGCAGCGACTCCGATACAGAGCCGGAGGAAACCAGAGCACGAGGAGACCAGACAGCAACTGGCGGCAAGCTCAGCGCGAACACGAGCACGAGCACCAACAGCAGCAGCAGCTCATCAAAGCCACAGCAGGGCGAGGAGGAAGATGACGAAGATGACGACGATGATGACGATGAAGATGAAGAGACTGAAACTGTACAGCAACAGCAGGAGCAAGAGCAAGAGCCGGCGGCGGCTGGCAGTGAGGAGGCCTCTGCCGATGAAGATGCCAGTGATAGTTCTGCAAATGCGTCGCCCACATCCTCAAGCAGCAGCAGCGTAAGTCGGGGCTTGCACACACACACACACCCACACACAGAATGTTCACTCTGTAGTTTCTTGAATATTTCTCTTGGGCTTAATCCGCACAGGAGGATGAGGAGGAGGACTATAGACCCAAACGAACGCGCCAGGCGCGCAAGCCCCCAACCGCCGCAGCCGACAAATCGAAGCGAGCGCCGCCACCCAAGAAGAAAAAGAAAACGTACGATTTTTGCTTCTGGATTCTGGATATATTTCGCGAGCCTCCTATTGTGATATTTTGTTTTGTCCTTTTAGCTGGGACTCGGACGAAAGCGATGAGAGCGACGAAAGCGATGAAGAGTCGTCCGCCCATAAGCGCAAGCCGGCGGCAGCCACTACCTCTAGGAATAAATCAGTGCCACAGCAGCAACAGCCACAGCGACGTCGGGTAAAGTCCTTCAGCTCTGAGGACAGCGACGATGATGATGCCAGCAAGCGGTACAAAAAATTGCAGTTGCATTCTATTCTCTGCAGCATTTATTTAATGTTTCCCTCTTTTATGCAGCTGCGCCACGCGTCGCACAGGAGCCGCTGTTAGCTACAAGGAGGCGTCTGAAGACGAGGCCACCGACTCGGAGGATCTGCTGGAGTGCGAATACGACGAGACACAGGCGGCGGCCGCTGCCGTGGAGGACGAGAAATGTGAGACCATTGAGCGGATCCTGGCACAGCGCATGGGCAGGCGGGGATGCACGGGCAACAAGACCACCATCTATGCCATCGAAGATCCCAATGCGAAAGTAGAAGAGGTGGAAAAGGTGGCTGAGGCTGAGGAAGAGCAGGCAAAATCCCAGTCCCAGGAGGAACAGGAGGAGGAGGAGGAGCAATATCTGATCAAATGGAAGGGCTGGTCGTATATCCACAACACATGGGAGTCGGAGCGTACGCTGCGCGACATGAAGGCCAAGGGCATGAAAAAGTTGGACAACTTCATCAAGAAGGAACAGGATACTGCCTACTGGCGCCGCTATGCTGGCCCCGAGGACATTGACTACTTTGAGTGCCAGCTGGAGCTGCAGCACGAGCTGCTCAAGTCGTACAACAACGTGGACAGGATCATTGCGAAGGGATCCAAGCCGGATGTCGGCACCGACGAGTTCCTATGCAAATGGCAATCGCTGCCCTATGCCGAGGCCACCTGGGAGGATGCCACGCTGGTGCTGCGCAAGTGGCTGCGCTGTGCCGAGCAGTTCCACGACAGAGAGTCCTCTAAGTGCACACCCTCGCGTCACTGCCGCGTCCTCAAGTATCGTCCCAAGTTCTCGCGCATCAAGAGTCAGCCCGACTACCTGGTGGCTGGTCTGGTGCTCAGGGACTATCAGATGGACGGCCTCAACTGGCTGCTGCACTCGTGGTGCAAGGAGAACTCTGTCATTCTGGCCGACGAGATGGGCCTGGGCAAGACAATACAGACCATATGCTTCCTCTACTCCCTGTTCAAGGTGAACCACCTGTACGGGCCCTTCCTCTGTGTGGTTCCCCTCAGCACGATGACTGCGTGGCAGCGGGAGTTCGACCTGTGGGCGCCGGATATGAATGTGGTCACCTATCTGGGGGACATCAAGTCGCGCGAGATGATCCAGCAGTACGAGTGGCAATTCGAGGGCTCCAAAAGACTGAAATTCAACTGCATCCTGACCACATATGAAATTGTCCTCAAGGACAAGCAGTTTCTGGGCACCCTGCAGTGGGCAGCGTTGCTGGTGGACGAGGCGCATCGTCTGAAGAACGACGACTCGCTGCTGTACAAGTCGCTCAAGGAATTCGACACAAACCATCGACTGCTGATCACGGGCACGCCCCTGCAGAATTCGCTGAAGGAGCTGTGGGCCCTGCTGCACTTCATCATGCCCGAGAAGTTCGACACGTGGGACAACTTTGAGCTGCAGCACGGCAATGCCGAGGACAAAGGCTACACGCGACTGCACCAGCAGCTGGAACCGTACATCCTGAGGCGTGTGAAGAAGGATGTGGAGAAGTCGCTGCCCGCCAAAGTCGAACAGATTCTGAGGGTCGAGATGACCTCGTTGCAGAAGCAATACTACAAATGGATTCTCACCAAGAACTTTGATGCGTTGCGCAAGGGCAAGAAGGGTTCCACCTCCACCTTCCTCAACATAGTCATAGAGCTGAAGAAGTGCTGTAATCACGCGGCTCTGATCAGGCCCTCGGAGTTTGAGCTGATGGGCCTGCAGCAGGACGAGGCCCTGCAGACGCTGCTCAAGGGCTCGGGAAAGCTGGTGTTGTTGGACAAGCTGCTGTGTCGACTCAAGGAGACGGGCCATCGGGTGCTCATATTCTCGCAAATGGTCCGCATGCTGGACGTCCTGGCCGATTACCTGCAGAAGCGGCACTGGCCATTTCAGCGCCTCGATGGCAGCATAAAGGGGGAGATGCGTCGCCAGGCTCTCGACCATTTCAATGCCGATGGCAGCCAGGACTTTTGCTTTCTCCTCTCCACCAGGGCCGGGGGGCTGGGCATCAATCTGGCCACCGCCGACACGGTCATCATTTTCGACTCGGACTGGAATCCCCAGAACGATCTGCAGGCCCAGGCCCGGGCCCATCGCATTGGCCAAAAGAACCAAGTGAATATCTATCGCCTGGTCACGGCGAGATCCGTCGAAGAGCAGATAGTGGAGCGGGCCAAGCAGAAGATGGTCTTGGATCACCTCGTCATCCAGCGGATGGACACCACGGGTCGCACGGTGCTGGATAAAAGCGGCAACGGCCACTCCTCGAACTCCAATCCCTTCAACAAGGATGATCTCTCCGCCATACTGAAGTTTGGCGCCGAGGAGCTGTTTAAGGACGAGCCAGAACACGACGAGCACGAGCTGGTCTGCGACATTGATGAGATTCTGCGGCGGGCAGAAACCCGAAACGACGATCCAGAGATGCCGGGCGACGATCTTCTGTCCGCCTTCAAGGTGGCCAGCATAGCGACCTTCGAGGAGGAGCCGAGCGAATCGAACAAACAAGATGTGGACGCCGGCGACGAGGCGGAGGACGACAGCAAGGACTGGGATGACATTATTCCCGAGGGCTTTCGCAAGGTGATCGATGACCAGGAGAAGGCCAAAGAAATGGAGGATCTCTATCTGCCGCCCAGAAGAAAGACGGCGGCCGCAAATCAAAGCGAGTCCAAGCGTGGATCAGGCGGCAAGTGCGGACGGTCCAAGCAGGGGGACGATTCTGGCGACTCAGAGTACGAGCTGGGCTCCGACGCCAGCGGGGATGAGGGTCGTCCCCGTAAGCGCGGACGCCCCACAATGAAGGAGAAGATCACCGGCTTCACCGATGCCGAGCTGCGTCGCTTCATTCGCAGTTACAAGAAGTTCCCCGCCCCGTTGCACCGTTTGGAGGCGATCGCGTGCGATGCCGAGCTGCAGGAAAAGCCCCTGGCCGAGCTGAAGAGACTCGGCGAAATGCTGCACGACCGGTGCGTCCAGTTCCTGGACGAGCATAAGGAGGAAGAGCTAAAGACTGTGCCAGACGACACACCGGGGGCCAAGCAGCGGCGCGCACGGGCCACCTACTCTGTGAAGCTCGGGGGCGTCTCCTTCAATGCCAAAAAGCTGCTGACCTCCGAACAAGAGCTGCAGCCCCTCAACGAGATCATACCCAGTGCAGCGGCGGAGAGGCAGCAGTGGACATTCAACATCAAGACGCGGGCGCCCGTCTTCGATGTGGAATGGGGCAACGAGGAGGACACCAAACTGCTGTGCGGCATTTACCAGTACGGCATCGGATCGTGGGAGCAAATGAAGTTGGATCCCACCCTGAAGCTCACCGACAAGATCCTGCTGAACGACACCCGCAAGCCGCAGGCCAAACAGCTTCAGACCCGTGCCGAGTACCTGCTCAAGATCATCAAGAAGAATGTGGAGCTGACGAAAAAGGGCGGACAGAAGCGCCAGCGACGGCCCAGAGCTGCACGAATCAACGCCGAATCGAAGGCCAGCAGCAACTCCAACAACCATGGCACCGCATCTGGCGCCATGGCCGACGGAAAAGCTCTGGCCGAGGCCGAGGAAACTGCTGACGGGGGTCGGGGGGCACTGGATAATAGTTCCAGCCACTTGGATCCCTCCTCCACAGCTTCGCCGCATCAGACTCCAGCCTCTGAAGTGGCCGGCGGCGGCACAGCACAGAAGACTAAAAAGTCCAAGGCCAGGTCAAAGAAGACCAGCTCCTCGGACAACAATGGCAACAAGCCCATGCACTTTACGGCCAACAACGAGCCGCGGGCCTTGGAGGTGCTCGGCGATTTGGATCCGAGCATTTTCAACGAATGCAAGGAAAAGATGCGTCCAGTCAAGAAGGCCTTGAAGGCGTTAGATCAGCCCGATTTGAGTCTGTCCGATCAGGATCAGCTGCAGCACACGAGGGATTGCCTACTTCAGATCGGAAGGCAGATCGATGTGTGTCTGCAGCCGTACGGCGAGTCGGAGAAGAAGGAGTGGCGCAGCAATCTGTGGTACTTTGTGTCAAAGTTCACGGAGCTGGATGCGAAGCATCTGTTCAAGATCTACAAGCATGCCCTCAAGCAGCAGCTGGGTCGGGAGTCGGGTGGCAAGGGGAAGAGCAGGGCTGGCTCCAAGGAGGATTCAGTGAGTCCCAGCAAGAGCCGACGCAATGGTCTTCCAGCTGAGAAGGACAAAGACAGGGAGCGGGACAAGAGCGGCAAGAAGAAGCGGAAAGACAAGGACAAAGAGCGTGCGGGCCAGTCGCGTTACTCGGATGGTGGAACCCCCTCTTCGGGTCGCTTTGCCAACGACTCGCCTCTCAAAAGAAAGAGGGATGAGAACGACGTGGACGGCGGCGGCATCGTGGGCGTTGTTGGCGCAAGCGGCGGCGGCGGCATCAGCGACCATCTCAAGTCGATGTCCTTCAAGCGGCTGAACATGGAGCGTCACGAGGAGCGTAAGAAGCATCATCGCAGCAGCGAATACTATGGCAGCAGTGGAGCTGCTCCGCCGGGCAGCTACGAAGGCAGTAGCAGTGCTCGCAGAGCGGGCCTCAACTCTCCATCCACGCCGAATAGCCGCAGTGCTCGTGGCGGAGGTGGCTACGAGGCACTGCCTGCGCCATCGGGCTATACGCCGGAGCTGGAGCGTTGGCATGCCAGAGAACGGTAAGATACACCCACAGCGGAAAATGCAGAGAGTTTTCCCAACAGAAATGTTTCCTCTCCATTGCAGGTACAGCTTGGAGTATAAGCGCGATCGCTATGAAGTCGGTTATCCTCGCAGCGGCGGACCTCCAGGGGGCTACCATCGGGATCACCGCGAACGTGATCGCGACCGGCGTCCAGACAAGCGAAGGTATGCCCCGGTGGCCCAGGCCCACAACTAGCCCTGCATTTGGGCATACGGATTTCACTTATATACCTTCATTATTGCAGATACCCTCCTCACCTGCCGCCGCACGCCTACCCGAGTCACTATCTGCCGACGAATTATTACATGCCGAATGGGATCGTGCCCGCCCTACCTCCCCCGCCAGGATACCGCAGCGATCCGCGTGGATATCCCATGATGCCACGCGACTATCCAGCCGACTATCGACGCAGCGACTACGAGCGACGTACGCAGACGTGAGAAGCGCCAAAACGGCGTCCATTGTACATAGAACAAAAACTACGAGTAGAATTAAGCAACTGTGGACAAAACACAAACAAATCATATAAGAAGATGAAGATGAAGCCTGCATACAATACAGGTGGTAGCATAGCGTACGGATATGTAAATGTAATGCCTATCTATCTATCAGTTAATCAGTTTAGTTTATATCTAACATAGCCAACGTATCGTCGTCACATCCGATCGCACAGCGCATCATCACACATTGTCATGCATGGTGGCAATACCTATCCTATAATTCTGTGCGTAATCATAGGCTTTAATTTTATTTCTATTTTATTCGACCGTGTACAGCTGATTATGAAAGTATGCTATGCTTGAAAGCTGTGCTATGCGGTGCGGTGTGGTGTGGCGAGTCCCTCTAAGCAACAAAACAAACCAAGTCTTTTGAAAGCTTTTAAACAACAAATAACAAATTCTCACTATATTTATATATCAATATATGTACCATAAACACAAGCAATTGGACAGGAAGCGTTGAGGAAATCACGATCGTTAAGTTTTAAGTGAAATAAGGAAGCAGCAGCAAATATGGATTTGTTTTATATCTATAATGCATTACAACTTTTATATACATACATACTATACCATATAGAGATACTGATTGGATAATTGAATGAGCCAGAAAGTGTAATTTAGTTAACTTTAAAGCTATTAATATTAATAATGTATTAATACACAAATTACGTTGTAGTTGTCTGAGAAATCGATTATCATGTACATCAATAAATTATGAACTATATAAATTAAAGAAGACTTTTTAATAGCATGGACAAATCATATCATTCATTCATCTGCCTTCTGTGCTGTGCGTGCAAATTAAATTGTTGCGGTGGTAAATTGTGTTTTTAAAAAAGATTTTATTTCACAAAGACTAAGTGCTAAGGTTTTTACAATTGACCGGGCTGTACTGCGATTTATATTTAAAGTGAACTCTCCAGTTCTGCTGCTAGAAACCAACTGACTTAACTCTAATAATTTTGTTCTCATGAAACCCTCTTGATTCTTCTTCGGGAAGCTTCTATAAACATTTTGGTTCGATCGGATTCGATCATCCAGTTGGGGAATTGTGAAATTCCAAAATGCAGCGTTTGCAGAAATCAGCCGCAGCTGCAACGCAAAGGTTTCTATATGAAATCAAAGATTGTTTATATTAGCCGGGTGGCCTGAGTGGCTGGTGTGGCCTGAGGTTTGAGACCAATGGATTTCTATATGAAATCAAAGATTGTTTATATTAGCCGGGTGGCCTGATTCTGAACTGTGGGAATCCGAAGCTTGTTTATATCATACTATGGGAAGCCAAAGATTGTTTAAAAACTAGATAAGATTCATATAATAATGGGTACTTTAACTTGCACTCATCATCAAACTAAGAATAAGTAAAAAGGATTTCAAATCAAATCAAATAGTAAAAAAAAAAAAAGTATAGTGTGACCACCTCGACAGAAAAATTTAGCATTTTTAGCACACTGGGCATGTCGTGCAACTCTGCATCTGTGAACAGCTGACGAAAAGTACATTCAGATAGACTTTATATTATATCTATAACTTTCTACATCCTGCGATGGACACTGAACTAGATGGATCGGAATTGGGAACCAAAGAATATTGGGAATCGAGCTATACGCGTGAAATTGGAAACTACAAAAGCCACGGAGACGTGGGTGAGATCTGGTTTGACGAGGATTCGCAGCAACGTGTTGTCGACTGGCTTCTAAAGCAAGAGCAAGTGGACAAGCAAACTGCACGTGTGCTCGACCTGGGTTGCGGCAATGGGATGTTTTTAGTGGCCCTGGCAAACGAAGGTTACGCCCAGCTAACTGGGGTGGACTACTCCCCAAAGGCAGTTGAGTTGGCCAGAAGCATTGCCAAGGACCATGCTCTAACTATCAGCTATAATGTGGCGGACTTGACTCTACCTCAGACAGATTTGGGAAGCTACAATGTTGTGCACGATAAGGGCACCTATGATGCCGTAAGCCTCTGTCCCGACAACGCCAACGAGAAACGCTCGCTATATCTTGGCACAGTGGAGCACTTGCTGCACGACAGCGACAGTCTATTTATAATAACATCCTGCAATTGGACAGAAGACGAGCTGGTTCACAGCTTTGCTGACAAATTTATCAAATGCCACACTATTCCAACTCCGACATTTAAATTTGGTGGCAAGGTTGGCAGTGTAGTAACGTCTGTAGTATTTAAGAAACGCTGATATTGTAAATCTAACAAATCTCATTACGGTTATCTGCCGAACATTTGTATGACTTCGGGGCTTTGATCAAAGTTTTTATTACAAATAGTACAAATACGCCATATGCAGGTGTTGATATGCCTTAAAATTTACGAGTTCTTAATCTAATCAATGTATAAAATTTTGATTAGATTAAATGATTAAAAGTAGGTGCATGCTAAAAAATATACATAATATTTGAACACAATTAAAATCGAAATCAAATATGTTTTTTCTACAAATATACATGCCATGTCTTATCTTATACAACATTCAATTCTACAGATGCTACAATTTACGTCGAATGGGTGAGCCAAGTGGAGTGATTTGACTGAATGGAATGGCTTGCTCTTCCGCAAAGGCTAGGAAATCCATGCCGTAATGTTGGATAAGCGACGTGAGCATGGCCACATCCGCCTCCGCTCGGTGTGCATTAGTTGCAGCTTGCTCGAATTTTCTTTCAAACAGTGATCCCAATTTGTACTTGTCTTTTGGTGGATAACGTTTTCTTTCAGCACACTTGACGCCGCTAAATAGTTTGCGACGAGATCCCAGTGTTCGCCTAAATGGTGGCGACTCCTCCAGTTTATCATCCTCGCTCTCCGTGATTTTCCTACGCTTTGAAGCAGCTTCTGTGGGGGTCAAAACTGGACGTTTTGGAGTTGTTTCATTCAGCAGCCGCCAGTCAATTTCCTTAATGGATTCAGTCTCCTCCAGTTGTCCACTCACAGACGCCTCCAGGGCATCATAGCCGTTCGCTTCAGGGTCCGGGATCAGGATTACACCTTTTGGGGTGCTTTCGTTTTTCAACCAACAATGAAGTGGTTCAGCTTCCTCCACATTCACGGACCCGCTTTGGGGAATTTTCATAAGACCTTCCTCAATGAAATGCTTGTCATCGATCTCCAAAAAGGCACGGAGCGAGTCGACACAAGTCAAAGCAGGTGAAAATTCTAGATTTAAGTTAGCAAAAGCCTTCCTTACAATAGGAAAATCAAAGTCCCAGCCATTGTGAGCCACTAAACACACCGGAGATGGCAAATGCTTCAAAAAGTTGAGGATCATTTGACCCGAGTTCTCGTCTAACTTAGATTCTCGTTCGAGTATGTAGTTGTTTAGACCTGGAATGTATCCGTGAATCATCATTTTAATGGGTGTGGGAGGGGGGGGGGGGACCACTTGTGAAATTACAAACCTGTAGTTCTTTCCGCATCCGGATGCACCATCATGGACGGCTGAAATAGTACATTCAACTTGTGTAACACACGCGGTGGCAGGGGCAGTGACGGTACATGTACCTTATTTCCCTCATATCCTTTTTCCTTTCCCTTTTCCTTCAGGAGAGCTGCTTCAAACGCATAAATACACATTTCCGTGATACCCACCCGATTGTAGTTGTACGAAGGCAAATTAGTTGTCTCCAAATCCAGTACAGCGAATGTGGAAATTTTAGGCTGATCTTCGCACTGCTCCCCACCTTGGCAATTGTATGGATCCATCGCACGTACGTCTTGACGACTCGACTCCACCGTCAACTTAAAATAAATATATGCTCTGTTTTATTTCAAAACATTTGTACGTGTAGTGTACGTCGTTTACAAACACTGAAAATTGCCCAGAAAAATATTGTGTTACTATCGATACTGTCAATGCTTCCTTCTAACATTTGGATGCAACAATCGATGGCCAGCCGCCTTTTCCTTTAAATTCAGAAGAATTCATTTTTAAGTACTTGAGAAATTCAGCTTGAAATCGGGCATTTGTGGCAGCCTTAACTTCGAATTGGTTCCAGCATAATAACAAATCTCAACGCAGAAGCTGTTTGGACGGTAAGCGTTTGGTAAGCGCTCCAAAAAAAATTGCAGTGCGCCAAAGAACACTAAAACTAAACCAAAACTTGTCTCAGATTACCAGCTAAAAGTGGCATCAAACACCAACAACCCGTAACTGGAACTGCTGACGAAAACGCAGTTTTCCATCCTTTGTGAGAGCGAGGAAGCTGTCGTCCCTTTCATTAAGCACAACGAACTGCACCCATCGACGGTTAAGCTGAATATCATCGAGATAACCTACATTATAGGTAGGTATATGAATATGTACATATATGAAATTTGGCTTACAAATTCCCCAATTTACAGCGAGACTGGCCCATCAACAGATACACGTAAAGATACGTTTTCCACAGAACAGAACACAACGCAAGAAGCGAAATGAGTGAGCACGCTTGCAGTAGCACTGAGGCAGATTCTGCTGCCGAGGAAAAAAGAAAAGCAGATGGGAAGAAAGCCTCTGGCACCGATGACGCATGCATTGCAAAGCAAGATAAAGTACGAACGTCTCGGAAATCAGCTCTCGATGTAAACGAGGATTGTTGGAGAGTCGTGTTTGATTATCTAGACGTGGGAGACCAGTTAAGTCTTGCTTCTTCGAACCTGTGGATTGGAGAGATATTCAAAAGCTACGCAAACCATCGGTACAAAAAGATTGATGAATCGCTCACGAGACGGATTAGCGATAAAGATCGGAAACAACTGTTGCAGATCGTTGGCGAACATATGGTTAGCTTTGAGGGCTATGGAGATCAGGAACTGTGGCTTTTGCGGAGCCACTGCTCGAATCTCCAAAATCTGAAAATAACCATTGAACAGGACGAAGGCGGATGGGACGATTTAAGCAGCTTGAAAAAGGTCAAATCTTTGCATGCTGTTTTGCTGGACTCTAGAGACGACGAAGGAGATTTTTGGTGTACGGATTTTGTATACAATCTCGAGCAATTACCGTGTCTAAAAAAACTGAAGTTGGAGGCTTACTCATATAGCGGAAGAGGATTATATGTACTTGATCAACTGGAATCTCTGGAGCTGCGTATCTTGGGAAAAGATGGTTTCAATACCAGGTTTTTGGAGAAAAGCTGCCAAACGATGAAGCAACTGCGGAATCTTCGCATAGAAAGTAGAGGTGACATCAGCAAGCGCAATTTTGAAATTCTGGCTACGAACTGTCAGCAACTGGAACGGCTGAACCTTGGCATGGAGCTCTACCGCTATACGCTGCCCTATCAGCTGATCTGTCAGTTACCCAGGCTGCAACATTTGCAAGTGTCGTACAACTGTATTTTAAGCGACATGTTATTTGATGCGTTGATCAACAAAAAGGGTGCTCCCCTGGAAAGCCTTATCCTGGACATGATAACATTGTCCGCGGATCAGGTTAGGAGTCTTTGCAATATTTCTACACTCAAGGAACTCGATGTATACTGCGATACCGTCCCCTTGGAAGACTTGATGAAGCTGAAGAACCTTCTATACCTCCACATATCCATGCCAATTACGGATAACCAGCTTCTGGACCTCCTGAAGGGGCTTCCGAACCTAAAAGTTATCCATTTACTAGAGTGCCGTATGATAGACAATTCATTTGTGAATAGTGTTCGTGCCTGGATGAGCGAACAGAGGGAGCAGCGCGGGAAGATTCAAATCTATCTTGGTCAATCGGATAAACCGGATGTTTTGTATGCTGATCCGTTGATTGAAATCAATAAGGGTTCTCTAGAGGGAGCTATATTAATAAACAAAGAACTTGGTGAGCAAATTCAGGACTAGAAACTCAACCGATTTGTATATAACAATTAATGGATAGAAATTCGAAAACGAGCAAAATTAAAGTAGAAATTTGTTATTTTAATTAATAGTTAATTAATAAACTGTATTTAATTTAACCTTTTGACGGAGACTCTTCATTTTTGTGTTACATAATTCATTTGGCTGAAACTTTTATTCAATACTGTTAATAATAATATTATTACACTTTTGCCTCCTCTATCCGTTGATGTAGCAATCGTTTAGAAATGACATTTAGAACAACTAATTCGTGATAAGCATCGAATTCCTGATCGTTTGACATCCCAATCTCAATATTTTCGAAAATTTCTGAAAAAAAGGCATGTCAATAGCGGATTACGGCAGTTATCCGCTTCAATGACCTATTTGATTAAACCTTATTTATGAATAATTAAAATGAAAATGAGTACTTATAATTAGCAAATCCTTTAGGAAATTGATTATATAATCGTAAAAAAATATATGTTCAGCGCTGACAGCTTATTAGTAATATTAAGCCGAATATTAAAATCGAGGAGTATCAATGCATCAGAACTACTCAGTCTCTCTTTTAAAGATATTACCGAAATTTCGCAGCTCACGGGTACCAATAATATGTTGCTTGGAACAACAAATTTAACATCAATTAAAGGAAATACGGTATACAAAAGTTCATACGCATAGAAGAAACTTGGTTGACCAGCAACAATGACGTCATATTTAGTAAAAATTTACGTTTTATGCTTTGGCTGTTTGTTTTTGAACTTTTTTATGTAAACAGAGGGATAACTAGCTAGTAATATTAAACTGAATATCAAAATTATGGAATACAATTTCAATCAATAAAATAGAACGGTTTCCCATTGTCGACCAGGGTGGTATTTAATATTTCCAAGAAATTTATGTAACTTTAACATATTTTACGCCCTACAGGTGAAAGGTCATTTTTGTTTTGTAAGTAAAGAGGAGGATGGAGCTACAAGGAGCCTTTGCAAACAGTATTATTTTCCGCGGTTTAACAAAGGGTGCTCAACTTTTTAAATAGAGGGGTGTTAAATGGGTTAAGTCTCGTTTGATCACCGGATTGCCCTGGTTTTTTTATGGTATGGTATTTGAATGGTATTTCTCGAAACTGAAATGGTATTTAATGGTATTTATTTCTTGGCGGATGGTATTTTTTATCGTTATCGTCACGGTCACGCTGCACTGATCTGAGTCAAATCTCAAATCTGAGCGGCAACGCAACTGTTGTGTATTCTGTGAAAAATGTGCTGTATTATTTTATTATTTCTGTTGGGGTTATTTTCGCAGATCTCGCGGGCCCGAACTTTGGTGAGTATAAGAGGGTAAAGACAATAGCAGACAGGCGAAAATATCCAATTACGCTAATCACAGATGGAACCAAATCCTGGCTGCACAGACTTCTGCGTCAAATCCATAAAATCAGTGCTGGATCAACAGCTTATGATGCAACTGCAGATGAAAAACATTGAAAACAAGTTGAGGACCCAACAGGAATGGGCTGAAAATCTAATGAATCATCAAGAACAACTGGAGAACAGACAAAAACTAGAGGCAATCGAGTCCAGACTAAAAAAACATGAAGATACCTCATCGACGCAATTGGCCAGACTGGAGAGTGTAGAACATAGATTACTTGAACGCCAAAGGATGGATAATTCTGGAGAAAATGGTCTGTTGGAAATGATCGAAAGAGTGAAGCAAAACTTGTCAGATCAGCAGGAAAGAAACGATTCTGACATAGGCAGGCTAAGCGAAAGACTGGATGGACTAGAGAAACAGATAAAAGAGCAGCAGAAGAGGTCTGCTTTCATCGAAAGCTCAACCACGGAGAGACTTGGAAAATTAGAAGACAAACAGCGACAGCTGGTTTTGGGTGCACAACAGATGCTCGAGAGACTAGGACAAATAGAAAAACAGATCGCAGTCGAGCATGCGAAGGCGCAACTCGAGAGGGTGGAGCGAGAGTTGGCACAGCAAGGCAAGAGTGCCTCTCATCTCGAAAAGTACCGGGATAGACTAACTCTAATAGAGAAACAGTTCTCAGGGCGAGAGAATGACACCTTAGTTACGAAGAGAATCGACCACTTGGAGAAAGTGCTGTCGGGGCAACAAGGCAATATAACTTCAAATATTAATCGACTCGCTGATAGTGTTAGCGGGATAAAGGAAACATTTTCTGCCCAACAATTGAAGCATATCTCTGAGCACGCTGCGACAAGGGAGAGAATTGAAAAATTAGAGAAACAATTAGCTGACAAGAAACAAAAGATCGACTCGGAGGTAAGTAAGTCGGTGGATGTGCTGAATAGGGTAAAGAATCAGTTTACAGACCAACAAACGAAGCTTGAAAATGATGAAAAGAGACTGTTGGACTCACAGACCAGACTGTCCAAGCTACAGGATCAATTTACGAATCAACAGAAAAAAGTTTCTAACCATGAGGCAGCCATTAAGGAGTCAGAGTCCAAAATAAAAATACTGTGGAAGAACATATTCGTCACGGTTCAGAAACATGGCTCTGAGGGAAATAAGCTGACAGAGGTGGTTAATGGACTTAAAAATCAGTTTGCAAGTCATCAAACGAAGCTTGAAAATGATGAAAAGACACTTTTGGAATCACAGACCAGATTGGCCAAGCTACAGGATCAATTGACGAACCAGCAGAATAAAATGTCCACCCACGAGGCAGCCATTAAGGAGTCAGAGTCCAAATTAAAAACACTGTGGCAGAATCGGCTCGTAACATTTCAGAAACTCGGCTCAAAATATTATTATTTTGAGAGGAACGAGAAACTAAACTGGACAGATGCTCGGGATAGATGCCAAGAGCTGGGCAGCCACCTGGCTAGCCTGCAGGACCAGCAGGAGTTCGATTTAGTGACCAAAGATCTATACGACGTTTACTACTACTGGTTGGATGTGAATGATATTGAAACAGAAGGGGTATATATGTCGAGTACTACTGGGAAGAAGGCAAATTTCTTGAAATGGAGACAAATCCCAGATGACTGGAAGGGCAATGAAGATTGCGTAGAACTGGCCTATGAGAGTAAAGCAAATGCAATGGGAATGAACGATGTACATTGTTCGGAAAAACACATGTACATTTGCGAAAAGTAGTTTGGTGGGGGGCGAAGTAGGTTGGTAAAATTAAGTTGTTTTTCTTTTGCTTAGCTCTAAGTGTGCCAAATGTTTTCACTGAAGATTTCTTAATAAATCTCAAATAAGAAATCGTCTAAAAGTAATTACTTTCGTTTTTTGTTAATTAACTTTGTAATTTTATTAGCACAAGAACGATTGTTAACGAACTGGTAACATTTAAGTACAGATAAGCTGTATCTACAAAATATCTACTCGTAGTAGGTACATTGTGCTGGTTAATACTTAAAGGATTTGAAATTCTTTCGTGTCCGGAGCTACAAGTACTAAAAACAAAAATTGTTTGTGGTTTCATGGCACGCGTTTGTCACGAGATAGGTGATTTTAATGATCGCCCCCAGACTTTGCATCCTCCGACTTGGAATCTCCTGGGGCACGTTTGAACGAGAATTGCATGTAGTCACTGCGCGTGGCTGCCTCGTACTCCTGAACAAGGCTGTCAACTGTCTCACGGGACTCATCCAGCTCGGTGAGATCGTCTTTGAAGATGTCTTCGCGTCGGAATTGATCTAGAAAAGCGCCACGTTTGCGTAGCTTGTCGTATTGATTCAGTGCCCGCTCAAATAGCGAGCAGATGCTGGTGTGGTTGGCCAACATCAGGCCAGAGACGCGATGGTTGCTTTGCACGTAGGGCGAAGAGCGGGACAGGGCCACCTGGATAGAGGTTGGTCCCCAGGGTATAAACTGGGCCATCTTCCGATCACGAATGCGCTGCAGTGACTTGTGCACCTGGCTAGGATCCACCTCGCCCTGGATAATGTTAAGTATAGATATGTAGCAATGATGATTTGTCTTGTCGGGACCAGTGGACACCATCATGTTTTTGGGCTGCAGTAGACGACGCATTACATCCAAGACGGTCGTTTTGCGAATATTGACCGCTTGCTGATTGTTGACGTCCGAGTCGCTGGTCAAAGGCGTGTAGCCCGTCATAAGGAAGTGCAACTGGGGTGTGGGTATCAAGGGCGCCATAAGCCCGATGAGATTGTTGTTCATATACGAAGGGTAACGCAATGTGGTTGTGCTCACGCTCATAATGGTGGACACTAGATTGTTGATTTGGGAGAAGCTGGGATTCTGGATGTGCAAGCGATCGCAAGCTATGCGATTCAGGGCCGTGTTGTCCAGGACGACCACACTATCCGCCGCACTGGTTAAACGTCTCAGTGTCAGCAATGAGTTGTATGGTTGAACAACAACATCGCTTATCTCATCCTGATTGGGAAACACACTGAAGGTCTGTATGAGTTTCTTCGGATAACGGTCTGCCAGGCGCTCCATGATAAAGGACCCCATGCCAGAGCCAGTACCACCGGCAATGGAATGACAGAGTATGAATCCTTCAAGGGAATCACTTCCATCGGCTTCTCTATCGATTATGTCAAATATTTCCTCCTGCAACTTATCGCCCTGACTATAGCCAGACGCCCAATTATTGCCAGCGCCGCCACCATGCTTTGATAAATACACGTTCTCTGGGTTGTAGAGCTGAGGGAAATAAAAGGAAATAGCTGCTGACTTTGAAATCGCTTTGGTCATCATTTTACCTTTGCATATGAAGAGCCCATTATTGTATTGATCACCCTCGGCTCCAAGTCAAGAAGCACCGCACGCGGTATGTAGTGGTCATCATCGGCCTGGTAGAAGAACACATCTTTGCGGTCCATGCCATCGGTAGCGAAGTCCTCTAGAACGCCGCTTGGCGAAATGCCATGTTCCAGGCACAGACGTTTCCAAAACTCGAACCCAACTGCCCAGCAAGCTTATTTAGCATCCATTTACATATTTATGTGTATTTGTTACTTACTTTGATTGCCGCATTGGCCCAGCTGCAAAGTAATTATTTCGCTTGGCATTTTTGAATGTAAACGCAAACTCAAGCGTCAAAGTCGCAGTATATTCCTTCCGTCTATAAAATGACCAGCTGTGTCCACGCCACGGCTATGCTCTGAACCCGTATAATAAGTTTGTTTCTCTTTTAAACTACAACACACAGAAACACAAAAGGAAGGATATTATATTGAGACAAGACAATCATTTAATTCGAACAGGCTCGAGCAAATATTTTTTAATAACAAGTGCTGGGTAACGAAGCAACATCTTTCGATATCATGTCCCCTAATAGTGTAAGGTGACGAAATGGCGCGGGTCGGCAAATATGGTATTCAGATCAAAGTCCTTGATGAAAATTTTCCGCAGAAATTCGACAGTTGATTTGAACTGAACCAAATTGAGCTAATTTTGGTCAGCAAAATACTATGAATTAACTACTTTTCTCCCTTAGTGACGTCACGCACAGTGGTGCTTAGCAGAAATCGGTCGACCCTGTGTCACCTCACATTTACGGCTTGAGACGTTGAAGTATCTTTCAACACTATTGCCGGCTTCTTGAAGAAATATTGGTCGTCGTTGCCCGCTCAGAGTTGTTTTGCTTGTCCGCACACAATCAAGATATTATTTTTTCGAGCATTTAAGTCGAGCACAAATATTCACAATATAATATAATACAATGCCCCGTGCCAAGGCCACTAAAAAAAAGGTAGAGGAGCCTTTAGAGCTCGCTGCGGCTTCAACCAATGGAGGTGTCGTCAATGAAAACGCCGGTAGTGCAGATGCTGATGCCAAAGTGCTGACGAAGGGGAAGCCACGCGCTAAAAAAGCATCCAAGACAACTGCTGCCGAAAACCCAGATGCAGACCAAGTTGAAAACTCCCAGACCTCACTTGCACGTGGCGGCAGGAAGAAGCAGTACAAGGAGGAAGAGGAGATCGTCGGAAAAGAGCCTAAGGCTCCGAAAGGACGTGCTGGAAAGGCAAGTAGCGAGCCTGATGTAATTGAGGATCCTGCACCAAAATCTAGCAAAGCAGTCAAGTCTCGGGCCAAAAAAGAAAAACAGCCTGCTGTTGAAGAAGAGGAAGAGCCAGCACCACCCAAGGGCCGCGCCAAAAGAGGAAAAGCGACAGCTGTCGAGGAATCGCCTCCAAAGGAAACAAAAGCCCGCGGACGTAAGAGGAAAGACCCTTCAGAAGACGCAAATGCTGTGGTAGAAGAAGTAGAACCGCCGAAACAACGACCAAAGAAAGAACAACCACCCTTGATCGCGGCAGAGCCAGCGCAGAAGGGAAAAGAAAATAAAACCGAAACAACAACCAAAAGGGCTCGAGTTAACAAGCGTCTGGCAGATTCGGAAATTGCCGAGGTTCTTGAGGAAGAAGATGTAGTTCCAGAGCCGCCAAAGGCTACCAATAAGCGAACTAAGAAAGCGAAAGCTGGGGAAAACGGTGTCCAAGCTGAGCCTGTGCCAGTAGGAGATTCGAAGAGTGCTAAGTCTACAGAGGAAGCTAAAGCAGATGCAGTCCCCAATCCCACAAAGGCCACCAACAAGCGAGCTAAAAAAACTAAAGAAACCGAAGCTGTGCCGCCAGCTGAGCCGACTGAGGCAGCAAAGCCAGCTAAGCAGAGAGCCAAAAAGGACGGCAAGGAGGAACCCGAACCAGCACCCAGCAAAAAACGCGTTCAGAAGGCCTCTGCCAAGAAGGAGAACGAGGAGCTGGGAGAGACAGCTGAAAGCAAGCCAGGTTGGCGTGAACTAAATAAAATACACAATTGCACACATTTCTAACCACACTTAACTTTATTTCAGTTCGCGGTCGAAAAAAAGCCGCCACTAATTCGGAAGCTGTTGAAGATGATGCGATTGATGGGTCGAAAAGTATGTTGGTGGAGCCCTCCGGATGCGTGGGCGGTGCAGTATTGAAAAGCTTGCACAACATGCTCAACTTTTGTTTTCCAGCATCCAAGGCCAAGAAGGAGAAGGTGGAGAAGGCTGGAGAAGCCAAAGTAAATTTGGATAAAGCTGATTTTGCCCTGCCAGCTGAAAAGGTATTCAATTTCAAAATCTCCAGCTGGAACGTGGCTGGCCTAAGAGCATGGCTCAAGAAGGACGGTCTTCAGAGTTTGGCTCTCGAGGAGCCAGACATATTTTGTCTTCAAGTAAGTCCGCACCGAAACCCACTAGCAGAACATTATTATTCACCTTTTTTGTTGAAGGAAACTAAATGCTCAAACGATCAACTGCCCGACGAAGTGACCAACGTGCCGGGCTATCATCCCTACTGGTTATGCATGCCAGGCGGCTATGCTGGGGTGGCCATATACAGCAAGATTATGCCCATTCATGTCGAGTACGGCATTGGAAGCGAGGAGTTTGATGATGTGGGACGCATGATAACCGCCGAGTATGAAAAGTTCTATTTGATCAATGTCTATGTTCCGAATTCGGGTCGCAAGCTGGTTAACTTGGAGGCCCGCATGCGTTGGGAGAAACTGTTCCAGTCCTATGTACAGAAGCTCGACGCCTTAAAGGCGGTCGTTATATGTGGCGACATGAATGTGTCCCATAGCGAAATCGATTTGGAAAATCCGAAGACAAACACCAAAAATGCAGGCTTCACTAAAGAGGAGCGGGATAAGATGACAGAGCTGCTTGGCCTCGGATTCGTTGATACCTTCAGGCATTTGTATCCCGACAAAAAGGGTGCCTACACATTCTGGACTTACATGTCCAACGCACGCGCTCGCAATGTAGGCTGGCGTCTCGACTACTGCATTGTCTCGGAGCGATTTGTCTCGCGCATAGTGGACCATGTGATGCGCAAGCAGCTCCTTGGAAGCGACCATTGCCCAATTACTGTATTCCTTAATATTTAAACAGCATTCCACTTTATTTTCTTTGTTTTTATTTGTATGTATTAATTTGTAGGCATTACGACCTTTTCACCCCTCATATAATTGTACCGCCTGTTCTATTTTTGTTGTAGATCGACCAAGTTCGGTATTTAAATAGAATTACACAAAATAAATTCCTCGTACAAACAAAAAGTGTTTGAAAACTGATAGAAAATAGCGCATAGATCGATAAACAGACTATCGATGCATAACTATTTTATTTGAAACCAGTTGTTGTTCCAGAGAGTGTGGAGTAGTGTGACAACAGCATGGAATTTTGTATTAACTTAATTAAATACATTTTTCGCAATAATACATTGTATATGAACTAAACAGTGTTCCATTTGGGCAACTTTCCCTTTCTAGGTCACACACCTTGCAACGTCTCGAAGATGGAAGTTTATATCGGTAACGTAAACAGACACCGAGCAAAATTCATTTAGCAATAATGTAATAATTTCATTTACTGTCATTTACTATCATATCGGTGATATATTCTTTTTTGAAAAAATATCAAAATGATACAAAATAAATCTTCGAAAAAATATCGATATATTGATATTTTCATATATTTTTTACAACCCTAATTTTTGATGACTTCATGTTTTAACTTTATTTTGTAAACAATTCAATAAAAGGGAGTGATTAATGTTAAGTCAATCTAGTAGAGAATTGTTTTCTTTATTTAATAAAATTATATTTTTAGTGCTGAAGATCCTAGCTATCTAGGAACATTAAACCGAATATCAATATGATGGAATCTTTTTCGATTGGCGGGAAAGAAGTGTTGAAGTCAGCTGCTGGGCGCATCCCCACACTGTTTTCCCGCCCAAATTTAGTTTGCTCCAAATTGATTCTATTTTTGTTAAATATTAAAGGCAATGGCGAATACAGTTGAAACCCCCAAATTTTCATCAGACGATGTTTCGCCAGTCAAGCGTAAATTGGAAGATTGCAATGTTGGAGTGCAGCCTGAGAATGGCAACTTGGCGTGCGGCAATGGGTCCCCCGTGAAATGTAAGATGAGCAACGGCGGATCGGACACCAATCAAAATGAGCAGAAGTATTTGGACTTGATTCGCTATGTCATAGAGTACGGTGAACGTCGTATGGATCGCACCCAGGTAGGCACACTATCGACATTCGGCAGTCAGCTGCGTTTCGACATGCGGCAGTCGTTTCCCCTGCTGACCACCAAGCGGGTGTTCTTTCGGGCGGTCGTGGAGGAGCTGCTATGGTTTGTGGCCGGAAAGACAGATGCGAAGCTCTTGCAGGCGAAGAACGTGCACATTTGGGATGGCAACAGCACCAGAGAGTTTCTAGACAAGCTGGGCCACACGGACCGCGCCGTGGGAGATCTGGGTCCTGTCTATGGCTTTCAGTGGCGACACTTTGGTGCCGAGTATGGCACCTGCGACGATGACTACAGCGGCAAGGGCATCGACCAGTTGCGCCAGGTAATTAGGACCATCAGGGATAATCCATCCGATCGTCGCATCATTATGTCCGCCTGGAATCCACTGGACATACCAAAAATGGCATTACCCCCCTGCCACTGCCTTGCACAATTCTACGTCTCTCAAACTCGAGGAGAGCTCTCCTGCCAGCTGTATCAGCGGAGCGCCGACATGGGCCTGGGCGTGCCCTTCAACATCGCCTCCTATGCCCTGCTCACCCACATGATAGCCCATGTAACGGGCTTGAAGACGGGCGATTTTGTCCACACCATGGGCGACACTCATGTGTATCTTAACCATGTTGATCCACTAAAGGAGCAGCTAGAACGCAAGCCACGACCGTTTCCAAAGCTGAAAATCAAGCGAAAGGTCGAGAACATTGAAGAATTTCGATACGAAGACTTTGAGGTCATCGGCTACGATCCTTACCCTAAGATAAAGATGGACATGGCCGTCTAAAAGTACTCCTTACTGTATTATTATCTGAAATACTGGCCAAATTCGTAAAATTTTCCAATCTCAATTTACTTAATAAACTAATTCTCAAAAATGTTAAGCTTAACTAAAATTAATTTTCTTCTACAGTTGTTGATCCGCGCTTCCACAGCTTAAGGTCTTCGCAGTTGTAATGGGAACATTCCATCCAGCTAACAAGAATACTCAGTCATGCAATATGTGTAGATGTATTCGCTCTCCTGTACCAATTGCTCGCTTAGAGACATTGCCCACATTGCCAGAGATTGATTTCTTATCAGGTTTCGCTTGGGCTAGTCAGTTGCCAGTCAAGAGTCGACAGACTGTTTTTTAGAAGGATACGTTTCCAAATGGCAATGATATTACGTACATCTGTGCATTGCATTCTAGATAGAATGGATTGACTTCAGCCTAGTTTCAACCTAGAATGTAAACGAATTGCGGGGAATTGTAGGGCATAGTCTTTAAACACATCATTTCATAGCTTTATTGGAATAAATTGTTGGTTTCATTCATCGTGTGTCGCTTGTGTTTGTTTGTTGTTGTTGTTTGTAAATTCTCAGAGTAATCCATAATGAAGTTAATTGATTCTTAATAAATCTTGCACAGAGTATACCATAAATATGCTATATAAATTTGCTTGATTTTATCGCACACAATATTGTGATTTTTTTGGTTTTTGGTTTTTGGTTTCTTGGTTTCGTCTTTAAGTTTAATTAATAATGAAAATTCGAAGAAAATCGCTTAAGGTCTTGTGTCCATATGAAAGAACTCGACTCGACAATAATTCAATATATAATTCATGCACGTTAATTAAATTGGAATAATTGTTTCATTTCGTTTCGGTTTTGTCAGTGATGATTAAAGATAAATACATATTTGCTACTACAATACGATACGGTCCACCAATATTTTGACTATGTTTATAACGACGAGAAAGAAACTTGCATAGTTGTCGTACATATGTATATAGTAAGTAATATGTGGCATAATACATACATACACATCATATATTGTATAAGCTAACCCATAGACAAATATAAATTAGATGGAATCATTATAATCTCTTATGTGAAATTCAATATGTTATTTAAACTTATGTTGAGCTTGAAAGAGCGAATGCCACTAAGGGTCTGAGTTGAGTTTAGATTTTCCATATTCCATACTTATTTTCTTTCTTCTCCGTTTTCCGTTTTGGCTAAAGTGATTTCTCTTCATCTTCTTAAAGGCAGCTTAGTGCCGCACCGCCTAATGCCTTGCCCTTGCCTTCGACTTGCGTTTAACAATAGTGCTTAAAATTAGTACCTTTGACTAAGTTCTTTTCGACTAAGATTTGGTTTTCAATTAATTTATAATATACTTTTAGTTTTATTTTGTATTTCTTCAACATTTAAACATATAGAGAGAGCTTCTTGCCACCTTTACCTTAGCAATGGTTTGGTTTGGTTTGTGTGTGTGTGGTTTTTCTTCTAATCTGTTCGATAGTCGGATCTTGAGGGAGGATGTTGGAGCAGAAACCAAGAACTGATCTGGACTTTTGAGAGAATTCTGGAGCGAAAGAGGAAATAATACGCAATCGAAAACTAAAAAATAATTGAATTATATTTTAGCAGGATGGAAGGACAGGATATCCATACAAGTTCTGTTGCTCTTCCTATTCCAGTTTTAAACACAGTCTTATAATTTATCTAGCACTCTCCCTGTCCATTCAACCGTTCTTGTAGGGATCGACACTCGAAAAGGCTCGACAAGCCCACAAGCCGTCCAATTATTGTAGCTAATTGCCATCGATTCATAGCACATTTCTCGAATAGATCGTATCTGTAAGTAAGTTCCATATGGGGGGCTTTTTGCTATCCAACATTTATTTAAGTGAGATTACAATAGTAGAGAAAAGAGTATGTGTGTGTTTGTTTGTGTGCTGTGTGAGAGAAACAGACATTTAAAGAGAGATAGAGAGAGCGCTGCAGGCCTCCGCTTCCGCTCCAACTTCCGCTTCCGGCTAGAAGCCTGCAGGCATTTGCACAACCTTATTGGCTCCAAAACGCGAATGTGCCTCTAGAAACGACAAACAGATTAATCAATTAATCAATCAATCAATCAATCAATCAATCAATTAATCAATCGTGTATTATCTTTACATACTCGTACATCTTTGGTTTTTGGTTTCGTTTGGTTTGGTTTTGGTGTAAAAGTATAAAAGTGTACCGTTTATAAGCCTTTCTCACTTGTTTGTTAGTTAAAATTTGTGGTAACTTTTCGTATTTTTGTTTTTTGTTTTTCGATTTCGATTTCGTTCTCTTTGGCGAGACTCTGCTTCTCGTTCTTCGTTTCTCAAGATATGCGCTTTGTTTTCCTATTTTTCTTCTTTAAATGTTAACATTATTGCGTTTTTATGTAAAAATTATAAATTTGCTCGTTCCATTTGTCATTTGTGGTTTTGTTCTTTGTATTTTTTTTTTTGTTTTCGGTTTTTTGTTTTGTTTGGTTTGGTTTAGTATTTTCTCGATTCCTTAGTCTTTTCTGCATTTAGTTAAACGTTCTGTTATCAGTGATCCTCAGCGGACTTTGTTCTTTACGTATGTTTCTCATGACGTTCCCTTTAATATCCCGTTCGTTCATCTCCGTTTTGCTTTGTTTTGTATATTATTGTGCGGTGTTTTTGTTCGTTACCATACCCATTAAGTATATAATATGTATATATAATATAATATATTGTATATATAGTACTCATGTATATATTTAAATTTTTAAAATACTTTCTTGGTTTTGTTCGGGCTTCCTCCTCCTCTTCTATCTTCTGTCTTCTGCTTCTCCCTTACTATAAAACATTTCCTCTTAAAAAATGTATATAATCGATTGCTTTTGTTGTTGTTCGGGTTTACTTTTACAATATTCTTTTATTCTTAATTGCATTACGCACACAGAGATCTCCAGTTACACAGATCCTGTCCGCCAATGTGGAATGGGATCCCTACAGTCCGCACCGCAGTGCGCCATGGAATCCCATTCCAATCAAAATGCACAAAAAACGGTGCCTCGATTTCTACATTTTGTATAAAAACTTTTCATTTGGTGTTTTTCTCTTGTAGTGTTTGATTTCTTTGGTTCAGTTTGAGTTTCCTCGAACTTGCCTAGAAATTTTTGCTGGAAGGTATTCATTCTTTCTTTCTTATTACCGCTTAAAAAGCAAGAATTCTATTTAATTTTTGTCAGTCAAGCATTTGCGCATGATTATGAGTTTTGAGTGTGTGTCCGTGTGTGTTTTTGTGTGTGTATGGGTGTTTATCTTTGTGTAGGAGAATATTCTTATAATTTAGTTTTTAATTGGTTTCTTGATGTGGGAAGGAGAGTAAAGTGGAGAAGTAGTGGATACTATAGCCATTGAGAGCTCTACAAATCTGGAGGCTTGGCATTTTGCTGCTTTGCTGCTACGCACTACACACGCACATACCTAATATATTCGTAGCCGTAATCGTAACTATGTATATATGGATGTATATAATAGTATATACTCGTACTATATGTATATATATATCATTTCTGGTAATAAGTTTTAATAGTATGCAATTAATTTACTGACGTATACATGAAAATGGTTTCCCGCCTCTTTTCTATGCTTTCCTTTTTGTCTCTATGCATGCCATGATTTAGTATTCGTAATAATTTCCTTGGTATGTATGTAGATGTATAAACATTTAAAATTTGCAATACACAACATCAATATATTGTTAATCATACATATATAATAATTGTTTCATAAATAGTTTTAGATTTTTCATATAGTGCTATAGCATAGTTTAATGTCTCTTAACATTGCAAATTTTACGTTTCGGGGGACCTTATTTACCAGGCAATGGAATCGAGGGATTCAAATTATAATCATAATCATACGATTCAAATAATAAATAACAATAGATAGTAAATGATCTCCTACCTTTCCCAAGCCATTTGGTTATTTTCTTCTCAATTGAATTGCCCGTATTTTTGTGATTTTTCTACAACTAAATTGAAATTTTGGTAATCGGTTTTCTAATTCTTTAGGGACACATTTGCATTTGTAGTACATATTGCAGGGAAATCTGTCAAGCACCATGATTTCGTTTTATCGACCTTCCTTCCTTCCATACACACTTTCCCTATCTCTATCTCGACTCTCGGAAACATCCCAGCTATCGCTCTGTCATCCCAGCTTTCCCAGTTTCGTATTTAAAAATTTATTATATTTAGTTTGGCAATTTGTTTAACTTGTTCATTAATTTCTTTTATCTTTTAACGTTCATCGTTTTTCTTTGTCTGTTTTTTATTAGCTTTCGATATTGCTGTTGAGTTGGGTTAAAACAAATTCGTTATGCTGAAACGCGTTTTTTCAATCTACATAAGTTACGTTACGTACTCTCTCGTTCTGGTTTTAATTTATTTATTTCATTTTCATATTGATTTCCATTTCCATTTCATTTCTTCTATGCTTGTTTGTCTAGGGAGGGACTGTTCTGATCTTTCTCTAAAGTTACATTTTTAGCTTCTTTTTGGAATGGCGTCATGCGATTTTGTAGCTGGCTTTGTTTTAGCTTTACAATCGTTGATTAGATTATTACTATTATGATCTCACTTTGCTTGTATCGTATTATGTATGCTATCCGTTATCCGCTTGCCCTTTTGCTGTTTTCGATTTTTCTTAAACATTTATTCGTTGTATTCGAAAAATTCTCATTAGCTCTTGCTGCCATTTTATGTGTGTTCAGATGCGTTCTGTGCTGACACCAGAGAGTCAGGGCAGGGATGGGGCAGTATGACTTTATGACGAGAAGGAGATTAGTTTGAGGGGTTCGAACAAATGTTGTTGTGGGATGGGGGTGGGATAGAATAAAGGGTTCGACTATATATAGGTATATTATGCATACATCGTTTATTTTAGAAAAAGTTATACATTTAATATAAAACATAAACATATGCATGTCTTGTTTGGTTGCTTCTCGTGTTCTCATTGTAAGTATCTTGCATCTTTTATCTAGCATTCCGTCGCATTCTCTGCATTGTCTATTAGCAAAACGGCCTGGCCTGACTATATGCCAAACCAAACGCCTCTACATGTATCTGTTTACGCATTCAGTTCTGTTTTCGTATCTCATTTATACATTTATTTATAGCTTAAATATTTGTCATGTTTGTTTCTCATTCTTTGGTGGATTGTGGGCTTCATTGCCATCAAAATGTTCCTCTTACTATACTCTGCTCTGTTTAAAAATATGTGTAGAGTAGAGTAGAGTAAAGTTGAGTGGAGTACATCCCAAACAAAAACTTAACTACAGCTTTACTACTGTCCTTTTTTTCCTTTCTCAGTTTCTCAGTTTATTCCGATCTGGAAGCCATTCTGTCCGCTGGTGGCGACTAGATAGATGTTTCTTTAAAAGTGCATTAACGAATCAAATATAATGGTAAAGTTGTACTTATTTTGTAGTACTTATTTAATCACGGGCCCGATTGGTCTGCCCCCCGATTAAAGTTAAACAATATATGTGTGAAGGATTGGATACAAAACGAAAAGCGAATTCATAATTCATCGAAAAGTAATCAACTTAAACTAGGATTTGTTTTTTAGCTGATGCTTTGGTTTTAAGCTAACAAAATGAAAAAAAGAATCGCTTTGGCTTGAGCGAAGGAGGGCTTTAAATCAAATAATAGTCCCCAAATGTTGCCTCTTAGCCAGCTTACAAAGTAATTTGAAGTAAATGAATGAAGGTAAATGTTCTTAACCAATTGAGCAATCAATTAGTTCATGAGGGTTGAATCGAGCAACTAAACGATAACGAGTAGTAACGAGGATCTTTAAAAGAACCAATTCGACCAGGAGGGCATGTTCTTGTTCCCAGAACCAGCACCTGACGACGATCCGTTGGCTGCCATTCCCAGTCCCATGCCCATGCCCATGCCTAGGCCCAGGGCTCCTCCTCCTCCGTTCCGACGGCTTTCACCCATGGAGCCTCCTGCTCCTGCTGATGTGCTGGCTGCACTGCTGGATCCGGAACCTACTGCACTGCTGGCCACGTTGGTCAGGAACTGGGCGAATTCCTGCTGCAGCTGCAGTTGTTGCTGCAGCAGCTCGAATTGATTTTGTGGCTTGTTGTAAATGAATTTTGTGGAGGTTTTCAAAATGTTGCTCGATGACGAAGCCGAGGAGGAAGAAGCGGCAGCGCTATTGCCAGCGCTGGTGCCAGCATCGCCATTGGACACTACGTGACTGTGGCTGTTGCTGCTGCTACTGCTGTTACTGTTACTGCTGTTTGTTGCTCTGGCTGCTGCTGCGACCGCTGCAGTGTTGTTTGCTGATGATCTCTTAGGTGGCGGCATTGATTGTTGCTTGTTGCTTTGAGTCGTTGATTGGAGCCTCTGATGCGGCTGCTGCTTGCTCGTGTTGCTGCTGCTACTGTTGTGGCTGCTGTTGTGGCTGCTGTTGTGGCTGCTGTTGTGGGTGTTGTGCTGTCTGTTGCTGCTAGTACTGTTGTTGTTGTGGTTAGCATATTTGCCATGTAGATTGTTCGAATTGCTGATGCTACTACTGATGTTGTTCTGATTGTTCTGACGATGGTTGTGGAGCACCAGACCATTGGCCGCCAAGGCCGCCGCCGCCGCATTGGCATTGACAACAGCAGCCAACTTGGATAGTAATTACGTTTGCTTGTTCTTGTTGGTCTTGAAGCTGACCTGGAGCACCCGGTTGCCCAGCGTGTAGCCATTGAGCGACTGTATGGCCAGCACCGCCTCCTCGTAATTGGTCATCGTGACGAACCCGAAGCCCTTGCACTTGTTGCTCTGCAGATCGCGAATCACCTGGGGGGTACAACAATCAGTTGATGCAAGACCACAAAATTGATTTGTCCCGCGCCTCACCTTGACCGACTGCACAGCGCCGAAGGGTCCAAACAGCTGCCACAGCACATTCTCCTCGGTCTCTGGGGCCAGATTGTAGACGAAAATGCACCAGCCAGAGCTGGCAATGGTGTTGCCCTGAATCATACCATTGGTGATCAGATCGCTGGTCAGCGGCGAGTATCGAGAGATAACCGAGCTGCAGAAGAGGGGCATACAAAATGGAGACATTCTAGTTGCTGTATACCATACATATAGATTGTCTTATATCTACGAATATATATGGCATATACGTATGTTTGTATATGTAGGTGTAGGCATGCGAATAAACTTATTTTCTAACGACCACAGCTGCTCTTCTCTCTATCCGTTTCTTTCTGACCTGTAACGGCCCGCGTTGGGATGTATGGCAGCGGCTGCTGCTGCCGCTGCAGCTCCAGCAGCGGCATTTGCCGGGAATGCCCGACCGCCTCTGGTCTGCTGTGGCGCTATGTACGCGGCCAGTGGCTGCATGCTGTTCTTGTTGCTGCTGGGATTGTTGGCAAACTTGACGGTTATCGGTTCGGTGGAGTTCTTGGGAGTGGTGCCGTTCAGCTCCTTGATGGCCCGATCGGCCTCAAAGCGCTGATCGAATCGTATAAAGCCAACGCCCTTGGAGAGACCTGCAAGTGATCGGGAATGGTCAGTGTGCAGTAAAGGTACAGGAAGCGGTACAGTTACAGATACAGATAAATTCAAGCGAAAGCAAGCGGCGACCTCTAATTTAATGGTTTTGCATGCATTTGATGAAGGATGAAAGCGAAAATGCGACGTGAAAACTGAATGAAAGGTGAAAGCAATGTAACTGATAGATAGATCTATTGTAATATAGTGCGGAAAATGCAGAAATGATCACAAATATAATTGGATTTTTGTATTTTTCATGTGCGAACGAACAGCATGGAAATTAAAGGGAAATGATTAAATGAAAATGATTAAAAGAAAAACATACCCGGCGCATGTTCATCTTATTTGGTTCGATTATTTCATGTAAAAATAAAATTGTAAATAAAATTTGCATTAATTATAATTTTTCAATATATCAATAATAAAGAAAACACAAGGGAGAGATTATAATTAGATTTGTGGAGAGAGCGCCAGCAAGATTCGAAATCAAATTTTGTGCGCGCTATGGCTAGGAGGCTACAAATGAATCGAAGAATATAGTATAGAACGAATATATATATTAAAATATTTAAATATTAAAATACTGGATACTGGGACATGCTTTTAATGATCAAAGATAATGGTAAAAGAGTCTCGTTTATAATTGAAGATTCCTCTAGGATCTAGGATCTGGGTTGTGGGTTCTGTGTTCCGGGTCTGATATTCCTTTAGTATTTATTTTTTCTTTCTCTCTCTCTGTCTATCCAGGAATCCAGGACTCACCGGTGATATTATCACAAAGTATGCGCGAAGTGATGATCTTGCCGTATGGACTGAACAATGATTCGAGATCCGACTGTGTCATATTCTTTGGAAGACCCGATACATAGAGATTGGCGCCCTTGATGCTCTCCGAGCTGGGCCGCGCAATGGATACCTTGATGGTTTTGTTCTGCAGCCGCAGACCGTTGAGTGCATTGATGGCCTTTTCGGCATCCTCCTGCTTCACGTAGTTCACGAAGCCATAGCCCAGGCTTTGGCCTAAATCAGGAAATGAGCAAGGGGATTAATCGATGGATGAACTCTCATTTTGATCCCACTGCGTGTGCATCGCGCATCGTGCTCACCTGTCACCTTGTCGCGTATCAATTTGCAGCTCTCAACCTCTCCGAAGCTAACGAACAGCGAACGTATCTCATCCTGGGACATTGTCTGTGGCAAGTAGTTCACAATCAGATTAGTTTTTGGATCTGGTTCATTGTTGTTGTTGTTGTTATTATTATTGTTGTTGTTGTTGTTAGCAGTGGTGTTGTTGTTGTTGTTGTTATTCGCTGTTGAATTGCTGGCATTGGATGCCTGGCCAGTGGCATTCGATGCAGTTGTCGTCGATCCAGAACCAGAACCAGATCCGGCTGCTGCAGGCGACGTTGAGGCTGTACCTCCGTTTGTCTGCGCCTGGCTGTTGGTCGTCACATTTCCCGTAGATCCTGTAGATCCTCCGCCGGTGCTTCCGCCTGCTCCTGTGGTGGTTGTGGTGGTGGTGCTGCTGCTGCTGGCAGTGTTGGCAGCTCCAGCAGGTGACTGCTGTTGGGGCTGCTGTTGCACGGCTGTCTGACCCTCGACCATGATGTGGCTGCTGCTGCTGAAATAACAATCCCAAATTATAAATAAAATTAATTACTTTACGCATTTTATATGCTTCAATTCAACGCAAAAAACACAGCAAAAATGCTTTGCATTGAATACCCGCACATAAAACTATTATTCGAAATGAACTTTACTGATTTCTCTTTTTCGACAAAACTTGATAAGGAGACAGAAATAGAGGGTGGAAGGAGAGTGTTTACAGTTGATCTTGAGATAATACTGCAGGGGGATCTGCAAGAGAACACAGCAACAAATTAGCAACAATTTGCGTAATGTATCTAAATTATGCGTGTCTTTTATTACTTACCCTTTCCTGAGGCGCACGCGGATTGGATCTACCGAAGTGGAACACAAAAGTCTTTCTATCTGTGGACCGATCTCCGGTGTTTTCTATAGCCTAGTTAGGAGCGCGTATGGGTGGCTTGTGTGCCCGAAAGTTTACTGAAAAACCAAACAAAGTTGCAATAAAAATCAATTATTTTAATTTAATTTAAATGACATGCGGGCAGGGCCCACTCTCCCCGCTTTTCTTGTGGAAACACGCGAAAGTGGACTTTTTTTTAATGAAGCCGTTGAAATGCCCTAACCGAGAGCTCTTCGTTGTTATGGTGTGGCTGGCACACATTTGCTGGCTGACTGCATGACAGAATGGGGGGGGGGAGCCGATAAGATACACCGGTAGGAATGATTGAAAAATCGATGCAATTAAAATGCAGTCTCCCCGGGGACCCAATTTAATGCCCTTACTAAATGGTGTGTCGAACATCGATTGGTGGCTGATATCCCTCTACATCCAACTGTTATCTCGACCTATTGTGGCTTACTCCTAGTCTTGGTCATAGTCTTTCTTTTTCTGTTGCAAAAGCAAATGTAGGAATATGTTTTAAACCGATCAAAGTTTAGAGACCGCTTCATGATATTTCCCTTGATTGGTATCCGGATCTTGAAATGGATTTCCTTATTGAATTCATACACTTTTCCACAAATAAAACTAAAATATTCTCCAGCTACGACGACAACGCATGCGCCTCACTCTGCCTATGCCTCTGCCATTCTCTCTCACACACCTTCTATCTCTCTTTACGGGCCGGACCGAGAGATCTCTTTAGCTTCCATTAAGAGAGATAGGTGGTGTTTTCTTTTCGTTGAAAGACATTGAAATACACAATAAATAAACAAATAAATGCATTCGAAATGGCAAATGGAGCTTTACTTCTGAATATTGTGCCCATATTGGAGCCCATACCTACACACCTGCGTATATCAGTATACATATATATGAACATATGTATGTACAATAAACCGTATACTTGTTATCCGACAAATACATGGGATGAATGGCTGGTGTGGTCGCTGCTCTGTTCTGCTTCTTGTTACGTTACACATTCTCGTATAGTAAATTGGGCAAAAAGCAAAATTGTATTTTTAGCATATGTTCAAATTGGCCTTTATGACGATTGCGGCCTGCAATAAATACATTTAAATGTCTGTGTTCTCGTACTTTTTTCATTATAAGTGGAAAAAGTTCGAAATATTTGTATGAAAGAAATGAAAAAGCAATTTATTATTTGAAATCATATCCTATAAAATATACATATAGTCGTATGTACAATAAGTAGTTATGTTTCTTTTTATTCGCAACTTTTTCGGAACCTGTCTGGTTTGCTAGCTTTTTCTTCTTCACATTTTTGTAACGACACTTTTATTTCTGCAATTGAAAATCTTACAAGGTAAGACTTTCTTTGAGTTTTTTAAAGGAAATTTTCCATTTCTTCTGAATCACAAATTGTTCGATTCCATTGATTTGAAACACCTTTCGTGATGGAATACTGTCGAATGTTTTAAATTGCACACAAGTCTTATTGCGCTGGCAGTTTTTTGCATTTGCCAGCTTAAATCGTGCGAGAAACTAATATTTTAAAAATAAACAAACAAATTCTGGGATGAACGAAATAGAAGAGGCTTGCTGCTGCTGCCGTGATGCGGTGCTGCGTAGCCGGCACAAATTATACTTGTATTTTCGAAAATATTCTTGAAGCAACACAAGCATCGCAGCTGATGCGATGACGTCGGAGCTGCTGCTGCTGCTGCTCGACGCATATTTGAGGTTAAGTGGCAGCAGAGTTTTCCCTTTTAAACGCCTGCCTGAAGGAAACATTCTCGCATTGAATTCATTTTCCGAATTATGTAAATCACCGAGAAATGCCCAGTAGGAAAGAACCTGGTTCTGTTACCTTTTCTTTCTGTTGGATGTTGAATGTTGGACGGATCCGATATCAGATCGGCGGAGCTTGTTGCTGATTTCTTGATTTCAGTGCGATTACGAAACAATTTTCTGGGGGGATGAATGTTTGCTTTTACGAATATATTTATTTTAATAATAACCGAGACACAAACCGAACCGAAACCGAATTTAAAGAAAGCACAACCAAAACAAAGCGACAACCGAAAAGAAGGGAAAGAAATTTAGTTAATTGGAGGGATTATAATTATATTGTTAAAATTTGATTTGTTGCCGTGGCTGTTGCAATAAGGAGAACCGAACTAAACAGAACAGAACCGAACGGAACCGAAACCGAAAAGTGCAACTAATTCGTAATAACAATAATAATAACAATAATAATAATAATAATAATAAGGAAATAAAACCGAACGGAAAGTAGAAAAGAACGCGTTCCTGAAACTCAACAGAACAGAAATAAATGATTTGGCGAGCGGCGTGGAATGTATTTTTATGCCTCCGAGCGAGTCTAAGAACGGAACGGGAGAGCGTCAATACCGAACGTAAGAGAGAGAGAGAGAAGACTGTTGACTGTTGTGCAGTGTTGGCCAACTTGTCGAATGCTCTTTGTCGCCGCAAGGGAAGAGAAATCTGTTTGGAATGGATCATACATACAGGTACATTTAATGCATGTATGCATGTATGTACATATATGTGTGCGTGTGTATCTATGCATGTACCATACTTGTACATATGTATGTAAATTAGATACGGGGGAGAAAGGTAATTTATAATTGGATTTTATGTGAAAACTCTCCATAAATATTTGCAATTCCTTTATAGTAATATGTATATTTGATGTGGCCGTCCCATTCGAAAGCTAATTCGAGTTCTAAGCACTAAAAAGCTGAAACTATTTCCAGATGATAGTCAAATTCTGTGGTAGCAAAACAGTTGTTCCAACTGATATTGGGTTTGTTGTGATTTCACCTTAATTACCTATTGATTGAAACACACATTGCCTGTGTCTTCCGGAAAGTTAAAAATCCGAATGATACTGAAACACCTGAAATACATACATATAATCATCATAATACATAAATATGTATGTATTCACATGTGTACATACATATCATTTGTTTGCAATAATGTACTTCATTTATTGGCTATTTAATTCACTTTAAGTTGAAACAGAAAACTGACTCCAATTTATAATAAAAAGGATTAATTTTTAAAGCCATGATTTTATCAATATAAAGTTTGTACTGTCGCTACTAGCAAATAAACACATGTACATATGTATATACATACATATGTATGTATGAGTACACATTTACTGACATTTTAAATATAAGTCGTACATTTAGAGGACTAAAAACGGTATTAAAGCGCCTCTGCGCCTTTAAAAATGATATTTATAATTTCACTACAGAAACCGTCCGTCCAACAACTGTTTTAGAGCCAATTTTCCCCCCAAAAACACGCCCCCACATAATGAATCACAAACCAACAATTCTCTTTAATAAATTGTTAAAAATTCCAACCGTCTAATTGATGGATGTACGGCTGGATGCGTACGAGTACATGTATGCGGAACTATGTAGGAAACTACATACATACATATGTACATCTGCTTGTGTGCACTTGCCAGCCAGGGCAAAAGAGCCATTCAAAACGCAAGAACAAAACAAAAAAGTGACACACCTTGCCAAATCCTTCGTAAAGGTAGGGAGAGAAACAGTGTGAGAGAGAGACAGAGGGAGTGGAAGGACTAGTAAAGTAGAAGAACGTCTAAAGCTGAATTATAGAGGCCGCTTTGCATTTGGGTGCGGCAAAAATAAACGGGAGAGAGAGCAAAAAAGCGAAAACTGCAGCAGAAGCGCAGGCAGCGCAGTCAGCTGTCAGCTGAGCGCGCCACAAAATATGCAAGTCCCGAGCACCAGAGAGTGCGACACATAAGCTCAGAGAGCAAGCTTAGCTGCAACCTGACGTTGACTTTGACGCTAGCGTCAGCGCCAACACAGGGGTGGGGTGGGCCTGGTGTAACAGTTACCGAAACCCGGGGCTCTATGCATCCTGTCCTCTTCAAAGTTGATAACTGAATTTGATATCATATATAATATATGGGGTAAAAGTAAGTTGGAACAAACATAAATAAAATAAAAAAAATAGCTCTAAGCTCTGTCAAGCTTTTTCTGCAAAAGGCTCCCCAAACCCCTCCCACCATCCGGCAGTGTCCGCTCCTGGATCAACGTCGTTTTTTTAGGTTAAATGGCGACTGCAGGCAGCGGCCGGCGCTGCACGAAATGTGCAGCTTCGTGCATAAGTGTGCAGTTGGTTGTGTATCTGTGTGAGTATGACTGTGTGTAGGCGGCAAATACATATCAAAGTGTAGAGAAAATGCGATTCTGCCGACAGAGAGCCTCCCCATTGAGCCCCGTTTTACTATCGCCCGATACAAGGCTTGAGTGCTCTGGGCGAAGGGCTGAGGGGGAGGGGAGAGGTTGTTCTCTACTCTGCTATATGCAAAGTGAAAAATCGACTTTGGGTGTGGGCACTCTTTTGCATGAAAAAAAATGTAAAATGTAACTGCGGATCCCCCGTCATTTTTCCATTTTCTTACTTGGCTCGTCGGCGCCGCAAAATATCCTCACTGATTTTCACAACTTTCCGTTATGCGTTTTCGTTTTTGAAAAACTTGAGAATTTTGTTCGTTGCAAATGAGTTTTAAAAACTAGTTGAGCACGAACACACACACATTTGAAGATTTTTCGAACTGATTCCGATACATATAGCACTATATATTCATGTTTAGATATACATATGTAAGTTGCATTACGAAGATGTGTGTAAGGCTGGTTGTGTGAGTATGCTAGATGTGTGTATTTTGATACCGATATACAACAATTTATAAACGACGAGAATCAAAAAACACAACTTGCGCCGGAGAGTGCAAGAACTAAATGGTGTTGTGTTCAATTGCCGCCAGGATAAATGCAGCCAGGACTCGCGACAGCGCTGCCCGCTGCACCAGTGTCCCCAGTGCCAGCAGCAGCAACAGCGCTGCCGCTCGTTCTGTCCATGTATCATAACAAGACGGTGTATTCCAGCAAAGCACTCTCCTTTCGTTGCTTATTTTGCTGAGTACAACTGCAAGTACAACAGCAAACATCGTTGTGACTGGATGTAGGCAAGTATGAATAAGACCCGAAAGAGAGGGAAAACACCACCATCTAATTTCGTCATGATTCTGCCATTGGCGGCGTACAGTTGAGTACGCGAGAGAGCAAAGGCATAACAACTGCGTAGTTTTTGCATTGGCATGCACAGTAGGGGCCAAACCGGCATAAGGGCTAGTTGAATGTATGTACGACCACACCACGCTAGAATAATACCGCATATGAGGCCATTTAAAAATTATTTATCTACATCCAAGCTCGATCATGCAAAATGGCACATCAGAAGAAGCAAGTTGTGAAAAGGAATAAATAAGTTAATACTATAAAATCTTGTTTAATTCTCATTGCATGCAATTTACAGTACACCGTACCCTAGACAGTACCATATTTTCATTCATAATTTGTGCAATATTAATCCAATATTGTCACATTGTACCAAATGAAAAGAGAGAGGCAGCTCCAACAATAACAAGAAGCTGCAGCACAAAATTGCGCAGGTACAGGCAGAAGCAGCCACAGCGCATGCATCCCAAGCGCTGCACTAAATACCGATAGAGTTCTCTCTCTCTCCTTCACATCAGTTAGTTATTCTCTGTACAGTTTCAGCTGCACTGTCACGCTTCGTCTTTTAGCCGAATACCCTACATTCGTTCGTAAAACATAAACAAGGAAATGCAGCCAGCAATACCGATGAACACAAACCAAATTGTGGTAGGTTCTTCGTTTCGAGAGAGAGCGAGAGAGAGACCGACCAACCGAGCATCTCAAGCCGGCCGTAACGGGAAAGAGCAGCCAAAAAGGCACCCAAACAAACAGTTAAATAGCAACAAATGCAAGGCAGCTGACCTGAAGGTCTGCAAGAGCGGCGAGGAGGGAATTGAGAGAGCCGAGCGAACGAGCAGCAAGCTCAACTTGACATCATTTGTGTCAAAAGACCATTGAACTCTGCGAGCAAAACGCCACCCCCTACACCCTACACAGCCCACCCACCAATACTCACAACCCACAACCCATCGCTCTCACCTATATGTATGCAACAATCTCTACTCTTGTCTTCTTTGTGTGGTGTGTTTTGTTGTTGTTTGCTTAGAGATGTATGTACATACATAAATATATATGTATGCACGTGTAAAACAACCTGCACACTCACAGATAAGCTCAATGCATTACAAACCTTTTCTATCTGCAGTTATCTTACAACTGTAAGTATTTTAGCCCCTATATGTACATATGTAGGTTTTAATATTATTTTATTAGAGGAAATAAAGCTTACGGTAAATTTAGAATAATTTAGTATTTAAATTTATAGAGTTGGTGAGGATTCCATTTACTTTCTTCTACACGAATTCAAGCCTCTTATTGTGCCGAGTGTAATGGGATCATCTGTACGCATCCAGTGCTTTGGAATTTAACCGAGCGCGTTCAACAACTCGGACGATGGTTTGGATCTCTTTTGAAAAGAGTCTGAGAGCGGTGGACATTCTCCTGTGGCATCAAGGTCTGAGGCGGCTCCTCCTTCACTTTTATGGCGGAAAGTGCCGCTCTGGCAGTTGGAGAGTAGAGACAGCCTGAGGCGGCCCCACCTATACAGCGGGTGCTGATAAAGTTGGAGAATATTGTTTAAGTAAAGAACATTCTCCGTCGTCTGCATCGTTGGTCTTACCATTTGTTTGGTTTTTACGCATGGCATTCACAGCGAGCCCAGGCTGGCCACCCCATGATGACACCCATCCAGGCATCATCAAAAATTCTTCTCCAGCGTATTTTCCATCGACAGCTAGGCGCTTGCGTTGGGGGAGACGTTTCAAAGTCTTTCTATTTACTTTTCCATTATGAAGAAGAGGAAGGCTCATAAGGTCCAGTCCTGTTTCAAAAGATATGTCACCTGATTCAAATAACCCATCACCTGTGATAGTCCAGCGACAGGCGCACTTTGCTCTTGAGCATTCAGAGTATTCAGCGCACGAGACAAAGGATTCGTCACCTGTGCCAACGAGCTCATATACCTGGATACTGGGTGAATCAACAATGATCTTTCATTAATTAATGTTTCAACGACGGCCGCACTTTGCGGCCTTGTGTCTCCTTAATACTTACTGCCTTGCCAATTTCTGCGGCTGCGAATATTGTCATGTTCGGAAATGTTCGTTACTAATCCACGGGGTGAATTTATAGCACGGCGCGTTACAGCCATAATCAAATTTTCGGAATTGGTTGCACGTTGGGTGGAATATATGAAACTTTGCGCGTCGCCTCAATGGCTGCAGTCAGAACGAGAGACATATATGCGTCAAGCTGGCTTTCCAGTTGAGCTGGGAGCAGCGCTGCGGTAGAATGAATTGATTGTTTTTCTTTGTGGATACAATTTTGGTGGCTTTGTGGCTGTGTTTTGCTGGCAAACATCTGAACGTCTGAAAGCCAGTAGACGTGCCTAGAGACGGCTATCTACAATAATTTTGCATAAGTTAGCAAAGTATAATGTCAATTTTAATATTTAATTTAATGTAATTATTTTAATTTAATTATATTGTAAGACTTTAAAGACGACAGCCGAGGAATGGAAAAGGTACCATCAGTAGTGCAGCTAATGCTACAACTCAGGCAGTGTCACTTATGCACATGATTCACCTTACAGACAGATACGACAGTTCGCAAGTCTAAATGTGAAGATGATGATGAATGCATGGGAATATACGGTGGTGTTCGATGTGAACACATATGTACACCCTGGAAAAAAATGGAATATTTCGCTTGTCCTGACTTGGTCAGGCGATTCAAAAGAGGAGAATTCATTTATGGAAATTACTATTAAAACTAATATTCATTTATGTAACTTCGTCACAAGCATTCGGTGCAACAAACGCTACTCCAAGGTTACTATATCAACACCAACAAATTCGAAGACGGCAGCACAGGTCGAAAGGCAGAAAGACGTCGACCGAAGAAGGAAAAGCGCGAACTCAGCACACGAGCGGACAATCGACGCAAAGGCGCTGGCCAAGATTATATAACCAACCCCTACCGCAGCAAAACCAAGTAACCAAAGCTCTCAAATGACGTAATCAACACTTAGCAAAAACGAAAACTCAGACATGCCAAAAGACAGGAGACCGGGCACAAGGGGCACAATCACCTAACATAATCTTAAATAAATAAATATTCCCAAAAATATATTCACGAAGTTCCAACGAAATTCCTTTCCCACGCTACCGGTGCACAACTATCACCTTTGGTCTGGACGTTGATATGCAATGACTACACCATCAAGTGGCCAATGCGACACCAAGCCGAAGCCTGTTACGCGCGGAACCCAGGCAGAAACGCAGCCCCTCATCCCGCCCAACCGACCGAGGGGCGCTGCCGCATGACGCGCGACGCGTGTTACCGAACCAATAGCGAGCATGCAGGAAAGATAGGTGTTAAATTAAAATTCGAGGAAAATTCAAAACTCAAAACACAACTCAAAAGCCTAACCATGCAAAGATAGCTAAGAAATAGTACTAATTACGGGAAAGGTATGTTAGTATTAGTGATTTAAGAAGAGGAAGGGAATTAGTAGTGGATATTATGTGGTAGAGGGAATTGAAGTCCGAGCAAAGGACCCTAAATGGTTCGTGCAAGGAATAATTCGATATACAAAGCGGAAGGAACAAAGAAATAAAGTTTCTAGTAGATCTAACAGGAATCGTAAAGTTTATGTGGCTCAACAAGTCAGGGTTTTCTACGTCACCCTTGATCAGGTTGTGCATAAAATCACCCCAAGCATTTTTCTGCGACTAACTAAGGTTGGAAGGTTTATTAAAAGCAATCTACGAGGGTAAGATGGCAGTCTCACACCTGCACCCCGTTAAGGCCACGCAAAGCAAAAAGTAAAAAGTTTTTCTGGACTGATTCTATACGGTCCTGGTGTACTTTGTACTGGGGGCACCATGCACAAGAGCCGTACTCTAAAATCGGACGAACAAGCGAGATGTTGAGAGTCTTCGTTATATATTGGTCGTCAAATTCCTTTGACCACCTCTTTATAAACCCAAGCACGCCCATGGCCTTATTTACCATGGTAGAAATGTGTTCAGAAAACTTTAACTTTGGGTCTAATTTAACACCAAGATCATCAACCAAGGTAATTCTCTCAAGAGAACCACCGCAGAGGCTATAAGGAGCCCAAAAGGGGCTGGAGCGATGAAATGTAATTACTTTGCATTTCGAGGCATTTAGGTGTAACATATTTGCACGACACCATGACTGAAAGTTATTGAGATCGGATTGCAAGCGAGAGTGAAATGAATTGTCCTTAAACTGGACACAGAGTTTAACATCATCCGCATACATGAGTACTCGAGAGTTTGTTAATACTGAAGGCAGATCATTAATAAAGAATGTGAATAGTAGGGGGGGTAGATGGCTGCCCTGTGGTACTCCAGAAGTAACCTTAACAGGTGAAGAGAATGAGTTTTTGAAGAGGACATATAACGAAGGTAGCTAGAAATCCATCTCAAAAGATTAGGCGGAAACCCTAAAAGGTCAAGTTTTTGTGCTAGAAGGGAATGGTTTACAGAATCAAATGCTTTGCTGAAATCAGTGTAAATGACATCCGTCTGCAAGTTACCTTGAAAGCCTTTAATGATAAAAGAGGTAAACTCTAATAAATTTGTGGCTGTTGATCGTCGCCTTATAAATCCGTGCTGGGACGGAGATATAAGTGATTTGCAGAGATGTTGCAAGTGCGGAGTTAAAATTTTTTCAAACATTTTAGGAATAGCGGATAACTTAGATATACCTCTATAATTATTTGCATCAGACTTGCTACCTTTCTTATGAAGCGCAATAATAAAAGATTCCTACCAGATGGGGGGGAACATGCAGAGTTAATGGATAGGGTGAATAGTTTAAGCAGGGGTCCACACAGAGCGTCGGCACAGTACCTGAGTACACAGCCGGGTACTCCGTTGGGACCTGGTGAAAACACCGGCTTAACTAGTCGAAGATCATGAAGCAGTGAGCTTTAATTTAAGAAGGGGCTGAAAATGCCGTTCGACCTTGGTAAACTGTATGGAGACGGCTGAGTAGATTTCATTAGAATAGGTTGTTTGGAAAATTTTGGCAATTGCCTGATCATTGTTTGCTGACATATTGAGAAATGATAGCGAGGATGGATGCTCGGACGTTCCACGCTTACTATTTACGAAGCTGTAAAACTGTTTGGGGTCCTGTGAAAATCGTATCCTGCATCGAGATAGGTAGTTTTTATAGCATTGAGCGTTAAGAACGGAGAAATTTGACCGAGCTATTACATAGCGAGAAAGAGAAGAGGGAGAACCAACTTCTCGAAATTTTTGTTCATTTTTTCCATATTTTAGGTTTGGTTAACGAATTTTAGCTCCAAAGTCTATCCATAGATTTTAATGAACGATACCTTGAAGGACGCCAAATTAATGCACCTATACACAAAAAAATAGAGGACACAGGATATAATTTTTTTGTCGACTTTTCCTGAGTTTTTAAAGTAAAAATTTCGTAAAAAATACCGCACAAAAATCATAATTTTTGCATTTCAATGCTTTATATTTCCCAGACGGTAAGCTGTAATCACAAAGTGTTTAGGCTTAACTTCTAGCTGTTTTATCTTTTCAAAATAGCAAAGTTCTTTACAACCAGACGTAAGATACTAGAGTTATGTGAAAAAAACAAGCGCTTCCTCTGAAAAAAGCTTTAAAAAAAATACCAGACTTAAAAAATTTTTCAAAAAAAAGTTCTGCTATAAAAAAAAAGCCATAATTCTTTAAAAAATTGTAAATCTCCATATCTATCAGAAAAAGTAGGTTTGGATCCTTGAGGAAAAAAAAAGTTCGATTTTGTCGAGTAGTGTTATCGATGTTGATTTGCATGTAATTTTTGACTACTTGCAAGCCCTGCTTAATTAACTGAAAGCAGCCAAGGCGTAGCTTAAGCTCAACACCAAAATGGTCTGTCGTGTAGTCGCTTATTATCTTAAGTCCCTCTCCCCAGTCAACGGGTAGCTCTGTTGAGCATATGAAGAAGTCAATGGAAGTGTGTCTACCTGTAGTGTGGTTCCTTCTAGAGGGTTCAGCAGTGGGGTATAAGATAAGGTTTGGTTGCTCGATTGGCCAATTGTGGAGCGTTCGTCCATCGGTATTTATATGTGCTGGGCTCTGCTCGGGGAGATGCCAGCTTGGGTGCTTGGCATTCAGATCTCCTGCAGCAATGATGGGGCTAAGGGATTGCTCCTCAATAGAGGTGAGTAGTGCGTTGATGTCCGTTGATGTCAATAGAGGTGAGTAGTGCGTTGATGTCCGTTGAGACGGTGCTCAGCAATGAGCATGATGTCTGGTTTGTGTATGGCTAGTATGTTATCTAATTCGTATCTCTTTTAATGAGATACGAGTGAATTGACATTTTAAAAAATGCATTTGAGCTGCATTACGCCATGGACATTTGAAATAAAAAGTCTAGAATGATCTGCAATTAATGCATTTTATGTCATTTTTTTAATTTTCTGGCGATTTTTGGATGACGCATCTGTAGGCCAATTTGCAGTTGCTCGCAACGTGCGAGAACCGTTGGCAGTTGTGGCACTGCAGTATTGAGTTTTTATTGGGCCTAAGTGGCTCAATCACTATGCGACAACTAAGTAGGGTTTTAAGGGCTACTATTCTCTTGATATTATCAACGTTCCACTCAGTCTGGACCAGCCAGAATTTTTCTTTGAAAGGCTTAACTGTGGTGAATTCTATTCCTGGAAGACTTTCCTCAAGCGACCCCTTGATCTCTTCGGCATTGTAAACTGTAAGCGGGATTTTCATAATTATAAAAGTATATGGTTTTAACTCCTTTGGAGTATAGGTAAAGTATTTGATCTAGTTAAGCTCAAGTATCTGCTTGGTCTTGGTAAAGCTGGCTAGGCTTGTAGCCCATTAGCTCATTATTAATTTTCTCCACACTATTGTTTCTTTCTCTCAAGGGTTGTAATTCTGTCAGAATTCCATCCAGTTGTGTGAAAGTGATGGTTTGCTCCTGTTCCATGTCGCACTCATCATCGCCTTCATCGACCACGACTTCACGGTTGCGACTAGCGGCGGCTAACTGAGTCATATTTATGTCTTCCATCTTTGGTTTTGTGTATTTATGTGTTTTCACTATGCGGTCACAACTACTTTTCAATACTGCCAATTTCTCAGTGCACTTTCAGTATATCTTTTGAAATTTTAAACGAGTTTTTTCTCATCCATGTTTATGTTTCTTTTTTGTGTGTGTTTTCCAAACAAAATATTCTCCCTATTTCAAAGGTACCTCAACCAGACTTCCCACATCCTTAAAGTCTATAACAAACCTCATCTTTTTCGTTAACCTTGTTTTATTATTTTTTTTGACAACCAATAGAAAACACGGAAAATCTTAATACTTCGTCAGTGCCTCGAATTTTGGCCTCTAAGAGGCAAATTATATAAATTGTACAGGATTAAAATGCTAGATATTCTGGCATTTGAAATCACTTGCAAATTGATTGCAACAATTCCAGACAAAAACTTTGTAACGGCCCTTTGGCCGGGGTATGCTCGCCGCGCCGGGGTTCACAGAAATTTGTTTGATCTCTGAATGTGGTAGCTGAAAGAAAAGGCATCTTGATCTAGAATAAGGCGACACGAGTAAGGTGGCAAAAGTAGGTGTTTATCTTTATTGATCTTAAAATTACAGAGTTTGGTGTGCCTTTAGCGGTGGTTACAAGCTCGTCCTCGAGGCCCTCCTTCAGGGTCGTCAGGGCCGCACGTGGCTACTCGATGTGTGCTGGTCGTCTCGGGGTATGGTCTCGGAGGATAATGCGCGGCGTTGGCCGGCGGAAAAGGCGGAGGATAATGCGCTCCGAGTAGGAAGGAAGGCAGCAAAAATTAAAATGTAGAGGAATCGTACGCACTAGCACAGTAACCAATGCATTCCAAATGGACGGTATATAGCAGGGCTTGTTGTGATACAGCTTAAGTATCTATAGTTCTATAGTTGAATAGTTCTGAGTGACAAGGTCAAAAACATGAATATTTACATAGAAACATTGGCCTGGGCTTTGGAGCTTATCCGGGCTTTCGTATTTTTTAATGATAACTCATTCATGTTTTTATGTTGTTTATGTTTATGATGTTTTGATGATTTGTTTATTTTGAATATTTAATGTGTGTTTTTGTAGATTATAGGAAAAAGTATTTTTTTTAGAAAAAACCTATATAAAATGAAGGATATGATGAATTATTAAGGGGTGGCTCCAATTGTGATATTCTCTTAAGTATTAAAGTATTACTACTGTCTCTATTCGTGAGTATGAGTTTGTTTGTATATTCAAAGTCCATTTCAGACTCAGTATCCATACTGCTTTCATGGCTATTAATTTTCTCTTGTATATCAATCAATGCTTGCTCTAGCTGGGCATTTGATTTGATTTGATTTAGATCTTTTATTTTGACCATTTGGGTATCATCTTTGCCATCATCACAGTCGTAATAATAGTTATGATCAATGTTGGCATCAATATTGGTGTCGGCTCCATGAATCTGGGGTTGGGCCTGAGGGTAGGTCCTTGCAGTTATTTGGCCCTTGTCTTTTAATAATGCTGTTATTTGTCCTGTAGCCGGAAACCACGTCACTTGTCGTATTATTATTAATTTTTTCACTATATTGCGCCTCTCGATGCGAGACTGTACATCAATATCATTATTGTTATTTTTATGTAAATTGCAAATTTCGGCTCGGGGCTTACCACTTACCACACTCCCTTTGGGCCATGCTTTTTTCTTGAGAAAGACTGGCCGTTTATACCATTAATGTTGTTCCCTTTTGTTCCACATTTATATTTTGTTTTTGATCTTATTGTCCACATATGTTTTTGTTTTTCCTATTCACTCTTAACTTTTCGGTTTTTTTTTTTTTTGTAGAAATATTTATTGTTTATTTAATTTTGACTTTTTTATTGTTTTTGATTTTTAAGTTGATTTTCATTGATTGTCATTTTTCAATGATTTTGGTTTTCATTTTCGAATGTAAATGGTTGCAATCCCAACGCCCATCTTGCTACTCGGCAGAATGGACTTTCAACGGAATTCAACCATTTCAGGGCTGAGTGATCTGTTATCACAACGAACTGAACCCTTCGAGGTACATCCTCATCTTGTGGATCCCCAAGTAGATGGCAAGACATTCTTTCTCTGTATTTTGTAGTATTTTGTTTCCTCGCTTTTCAGCTTGCGTAGGAAATTACATGCTCTCCATCTGCATCTTCCTCCGCTCCAAGACCGCAATCACTTGAGTCCGTTTGTAGGATAAAGGTTTTTCTGAAGTTTGGAAGGGCCAGAATGGGTCAAAGACAATATAAGATTGTTGGCTCCGCGCTGGGATAGAGTGTTAAATTCGGTTCGTTTTGCAGCCATTTATATAACCGATTACCACTTGTATTGATATGCTGAATACTAAATATCGGTGGATGCCAACTTGGATGTTTGGCATTCAAGTCTCCCCCAATAATTATAGGTGCATTCCCTGAAAATTGTTTGATTGAGTTAGTTAGTTTTTCAAGATCGGTTATCAATTCACTATACCCCGGTCTGTTGTATAGGGCGACTGCTATAATGGTTTTCCAACCTTGGCTATGATTGTTATTTGTCTGATAGCACTAGTCAACTCTAGAATTAGGCTGTGGCCCAAAATTTAGATTCTTATAGATTTCGAGGGCTTAAACATTTTTAACGAATTATTGTTTTTTTTTATGGTGTAGTTTTTTTTTAAAGAATTTTTTAAAATCTGGTTTTTTTTTTTTTGGTTTTTTTTTCAGAGGCAGTGCTTCTATTTTTCACATAACTTAAGCATTTTATATCTGGTTGTATAGAAATTTCAGTTCTGAAAGTTCATCATTTTTTGCGGTCTTTTTTTCAAAATTTTTACTTTAAAAACTCGGAAAAGTAAAAAAAAATAACAAAAAATACTTTCTGGAAGGTTGCGGGACCAACTGCCAATTGGAAACAAAGCCCACGAAAAGGGGTTGAATTTTGGTAAGTTTTTTGTCTATTTTTTCACTTTTGAGGTTTGGTTAACGAATTTTAGCTCCACCGTTTATCCATAGATTCTAATGCAATACTTTAAACGACGCCTAATTAATGCGTCTATCCAAAACCAAAAATGTTGGCCAAGAATAATTTTTTTTTTCGACTTTTCCCCGAGATTTTAAAGTCAAAATTTCGAAAAAAAAAACACCGCAAAAAATGATGAAATTTGAATTTGAAAGATTAATATCTTCCAGGCGTTAAGCTGCAGATACAAAAGGTCTGGGTCGGATTTATAGTTGCGTTTGTCAGCTTTTCAGAACTGCAAAGTTCTATTAACATAATATAGATACTAAAGTTAAGTGAAAAATGTGCTCTTCTTTGAAAAAAACCAAGAAAAATCTATCAGAAAAAGTCATTTTGGTTCACAGCCTAAATCAAAAGTTCAATTTTGTCGAGTAGTGTAGTTAACAAAATATTCGCCATCAAAATCAAGGATGTGTTTATAGACCACCCATTGCGGTCTTGCTGGCCTTTTCCCCAACTTTATTCTAAGTCCACGGATTAAGAACGGAGCCAAATGCATATAGTATGGGAAGGACGGTAGGCACTGTCGGGTGCACTTCACTCCACGAAAGTCAGCATTAGTATTCAATAAACGAATAATGCGTTCATCAAATGTGCTGGTTGTTTGAACTTTCGAATAATCCGGTGAAGTCTCTCCGTTTTCACGGTCCATCTCAACGTCAGTAGAATCAGCTACTATAACCGTTGCAACGGTTGTGCCACAACGCGTTGTGGCAAACCCTCGTGCTGTACTAACTGGACAGGCATCTAAAAATCCATCGTCCAAACCAGGAAAATAGACGGGTCCTTCCACCATAGGCCCTCGCGATTCCTCCGCTATCTCTACAGGATCATCTTGAAACACTATTTTATTGTCTCTTATTATGAAAAGTTTCACGGTACTGATCAAACAAATCAACATTATGTAATCGTTGAACTTCTTCTCTTAAGTTTACTGCTGTGTTTGGGTAAACAACTAAAAGAACAAAAATAGATGATTCCAATGAATAATCGAATTCATCATCCAGTGTAGCGTAACGAGTTTGGCTATTATTGTGATTTTACAATAGCTGCAGTACACCCTATGCTCATCAGTATGGTCCTTTCTTGCTAAAGCTTTAAATTCATCGCTTTTAAGCCAAGCATCGCGGCACTTCTGCTTATATTCTTTAGGGATTTCACAAATTGTTATACGTTAACATTCACTTTCACGCACATAGGGATGGTAGAATGGTATAGAGATGATAATATTTTGATTCAAGCAACAATAAAAAAAAAAGCGGAAAAAAGCCAAATAACATTCTAAAAAATCTAGAAGTCCCGCTTCCCGCAATTGCCAAACTATTCCCGCAGTTGTTCATAAAAAAAGCCAGATTTGAGGGGAAAAAAGCGGAATCGGCAGCACTCGCCGAGACGATGCGTCGCGACGACAGTATGTGTGCACATGCATACGTTTTTTTAAGGCGCTGTCGAAATATACCCTTCACTTTATAAGTGTAAGTTAATTTTGCAAACCGCTTACCAACCCAATATTAAAAAACTCTTATATTGTATATATCCCTCCAATAATAATTTCCTTTTAAGATGGTATATTCGATAATAATGAGCGGATATACACCCAGAAAACCAACGAAGCATGCCTTTTGCGAGAGTCCCGCAAAATGCTCGCAAACGAGCTCGCATGCGAGCTTGTGTACGAGTATTCATTTTTGTATCGCAAAACATTCGTAAACGAGCCAAAAATGAGCTATCCTTTTAGTATTGCAAAACACTCGCAAACGAGCTCGCAAGCGAGCTTGTGTACGAGTGAGACATTTTCGTATCGCAAAACATTCACTAACGAACTCGCATGTGAGAGTTTTACAATACAAGTGCGGACTGTTGAAAATATTGCAGAGTCATTCCGGTAATTTTACGTAAGCGCCCTCTTTGTCTCGTCTCTCGCACTAACGCCGTTCCAGCGTTCCTTCTCCGCCGATAGAGGGCTCACATTACTTGGGTGAGAGAGAGAGAAGAATGAGTAAGCGAGGACGTCACGATACAGAAAAACCAGGCCGCCATTTGGTTCTTATTCTGCCAGATGTTAAAACCAGGTGTTCGGTCGTACCACTCATACTTTACATTTCCCATAAACTCTTCCTTTTTGGGAATTTTCTCATCAATAGAACAAAATTTTGACAAAAATATATCTCAGCCTAATATAGAACAAATTTCAGGAAAAATATTTTATATCGAAGATTGTGGAAATTACATTTATTTTCCTTTAATTGACTAATTCAGATAGGAAAAAATGAATAGTCAATACAATTTTAATTTTGAAGAAATGGGAGAGAAAAATCAAGACAGTCAACTAACAAAGCTTACGCTATTGTAATCTAAGGCTTTGAGACTTTCGAGGACTCTCTTAAGGAAGAGCATTTTTTTAAGAACTTGGTAATGAAATTGTAAATTTTCGGAGTAAAGCACTTATTTGAAAACCTAATACTGTTCTTAAGTTCAAGGATTTAATCAAAAACAATGAAAAAACCATTGAAAACACTAGTCAACACGATTTTTCCTCAAGGAACAAAACGAACTTTTTCTTAAAGATTTGGGGCTTAGAAATGGTTTGATATTTTTTTTTTTTTCTATGGCAGAACTTTTTTTCACATAGCTCTAGAATCTTACGTCTGGTTGTAAAGAACTTTGCTATTTTGAAAAGATAATTAAAACAGCTAGAAGTTAAGCCCAAACACTTTGTGATTACAGCTTACCGTCTGGGAAATATAAAGCATTGAAATGCAAAAATGATGATTTTTGTGCGGTATTTTTAAAGAAATTTTGACTTTAAAAACTCAGGAGAACTCTATTTTTTGTGTATAGGTGCATTAATTAGGCGTCGTTTAAGGTATTGTTCTTAAAAACTAGACCAAACCTAAGAAATTAAAAAAATGAACAAAAAATACCTTTTTTAAGGTTGCGGGCCCAACTGCCAATATACATTGTAGATATAGATAAGAGATGTAGAAAAAAAATGTAAAATGTAAAAATTTTTTTTAATTCTAAAATTCTAAAAAATTATGTTAAAAAATGTATATACTGACTGAAAAGAGGAGGGGGGCGCCCCCAAAAAGAACAAACCCGCCCTTTGGGAAAAAAAAAAAAAAGGGGGGGAAAAAAAAAAAAACCCTCCAGGAAAAAGGAGCCGGGGAATAAAAAATACGGATTACATTGAAGATTGGCAGTTGTGTCCCACAGATAGCGATATATCTCACATGTTCCTATATTTTTATACGTTAATATTAAAAGTGGATGGGGGAGGGCGACGAGTAAAAAACAACTATTCCTCCAACTCATGTGATACCCACTGCTACAAGTGTATTAAAATTTACCGATTACATTTGAAGATTGGCCAGATTGTATCGTCGGTTCATAAGTTGCAGCGATGTAGGTATCCCTCCCCCTCCCCCACACACATATATTTTTTTTCCCCCCCCCCCCAAAAAGAAAAACTAAGAGGCCAAAAAAAAAAGAAGAAAAAATAAGAGAAAAAATAAAATTTTCATTTTATATATTTTTTTATTTTCATTTTATATATTTTTTTTATTATTACAGAGCGAGCCAGAGCCAATTCACAAATGCATGGGATGCGGCATAGAACATTTTTTTCTGAATTTGGTCAAAGAGTGAAGATCCACAAAATGTAACATTTTACAGAAGTCCAACAATGATTTTTGTTCTTCGTGCTCGAATTTAATCCAATCCACAAGAAAGCAATTGAATCTAAACAGAAAAGGACCAAATCGTGAGAATTTCTGTCGATGAAATCAAGGCATTTCGATGCAAGCTTCATGAGGTTCCAGAGGCGTGGTGCCGACTCGACTTCCTGCATGCCATACAGATTGGCCACTTTAAAGAAGGCATCCACGCGGCAAGTATCGGGCGGTCCGCCGGCAGGCGCTGATCCTCCACTATCTGTTCTGTGTTTGGATATCTTTAGCCTACAAATTCCTGCCAACACACTGACAGATTGGCAGCTATTGAAAACTACAAAATGTTGAAAGTTGGCAAACTTTTCATTGGATCCGCTGCAACGCATTAACTCATGTAATACTGCATTTTAGGAATGCTTTCGCATCCTGGGAGTCTGCGAGGGGGCGGACCAGAACACCGTGCGTCAGGCGTACTTGGATTTGGTGAAACGCGTCCATCTGGATGCGAGGAGGCCAGTGCCGAACGATTCCAGCAGGTGGACGAGGCCTTCAAGATGCTGCAGGAGAAGTTCACTAAGGGTCGGCGCAACATCCCGGACGACGAGGAGCAGGCCATGGAGTTTGACATCAAGCACACGGCGCCACAACATCGACAGTTTCTGTCCAACGAGGGCATTGGCTTGGGCACACCCTTTCAGCGCCAGAAGCAGTACCAGCAGGTGCGCGCCATGAAGGCCCAAGAGCGTGTCCTCGAGCATCGCATTGACAAGGCGGCCGCCGGTGACAGCACCCTCATGTCCAAGGAGGGAACCCATTTTCGCAAGCACGCCATCAAAACCAAATACGGCATTGATCGTGTAGTGGAGGATCTCATCCAGGAGTCCATGTCTATGGGCGATTTCAACAATCTCAATGGCTCGGGCAAGCCGCTGTCCTCCGCCCAGTCGCAGAATCCCTACCTGGACTTTACCACACACAAACTGAACAGGATAATGCTCGACAATGGCTTCATTCCCGAATGGATCACCCTCAGCAAGGAGATACGCGATGCGCGGCTGCAACTGTTGCTGAAAGTTCGCCAGGAGCGCGTCTACTACGGCGATTGGCCACTACAGCTTCCCGACGAGCAGGCCGCCTGGCAAAGGTTCTCCCTGGACCACGAGCATGAAGTCCAGGAGCTGAACAAGTTGATAGACAAATACAATCTGATTGTGCCCATACTCAAGAATCAGTTCTTTCGCTATCGCCTGGACCGTGAGGCCCCAATCGTGTTTAAGGAGACAGATTTAAAACGGAATCAGCCGCGTCCTGCAGCCCAATGCAAAGCGAAGGATAGACAGTCGGAAAAGGCGTTCAAAAGCTTGTTATCCGATCTGATAAGCCGTCTGTTGTGATTGGAATTGGGATACGTAAGCATCCCCATTCCATCCCCCGGTGATATTAGTTTGTAGAAATACGTTTAAATATTTTGAATAATTTGTTATATGATTTATAAAAACATGGAATGCCTGCAGTCTTAGCCAAAAATAGTAATAAAAGTAATCCCTTGGAGGGCATCAAAACTTACTAAAACTAAATGGTTAAATGTCTTCACTGGCCGTCCTTTGGCGCATCCTTCTTCACCTCGGACACCCGGCGCAGGGCACCGCTGGTCAACAGCGCCAATGCACGTGGAAAAGCCCAATGTTCGGCATGATGAATGCGTTGGGTCAGCATCTCCTCATCATCCCCTGGTAGTATCGGAACAGCTGCCTGCACGAGAATAGCTCCCGTGTCGACGCCCTCGTCGACAAAGTGAACCGTGCACCCGGACTCTGTATCGCCCGCCTCCAGGGCCTGCCGCTGGACATGCAGCCCCGGATATTTGGGCAGCAGTGAGGGATGAATGTTGATCAGACGGCCACGCCACTCGCGCACAAAGGGAACACTGAGTATGCGCATGAAGCCCGCCAGGCAGATCAACTCCACGCAAGCGGCCCTGAGATGGCGCGTTAGTTCCACATCGTAGACCTCGCGACTGGGGAAATCCTTGTGCGAGATGACCATCGAGGGTATGCCCGCCTTGGCGGCCCTCTCCAGACCCAAGACGCCCGCCTTGTTGCTGATCACGAGCACAATCTCCGCGTACACGCCCTGAGCTGAGTCACGAGTGGCATCGATGAGGGCCTGCAGATTGCTGCCTGTTCCTGAGATGAGCACCGCAACGCGTCGTCGGGGCTGAGATAGGATCCTCTGGGTTCTCGCCAGCGATGCCTCAAAGTTCTGGACCAGCACCTGGGGTTTCTTCGGATCCTTTCGAGCCACTACTTCGCCCACAACAGACGCGCGCTGTGGATAGCGGAGTTCCCGTAGCACGCCATCCACTTCCGTTGCTCCCACCACCAAAACCAGACCCAAGCCGCAGTTGTAGGTCCGCTGCAGCTCTGTGGAACTGATGTTCCCAGCTGCTGCCAGCCAGGCAAACACTGGTGGCAGCGGGTACTTGTTGGCGTCCAATCGCACGGCCAATTCCTTGCGCAGCACACGTGGTATGTTCTCGCTCAGGCCACCGCCAGTGATGTGCGCCAGTGCCTTGACCCCATGGTTGGGTCGGGAGAGCAGCGAGGACAATGCCTTCACATATATCTTGGTGGGCACCAGAAGCTCCTCGCCCAGTGTCTTCTCGCTGAACGGCGCCCGATCGTTGAGGCCCAAGCCAGCACGATTGAGCACCGCATGAACGAGGCTGAAGCCATTGCTGTGGACACCCGACGAGGGCAAGCCAATGAGCACATCGCCGGGTTGAATCTCTTCCAGGCGCGGCAGGATTCCCGAGCGCTCGGCTATGCCCAGAGCAAAGCCAGCCAAATCATAGACCTGCGGTTCGTACAGCAGTGGCAGGGCAGCACTATGGGAGGCTATCGATGGATACAGAAATGGAATTAATATGTGGAAGGAGAGGCAGGAGAGAGATCCACACCACGCCCAACTTACACACAAAACTGCTTTTGGCCTGGCTGGCACCCTCCTGTACGCCAGCGTTGACTTCCGCAGCCAAGTCCGCCTGCCACTTGCCGCAGGCATAATAGCTGGAAAAGCTAAAGGGTTCGGCTCCATTGCAGAGTATATCGTTGACGCACATGGCCACCAGATCGATGCCCACGCTGGCATTCCGATTGGTCTGCTGGGCGATCTTCAGCTTGGTGCCCACGCCATCGGTGCCCAAAATGAGTATGGGATCGTGGTAATGAGTGGGCACGCGTGTCAGGCGACGTCCCACGGCGTTCTCAAAGCATTCCTCGCGTGGCGTCGCCTTCACCTCTGTCGACGGCAGATCCTTGACTTCTTCCGGCAGCTGGGATTCCCCCAAACCTCCAAAGGGTGCGGCCAATTTCTGCAGCTGCTCCACAAAGTTGCGCACTTTCACGCGGGGAGCATTTCCCGAGGATTTCACTTGACGATTCAACACGCCCAGAACCTTGGCACCCGGCAGGGATGTGCGCCACAGCAGGCTTCTCTGCGGTAGGACCAGCACCATGCCAATGCCGCAGTTGTGCCTTTCCAGCAAGGTCTGGGCACTCAGCTGCAGCTGTCCCGCCAGCCAGCCAAAGACCTCTGGCACTGGCACTGCTCCAAAGTCCAAAGTGACCTCGAATCCCTCGGGCAGTAGGCGCTGGACATCGTGCAGCAGGCCATGCGTGACATGGGCCACAGATTTGATCTGGTTGCCAGCCTGCAAATGGGGCAGCAGCTGTTGCACATACAGACGAGTGGGCGTGCCCAGGATCTGGGCCAGGCTGAGGCCATGCTTGCCCCCGCCGACAGGAGAGCACTCCTTGAGATTCACTTTCGAGGCGGCCAATTGGGTGAGGATCTCGTTGAAGCCAGCACAGTGCAGGCCCGAGGAGGGCAGACCCACAAGCAGATCCTCTTCCTCGTACAGATCGAAGCGTGGCAGGACATGGGACTGCTCCACGATGCCCACACAGTAGCCAGCCATGTCATGCTGTCCGGGTGCATAGAGCGAGGGCATCTCCGCTGTCTCGCCACCTGCATGGAATATATGTCATATATAGTGAAGATCAAACCTCAAATCAATCAACTGATACGCACCCACTAAAGCACACTTGGCATCCCGACAGCCATCGGCCATTCCCTTGACCAGTTGAGCGGCCAGTGGCACATGCAGCTTGCCACAGGCGATGTAATCCAGAAACGCCACCGGTTCGGCGCCCAGCTCCAGCAGATCATTGGCAGACAAGGCAAACAGATCGTAGCCAATATTCTCATACAATTCGTTTTGCAGGGCCAACTGGATCTTGGCCCCCACACCCTGCGTGGCCTCTGCAATCACGGGCTCCTTGTAGTCGAGATCCTTTAGCCGAAACAGACCACCAAAGCCACCCAAACCGCCAAGGACACCGGGTCTCTGGGTGCCACGCGACAATGGTTTGATGCGTTGCACGAGAGCATCGCCTGCATCAATGTCCACGCCGCTTTCCTTGTAGCTGAGGCCTGGCGCCGTGGCAATGGCTCTGATGTGGAATAGGAAAAAGAATATATTAGTTAGGTGCATAGAAAGTACTTTATTAGAGGCATTGGAAAACAATAAAAAAAACGTTGTACTAAGGGAATCAATCCCCCCTGAATTGCTTTCCATACCCCTCTCTCAAGTAAAACTCTTTTCAATTACATTTTAAAGGCTTTCTGGGCAATGTCCGTGCGGTATTGAGCGCCAGTGCCAGCAAAAGTGATAGTGCCAGCCAGTTTTGTGGCCGTGGCAGCCGCCTGCTTGAGGCTGGCATCCAAAGCAATGGCAATGAGAACACGTCCGCCATTCGTGAGGGCCTCCTTTTGTTTGTTTACAGACAGACCGCTGTGGAATATCAGTTGAGTGGGTGTATTGAGATCAGGAAGTCCTAGAAAACAGAGAACATTTGTATTTACATCAGGAAGGAGCATTGGCAAACCGTACCCGTGATGAGGCAGCCCTTGGTGGAGGTCTCTGGATAGCCAGCACTCGCAAGGATCACACCCACGGCACTCACACCGCTGCGCCACTGAAGGGGCAGCCTCTCCAGCTGTCCGCTGCAGCAGGCCTGCATCACCTCAAAGAGATCCGTTTCGAGGAGCGGCAGAATCACCTGCGTTTCGGGATCGCCGAAGCGACAGTTGAACTCGAGGACGCGGGGACCATCGCGTGTCAGCATGAGTCCCGCATAGAGCACACCCTGATAGGTGATGCGCTCCTTGATCAGACCCTGAACGGCTCTCTCCAGCACGGCACGCTGGACCAGCTCCAACGCGGGCTGACTGATCAGAGGACACGGGCAGTAGGCTCCCATTCCTCCGGTGTTTGGTCCTGTATCTCCATTGCCCAGACGCTTGTGATCTTGGGCAGGCAGCATTGCCCTGACACTCGTTCCATCGGTGAAAGCTAGAACTGATATTTCCTCGCCCTCGAGGAGCTCCTCTACGACAAGGGTGGCCCCAGCTTGTCCGTATTTCAGGTCTCCCAGTATCTCATCCACCGCCTGGCAGGCTTCCTCCACATTGTTAGCCACCACAACACCCTTGCCTGCAGCCAAACCAGCGGCTTTCACCACCAGAGCCTGATAGGGTGCACTGCAAATAAAGGAATGATTTATTTTACTCTTAGTTCCATTCACAGAGATTCGTTTCTCACCTCCTGATGAACGTCTTGGCCTTGTTCGTATCCGTGAAGCTCTCATATCGAGCTGTTGGTATTCCATGGCGCAGCATGAAGTCCTTGGCCCACTTCTTGTCCGCCTCGATTTGTGCCCCCTGCTTGCCGGGGCCAAAGCACGGTATGCCCTCCTTTTGCAGCACATCACCCAGACCCAAGGCTAAGGGATCTTCCGGTCCAACGACCACTAAAGAGATTTCATTTTCCTTACTCCATTTGGCAATGGCCTGAAGGAACAAAGGGGAATAAATATATTACAATTAGATTGGAATAATGATTTATAATTAAATATTTGCATATACAGTACGAGTATGTGGAATAAAAGATTTATTGATGATCTGGAGAGCTGCTGCAGTTTTTCATAAATCTGTGCCTCCTTTTAAAATATTTTTTGTATTAAAAAACCAAACTTTTCATGTCAATTTCCAATTTCAATCCATTTTTGCAGCATCTTAATGAAGCTCAAGAGATTAATTAAAATATAGTAGGTATATTTACCCTCATATTTCATTAAAACATTCTACATTTCTTATGGGAAAAATTTTTAAATATTACTCTTTTAAAAAATACACATATATTTTAATCATGCAAATTTTCGATCTATATATTTCTTTCATCTCATTTGAAATATTCGGGTTATTCATTATATACAACGATACAGGTATCCATTAGCCAAGCCAAGTAATAATGCAATTTAAAATTAATTGAGATACAATACAAATTTTTGGTGTGATGATTATAATCCGAAGAACCGTTTTCGTTGGAATTTAAATTCAACACAAAATCGAGTTATTTATTAGACATCGGCTTTATTCTTTATAAAACGATACACTGATGAAAAATATTAGCAACAGATTTACACAGTATCAGAGAAAAATTCTCCGCCCTCAAACCAGATTTTTAATACCAATTTTTAAGGGAGAAATTGTATGAAACAAATTTAAAACAGAAATATCTATAAGACACTCTTTCATTAAGAATTTTTCTTTATTAAAATTTTCTTTGAATTTCATTATAATCTTATTAATCTCTTCATCTTGAGACATTTATCCTATTTTTGGGGGAGGTTTTCCTACTCTTCAAACATTCCCTAACTCTTAATGGGATCAAGTCTTCTAATAACCCTTCTTCCACCATCCCTCCATCATTACCTGCCCTCAAAGAATTTCAGAATTTGCATTGAATTCAATTTGCATTTAAAAAACAATCCCCAATCAACAGAGATCATAATTGGATTTCCCCCATCTAACATCTAACCGGGTCATGATCATATTGCATCTTCTTTGGGGGGGATTCTCCCTCTCTATCTCTTTTTTGTAACCACATTCCCCGAATGGAAGATAACACTCCTCTAAGTACTCAACCGGTTCCATTCGCCAATTTGTCGCCAAAATACTAAATGCCTTCCTAATTGTTTTGCCATTAAACTGGGGCTCTCTCTCTCTCTCTCTCTCTCTGGCGGTACGACACAGGGTGCATTGTCTTTCGATCGGGCAAACGTGAGCGAGCGTGTGGATCAACAACGAAATCAACGACTCCGACTGACTAAGGCGCCAGCTATGTCAGAGCAGTGCCATGTCAACCAACCAAAGTAATCCGGGGCTGTTCTGGTCCGGTTTTCTGGGGCTTCGTTACCTCAGTTCTAATTCGAATTGGCGCCAACGCAGAAATTCGGTTTACCCCCACAACACCAGAGTCACCGAACACACAGAGTTGAAATTGCAGTCGTCTACGTTCCAGACCATTTAGCACTTGGCAAAGAATCATCCCGATTTCCTGAGAGTTCAAGAACGTTCACACGGCCTCCGGCTCTCCAAGTGGCTGCTAAATATGACGTCTTTTAAGAGCTATTTGGCTTTCCAAATTAAGAGCGAAGCTGGTCAAGGTTTTAATTTCCCGTAACGAAGGTTAAGCGTTAAAGAAGAATGAAGCGAAAGGCAAGCAAACCGTCTAACCATCTACTCGTAGATGAAGGCTTATGACAGATAAATATATTATGTTTATGCGAGGCTGAATTCGTGAAATTAATAAAGTAGAAGCTGCCAGATCGAGCAGAATTTATTTTATTTAGATGTTTTTCTTCCAAATAGTTCCGCCATTTCTATATCCAAAGGTATCTCTTTTTTCCATTTTCATTCTTTTTGCTGCATATTTTATCTGGTTTTCTTTTCTTGCTTTCAGATGAAATTTGAACAACTGCTTTTTTTGGTTTTGCCACTTGGTTTATGTACGGACTGTTTATCATGAAATTCACTCCGTATAAACAGAGTAAGAGAGGTCTTGGAAGACTTTTTTCTTTATATTTTATTCGGAATCTCTGACCTGAGAGAGCGTCGCGACCACTTGCCAAATTTGGTTAGAACGTTTTCGACTTTATGCTTTACAGAGTGCGCTCATGATTTACTGTATTATATGCAAATTAAGTGGGGGAGCCAGCGAATGGGAATCGGGGGGACTGGGATTCGGACTGGGGGGATGGCGAAAGAATGCTGATACATTTGTTTGCGGATAAAAAGTTTGGGGAGGGAATTAGATACGCTTTGGTGAATTAGTCGAACGGGACGGGTTTTTATTTTTGGAATAAGCAAACAAAAAATTCAAATAAAAAGAAGTATCAAAATATGGAAGAGGTACGCGTAATTTTGATAAAGTTTGTGTCTAATGATCAGAATATATGCTTAAAGATAACACTTCATTCATCATTTATGGTGCTATGCAATTTCTAAGAATAACTAACAAACAAAAAAGTCTGTATATAAAATCCAAGGAGAGTGGTTAAATTAATTGATTGAGATTATGGGTTGTCTGGGGGTGTTCCATAAATGGCCTTTGAGCTGTTGATTTTTGAAGATTTTCTTTAATTGGAATGCCATTTCCCGTGCAACTTTTATTACAACTTTGAGCCGAAAGTAGCAAAATTCTTCCACATATGTATGTCTGAACCTGAAGTTCCTTCCTTAAAGTAACATAAGCAATTATGAAGAAAGAAGGAAGCCATAAGGTGGGACTTGTCCCGAGTAGTCCCTACGTTATTTGATGATCTATAAATTCAATCATAATTTTCTCCACTTAAAGGGCAGCTTTCTTTTATGTCTGGTATTCCACAATGGAACCCGCTTAAGGACACACGCAGTGTCAACGATCGCCATGGTATTTTCGAGTTCCTTGGGAACGTAAGTATTTCAAGATCAGCCACAATATACATACATATGTACATATCAAATTGTAAGTGTAAGTGCCCCAACCTTCGAATAGGGCATAACCATTCACGAATATTGTATGTATGTATACATATGTATGTATGTATGGATATGTATGTATTTTTACCATCCCACACTTTAGGAATTGCAGCGGCGACAAATAACATCGTTGATACCTATATAAAATAATACTTATAAGAAATAAAATCATTTTATTTATGACTGACTAAGGCAGCAGCCCCGCCGCCTCAACGATGATGTTGATGACGAGCTTCGTCGTTGATGTTTCGGAACTGGGTTTCCGAGGCGAAATATTGCCAAAAAAAAAAAAATCAAAGCTGGCGAGGCGGATGGATATATAAACGAAAGCGTACGAGCAGCAGACAAACAGTTCCACTTGATACTCGAAAGACGATAGAACCCAGAGAGATCTGCTCCACTCCCATCATGCATTTGCTTGTAAGTCACCGAAAGGCGAAACGAAATGAACTGAGAATGGATTATAATCGATCAATCTTCTACCCCGCAGATGAGTCTCTTTGGAGTGCTGGCTGTGGTGCAGCAGCAGCTGGAGGTTCGGGCTGCCGCCTACATCCCCGATTCGGATAGGAATACGAAAACACTCCAGAATGATCTGCAGGTGGAGCGGGATGGTAACTATCGCTATGCCTATGAGACATCCAATGGCATTTCCGCCTCCCAGGAGGGCCTCGGTGGCGTCTCCGTTCAGGGCGGCTCCAGTTACACCTCCCCCGAAGGATCTGTGATCAGTGTTAGCTATGTGGCCGATGAGACGGGCTATCATCCTGTGGGCGATCACATTCCCAAGGTGCCGGACTACATCCTGCGCGCCCTAGAGTACATTCGGACGCATCCGTATCAGGTGAAGGATTACTATACGGGCGAGCTCAAGCCAGTGGCCCACGATGCAGCCGCTTTTAATGTCTACAGCAGGAATATCCAGGATCAGACGACGCCCCGTTCCCGTCCGAGTTCCACACCAAAGACCATCTATCTAACCCATCCACCCACCATTTCGGATGCGACTACATTGCGACCTCTTCGACAGCGACAAAGCGGTTCGAGACGTCGATAATCCGATGATCGGTGATTGGTGATTGGTGATGGGGGGCAGGTCTCAATAGAACACCATGCAAATCTGTGAATTTCAATCTTAACAATTAATTAAGCGACAAAAATAAATAAATATAGAAGTGCTAAGCAAAACATAAGCTAGAATGTGAAAACAAAGAACAAAGGCTACAATTTTCTATTTATTTGTGTTGTCTGTCTCAAAAGAAGGCGCTAACGTGAGACAATGTCTGGGCATGATGGAATAATCGTTTGCTGTTTGATTCTGAATTTCGAATTGATATTGATAAACTGATGATTAAACATGACAGATGTTCAATTTACCTTTAGATTGGAGATTCTATAATTGGAGCTGCGATCGCTTTGTGTATAGTTTGCAGCAGAATGATTGGAATAAGGCTTGGAGAATATCCAGCCAGAATATTTTATTATCTTATTGCGATTGCGATGAACTATTTACTAAATAACAATCCCCGGTCCCATGACAACCACATATCTACTAACTTAGAGTATATTTTCGCTATTTTCAAGCAGCAGTGTTAATTACACTTAATCTATCAATCTAACACTCAGAAAGACAGACACAAATATGATTGAAATCAAATTAGAGGCATTACAAATATGTTAAGCTGCTAGACCTCGAATAATACATGCAAAGTCAAGCTGCAATTGATAACGTATTGACAGATTTGCATCACACAGTTCTACATATAGTAATCTCAATTTGCAATATTTGCCACGATTTTCGTCAGCCCCAAATGGCAACCCCAAGGCGCACTCAAGGGTTAAAGTTAAACCGATTAGCGGCGATCGCAATGCAATGGAATGATCCGCTTTAAGATCGTTTCGATTGCGGATTTATTGGTCGGCGGCTTAGCATAAAACGTTCTCGGGCATCATAAAAATATACATTGCGATCTCAAAGATCTCATCTCCAAGAAGCCATAAAAATGTATCACAGAGGCAATAAAAATAATCAAAATATTCCACATTTAAGCTGCACCCCATATGGAGTGCACACACACAACACACTAAAACGCAAATAAACACACTGTAACTGTAAGCCACTGGCGAAGGTTAACTCAATGTCGCTGCGGGAATCATTCAACTTAACTTACCTCAAAATCCTTTGGATCCAAGACTTTGGCCTCCAAATTGCGGCACTTTTCCAACTGCTGGATGCCAAAGCTTCCAGGCAGGGCGTAGATCTGCTTCACCAGCGGCGATTGCGACAATTTCCAGCAGATGGCATGCTCCCGTCCGCCGCTGCCAATGACCAAGACGCTATGCGACATATTTCTGGCCGATAAGAACAAAAACTAATCACGTTTTTAAATAATTTATAATTCTTTCTCCGTTTTCTCGCCCACGTGTTGAGCAGCGTTTCCAGAGAGTGAGAGTGAGAGCACAGTCTGTTTAAGTGAACGGAGAGCTTGAACGAGGGAGAAAGAGAGCCACTTTGCGCTCTATGCTCACTGCTTGTGTTTTATGTTTTTTGTATTGTCAGATCAGATCAGTTAAACCGCACCGCACGACGCCTCGTTTTCAACTGAAGTCTTGAATTTGAATTAAATATTTTTATGTGTGGGCCCTAGGCCTAGGTAAAAGCAACTGTGACGTCAGCAACTGCGATAAGAAAACCTCCGTGGGACGCGTCGTTAGGCGGCATTGCACTTTTTTTACGCTCCGGCAATAATTTTTGTTTTTTTTTCGGCTCGAATAAATAACACAAACACGTTGGCGATAGCCTTTCCAGACCCCTGCTGGGGGTAAATGTAACTGTAACTCAAATTGCACTTCTTATCAGTCTTGAATTTGTTATTCCGTATGCAAATGATTCAAAGTAAACATTAATCAAAGGCAAAACAAAGAGAGAGGATAGAACAGCTGTTTTCTCCTGAATGATAGGCACACACTGATCATCGTCCTAAGAGGATATTGATCTAGAAAATAGTCACGAAGAAGCAATGAATTGGGTCTGGTCTGCAGTTAAATGACACGTTTCTAACAGACTGAATAACTGTTGCTGTTCATGGAATCTTTATACCACAACTGGAATTAAATAACATTATTCTCTAAACGTCTACCGGTCGCTGAAAAAGTGGGTAGACGTTACGTATAATTCATCTGTTTCTTAATTAAAATAAGGTATATGGTAACCTTTTTTGTTAAATATTTAGCTCCATATATATAATTAGGTAAAAGATCATTGCACGATTGGCTCCAAAAAGATTTATAATCGAAATAAAGTACGATTTTTTTGTATAAGGCTCGAATTTCATATATGTATGTACATATGTACATACACTTGTGGAGAAAAAGTGCTGGTGCTGCTTGCATCGTGGATGAGAACATGTGAGGGGACAGACCCAAAGCTGGATAAAACACTGCCAGAAAGCAGCGACGAACAGAAAAAACTTTCTACGTTTTTCATAAACATTTTAATACACAATTAAATTCAAAAGCCAAAAACAAAGGACTTTAAAACAATCGAAAACAATTTTATTTTTTTAACAAGCGTTAGCATTAGTTCCAGTGGTTGAATCGAGTCGCTTCTGCTTATGCTCCATCAAATGCCTCGCGTTCGCCCTGTGGCAGAGTGGAGGTCTCCCAGTTTAAGGATCGATCAATTGCCATTTTCCATTTTTGGTATCGAAGATTGCGTTCAGTAGAACCTATCGTGGGCTTTATAGGTTCACGGGGACCTGATTTAGAAAGGGGAGCCTCCATGGAGTACCGATTCTCGACAGCTTTATAAGCTGCCATTGCAGCGCCCTGAAATTAGAGTGTTTAGAGCAACATTATCGAAAGATCTGTTAGTACTGACCAGCGCTGTTGTCTCTGCTATCTTGGCCCGAAGCACATGAATTCCAACTAGATCCGACTGAAGCTGCAGGAACAGGTTGTTAACCGTCATCCCCCCATCAACCATCAGCCGCGCCAGTGGGATTTTGCAATCCTTGTGCATAGAATCCAGGATATCTCGGACCTGAAAGCAGACCGCCTCCAGCGTGGCCCGGACAATGTGTTCACTGGTCGTCTCCTCACTCAACCCACATATGACGCCCCTGGCATCTTGATTCCAGTAAGGAGCGTACAATCCGTTAAAGGCCGGCACGAAGTAGACATCTAAGGAGTTATCCACTGTGGCTGCCATAGTCTCGATCTGCCCGGAGTTTTGAATGATTCCAATGTTGTCGCGCAGCCAATTGAAAGCAGCTCCAGCTATGGACACACTTCCTTCCAAAGCGTAGTTCGGCGGGGCCTTCCGCCCCAATTGATAGCCCACTGTCGTTAGAAGTCCGTGCTGGGAGTGCACAATGGAGGGACCCGTGTTGTAGAGCAGGAAGCAACCAGTACCGTAGGTTGCCTTGGCTTGACCTTTAGAAAGACACTGTTGTCCGACGAGCGCTGCTTGTTGATCCCCCAAGACCGAAGTCACACTTGTCCCCTTGAGCACGCCCTGCGCTATGCGGCCATAGAACTCTGCGCTCGAACAAATCTCCGGTAAGATGGTCTTGGGTAGTCCAAAGAATTTCAGTAGATTGGGGTCCCACTGAAGGGTTTCAATATTCATCAGCATTGTCCGTGAAGCGTTGGTCACGTCCGTCTTGTGGACACCACCATTCTTGCCACCGGTGAGGTTGTACATTAGCCAAGTGTCGATGGTTCCAAACATTGCCTCTCCGCTGTCCATTGCCGCCTTGACTGTCGCGACATTGTCACGTAGCCAACGCAGTTTTACTCCCGAGAAGTAGGGAGAGAGCGGCAGTCCACATAGCGGGCGTAGGTAGTTGATGTTTCTGGCATTGTTGGGAATGGCCTCCAGGAGCTGCAAGGTTTATATAAGAAAGCCTTTCATTTATAATCTATGTACATACATAAAAATGTTGTGTTCATACCTCCTCTACCGTGCTCGTAGTGCGATTGTCCAGCCATATTATAGCGTTAGCCAGGGGTTGGCCGGTGTTCCGGTCCCAAACTACGGTAGACTCACGCTGGTTCGTTATTCCAATCGTGATGATATCCTAAAATATACATACGTATGCATCCTTTTAGTTTCAAATTGCTCAATTCAATTGTCCTTTCGGCACTACATTTTTACAAGGTTAATATAAGAAAGGATCTGAGTACTGGACCTAGTACTCAGACGCGTGTGAAATATCACCACCGACAACAACAACAACAAAAAACTGACCAGCTAATGTAATAACACCATAACAGCTGTTACCTATTTTTGATGGGTGTGTACACACTGGGCCCCTTTAGCCATTAACAATGGAACGGAAACGCTGCAGTAAACAACAGTAAACAGTTGATAAGAAACCTAATTGAGCGACGTAACAGCAAAAAATACTCCCGGTCAACGGTCTTCAATGTCAAGCCTAGTCAAAATTATCCGCCACAGTATTTCCAGCCCCAATCGACAGCAACAACTACGTAAGATGGCGAGCGTAGCAGAACTAACTAGAAACGGTCAAAGTGCCACAATTGCCGTGGGACAGATGCGCTCAACCAACGACAAGGTCGGGAATCTGAGCCAGGTGAAGGAGCTCATAAAGAAAGCCAAATCTGAGAATGCACAAATGCTCTTTCTTCCCGAGTGCTGCGACTTTGTGGGCGAATCTCGCAAACAGACAATCGAGCTGGCAGAAAGATTGGATGGGAAACTGGTTTCAGAATACAAAGAGCTAGCCAAGTGCCACCAGATGTGGCTCTCGCTCGGGGGCATACACGAATTGAACGATCAGGGGAAAATCTACAATGCCCATGTTCTTGTAAGTGAGACGGGCGAGCTCGCTGCAGTCTACCGCAAGATGCACTTGTTCGATGCCACTACGAAGGAAATACGGCTACGCGAATCAGATACAGTGTCGGCTGGAGAGCGCTTGGAGAGGCCAGTGGCAACCCCTGCTGGCCAAGTTGGTCTACAGATTTGCTACGATCTGCGTTTTGCTGAGCCGGCTGTCTTGTTAAGAAAGTTGGGAGCCCAAATGCTGACGTATCCAGCTGCCTTTACCTACGCAACGGGCAAAGCGCATTGGGAGATTCTTCTGCGTGCCAGGGCGATTGAGACGCAGTGTTTTGTAGTCGCCGCAGCGCAACAAGGATGGCATAATAAGAAGCGACAGAGCTGGGGCCACAGCATGATAATCAGTCCATGGGGAAAGGTCTTGGCCGATGTTGGCGGTGAAAAGGACTTGGATATAGCCACAGCAAAGATAGACCTTTCTGCTCTTGACTCGCTTTATCAAAGCATGCCCTGCTTTGAGCACCGACGCAGTGATATTTACAGCTTGACGGCTTACAACCTTCGTGGCAGTGAACCCGACGCGGATCGTGCCTTTGCGGAGAACATAGTGGACAAGCGCACCATTTTCTACGAATCAGAGCACTGCTTTGCATTTACCAATCTTCGTTGCGTGGTCGAGGGTCACGTCTTGGTGTCTACCAAGCGAGTAACCCCCCGGTTGTGCGGACTCGATTGTGCCGAGTTGACAGACATGTTCGCAACTGTTTGCATGGTCCAGCGGCTGCTGGAGAAGATCTATCAAACCACATCGGCCACAGTTACTGTGCAAGATGGAGAACAAGCCGGGCAAACTGTGCCCCATGTCCACTTCCATGTCATGCCGCGTCGCCAAGGGGACTTTGGTCACAACGATCAGATCTATGTTAAGCTCGAGGATTGCACCGAAAGCAAGCCACCGCGCACACTACAAGAGAGGATCGATGAGGCTCAGATTTATCGCAACTATTTGAGCGAAAGCTAAAAAGTGGTTGAATAGTTATGCCCTGTAATTACCTTGACACATACTAATAAAAACAGATCTTAGCCGGGAAGGCAGACTTTAGCTGAACCTTCATGTCTCACCTGAATTTGTCCACCGAGAGCGATCAGTTTCTTACAAGCTCCAGCGATGCACTCGTTGACGGTGTTCACTATAACCATGGGATCTTGCTCACACCAGCCTTCCTTCTGGAATATAGAGGGCACTTCGATCTGATGGTAGCAGACAATGTCGTCAGTGCCAGCGCGGAAAATTATGAAGCGGGCCGAGGTGGTGCCCTCATCAATGGCTCCCACATATGTATCACTTGGCGTTTCCATTTAAACGTTCGATTAGACGTTCAGAGTCCAGAAGTCGACAGTAATAATGTTCAAATGTCTCTCTCACGAGTTTGCTTTCACAATGAAATATATTATGCTATTGGAAACACATATTTGTCAAGCTGATTGCGGGAGATAAGGCCGTCGAGCCCTCTCTTTTATTATCGACAACGGTCGGAAAGCAGAAAAATCGCTTTACGAAGTAATATTTATTGCGATTGAGCAGAAAATAAATAAAATTATGCCGCAACAAACTCGCGAACTGTTGAATTAGATCGTGATCAACAAATGACCCCAACCAATTGTTTTGGACTCATTCAGAACGGTTATTGTAGGTATTTGTATGCTCCGTGCTATCAAAACCAGTGTATCGCAAATGAAGTTATGTTCATATTAATAAGTGGACATTTCTTGATTTAAACCAAATCGTGTTATAATCGCGCATAATCTACATCCATCTGAGAAGTTCGACAAGCACTTTTTCCTTTTCCACCATTTGACAACACTGCGGGTTTAATGTGACCATATCTTGAAGTCAAACAGCTGATTTGGTTTGATTGTATCAGACAAATAAATAAATTTATGTCAAACTCAGAGCACAAAAACAGACATTTAGAATATAAGTTTTTAATAGCCATGCCCATTTTTGAGGTCTGCAAGAACGGTCTTCGAGACTTCATGACTGGCCAAGAGTACGGTACGACAAAAAATACAATCGAAGATCCTGAGGGTAAGAAACACTGAACTTCATTTATGATATTTATAGATGCATATTACTTTATTACTTACAGAATAGAATCCCTGGACTACCTCGTAGCGCATGTGGAGAACATACACGTTTTGGCAGCAACACAAAAACAATTTGGCTTCACTTAATCCAAACTTAACCCACGTTCAAAAACAAGGGCAGGGCTCATGGATTCCTATGACTCCTATTCTTGGTGCTTTCCTGTGGCACTCTTCACACAACCGAGTCCACTGCCTATCCGTCGTACCCCGCGTATCCGCCCTTCCGGCCACCCTACTCGCCCTACCAACCGCCTACATTTCATCGCCCAGGAGCTTATCCGAGTTTCCATGGCTTTGGACCCGCTCCGGGTCATTGTTGCACTGTTGCGTGATCCCTATTCGGAAAAAAATTGGAAGTGCAAGATATTCAAATGCTCGCTAAAGAGCGAGCTTTAGCCCTGCATCCTTCACAGTCTGAGAGAGTCCGAGACTCTGCATACAGTACTGGCCCTGCCGATGCCTATCGAAGACCTAGACCAGCGGTGGACTATTATAGAAAAATTAAATACGAAATGAACTAACCTTTCGACAACTCAGGTGCCAGTCCCCCATAGTATGTAACGCATGTTGTATGTGCCTCCCTCCACTCTCCCTTTCCGTGAGCTTGTCTATCTCGTGGTAGAGGAAATGGCAGTTCTGATCAAAGTGCTGCTCTCAGAATGGACCCTTTCTTACAATACGATCGGTATCATGCCCTTCACGTCCATGAACAACTTTAGCATCTGATAATTACTCTTTCCGCTGAACAAAATCTTTCCCGTGTATATCTCGTAGATGGTGCAACCAACAGGCCAAGTGTCAATTCCATAGTCATATGGCAACAAAACTAAAATATTATCCGGCCTGATGTCCGCATGCAGAATACCTATCTTTTCAGCACTTTGAGGGCTAAAACAGTTGCTAAATGTAGCTGCGCACTGCTTTGAAACCCGACATTTTGGCCTATTTTTTAACGCCTCGCAAAAATGCATGGCCAGTGACTCGAACACAATGCAGAGATGCTAGACGGAGAAAAATAATAAGAGTAAGAAAAAACCTTTTTATAAGAGTATATGTATATACATACATATATTACCTGTTTGTGAAAGAAATGGCAATTCAAGCGCAGATTGTGGAAACGACGTCGCTCAGTTTCCTATTCAAAGGAAAGACCAATTCATATCCACATATGTATTATATACTGCTGTAAAGCCCCACACTTCTTTTGCACACACTCTAAAATAAGGGTTTGCTTTTATTAGTATGACATTATACAAAAATTGTGGGTTTTGGGTGAGTTGTAAGTTTAATAAATATCTTCCATTCTTCGTCATAAAATTTGTTTTACATAGTTTTTTGTTTTTGTTTGATGCTTGCTTCGCCTGCGGACGAACCACAGGGTCCACACATGCATGACGACATATAAATCTCAGATTGGAAACGCTCGCACTTGAATTTCTGCTTACACAATTTCGGAATCTATACACCACGATGAGTAGAATTTATTGAAATATATTAGAACCACATCCCATCGCTCCTTTTGCTGCTGCTGCAATCTGTTACCGGCGCATCTGAAAGCCAACCGAACCATTCGGGCAGGGTCCCCTCGGAAGGCGCAAGACGTTGTCATTGTAGGTTTGCGGCGGCTGATGCTGTTGCTGGTGCTGCTGTGGCGACTGCTGCATTGACTGCTGGCGCAACAGGGCAGCGGATACACTTCCTCCGACCACGGGCGACCAACTCTGCTGCTGCTGCTGCTGATTGAGCGATGACTGTGGCGGAGATTGGGCTGGCATTCCACCCATGCCCATACCCCCTCCCACCCCATACGGTGGCATGCGTTGATTGAAATGCGGCTGTATGACTGGCGGCTGCTGCTGTGGTGGCTGTGGTCCGGCATGCTGGTAATAATAGTTCAGGCCCGGATTGTGTGGCCCTTGGAAGTAGCTATTGTAGTTATTGTACATTGCCGACACTTGGGACATCTTCGGGGCCGAACTAGAGCGATGCATTCCAGGACCTGGACCAGGATTACTATTATTATTGTTGTTGTTATTGTTGTAGCTGACAGCAGGTAGTGTTGAGTGGGTTCCCGCGGGTGGAGCCGTCTGTGGCGTGGCCAAAAGGCTACCACCGGGTGGTGTTGGGGGCGTTGGTCTGCAAATGAATTTAGAATACATATTAGAGAGGAAAGTTCCATGAAATTAAATCCCCATTATTATGCGTACGGCTTATCATCCTCGGGATTCTTGGCCGCACCCAGAATACGCAATCTGGCCTCCGCATATTCCTGCTCGCGCTGCTTTAGCGTCTTAATGGGCTGCTTGGGTTTCATGCCATTCGTATCCCGTCGCTCTTCAGCCTGGGCGGGGCGCCGCAGGATTTTCACGGTCTGATTGATGGTGGGCGTGGCATAGGTAGCCGGATCGGAAGTGGATCGGAGATGGATCTACTCTACCCTGAGTCTGGCCTTGTTCTCGGTGGCAGATGGGCATTCGAAGGGACACTTGTCGGTGTGGACCAGCTTGTGATCATTGAGAGCGGCGAGAAAATTGAAGCTCTTTGCACAGATGTAGGGCTTCATCTGCTTCCATGTGGCGCTTAAGGGTTCTGAAGGTGGTGTCCGCCTTGTTTTTGGCCGGCAAGTGACTGCGCTGGTGGGAAAGATTCTGAGCTTTTACTACTGCAGTAGACCACAATCCGTAGGGAGCTCTTCATAGTCCACAGTCCCTACATCCGGGCTTAGGTTCTGCAATCTAAGGAAGAGCGTCTGGACGCGTCGCACCCGCTCCGAGAACTACCACTACATCGATGGCGACCACATAATTAATTTTACATAGCATAGCTATTTTTTATTACATTTTAATGCACTTATTAGGGCAGAAAACTCTGTAAAACAAAACCAATACATTTTTTCTTTATATTCATATTCTTATACTACTCCTTTCGTGCTTGCACGAAATGCTATTTACTCTGCATCTAACGTGCCGAAATATTTCTCGTATTTCTCTCGTTCCTCCACGTATACGCGAAAACATTTCATTTTAATATAGTTCTCGAATATCCGTTTCGTCTCCGCTTTCGTAGTCCACGATATTAGCCTGGGCGCGGACCGCCCGTGCGGCGCGTATTGAGAGGCAGGGGAACACTCTCAGTGGACAGACTTTTGCTTGTAGACGCGACTGGCTCCTTATTTTTGAAAGCAGCAGAGCTTGCATTGGCCCGGTGGGGATCATCTAATCGGATAACCTTGGATAGCGGGACAAGGTCATGTGGGTCGTCATCATCTTGAAAAAGGGGGATCAATTTACAAAAACACCTTGCATTGCAAAATGTACTTACCAGTACTGCTGGAGCTGGAGACGGCCTTTCTTTTCGTTTGTTTCTTCTTTAGCTTCGCCAACTCTTCTTCCAAAATGTTTGGATTCTGCCTTAAAAATCGGCGCAACTTCTTTTTGTATCTATGGAAGGAAAGTAAGAATAATTATTACATTGCACTGTAAACTTAACTTAACTTGACTTACATAGCTCGGCCTTTGGCGGCCGCTTCTATGTACGGAACCTTGCACTCTTTCGAAAGCTGATGCCATTTATCATAAATGAATTTTTCGCGGTGAATTTTCGAAAGTTGCAGCCAGGTAGGGTCGCGTTTCAGTTCCTTCCGTCTTTCGTTTGTGAACCGCATATAGGCTTTCAATGGTGGTTTGGGGGCTCCTGGGGCAAAGATGCGGCATTTGAGTTTCTTTATTTTTTGATCTAAAAATAAAATGAAAAATAAAATATTGTTCTAATAATGTTCGGTTCGTACTTACTTAGAACGTCGTCGTCGCTGTCGGAGCTTGAGCTTGAGCTCAATTCCGATTCGGATGATTCAATTCGCTCAGGCGAGTCGTGAACGTCATGGACTCTCTGAAGATGCTTGTCCAGATTCACTTTCATAGCGCTCTTATATTGACAGAGCGGGCATTCGAAATTTGTTGCCTTTGGTCCAAATGCACAGCTATAATGTTTATGTTTTGTTAAGGATCCTTTCATCAGTTTTTTCTTGCATTGTTCGCATCTTACGAATCCTAATTCTAGTTCGCTCTAGAAAATATAAATAAGTGAAAATATAAAATATACTTACATATACTTTAATTTACTTACATCGCTGGAAGAACTGCAACTTGAAAAACTGGACGCATGACCATGCACTTCAACCCATCTTTCGAATGTTACGGGCAGGTCTTTGTTCCATGGCCTTTCGTCCCATGGAGGTAAGGTGGAGGTTGTTGGATGGTCTTCATCGCTTGAAGAAGATGAATTCATGTTTAAAAGTTGTTTGTTTGATTTGTTTGTTTGTTTGGTTGTTAACTCTAAACGAAAACCGGCGCCGGCTTGCAGAAAAATGAGTGTGACCAGATAGGCAGATGAGATGATGCCAACTCGGTGGAAAAAGGATGGACGCGAAGTGCTCAAAATGAGCCATTTATAAATGGCTGACTTTGCGGGTAATTTTAAATTTACCTTAAAGTTTGTTCGCTCTAGAAGATATAAACAAATGAAAATAAAATGATATGATATATGATATGTAGCTTGGCAGGTCAATTTAAAAATAAAAAATATATATTTATTTTGTGCTCAATAATTGAGCCGCGCCGCTCATTTAGCTCAACTGAACGGCGTTGACGGCGGCCGGGGTCTTCTAGGTTTTTTTTGGCGGGCGGGCGTCATTGCGTCATTGAAAGCACGTGACCTCGCTCAACACAAATTTTTCTTAATTTGTTTTTTGATCATTTTGTAAACGTAAGTGTATATATATATAGATATAGACATATATATATATATATATATATATATAGATATGGATTCCTATGACTCCTATTCTTGGTGCTTTCCTGTGGCACTCTTCACACAACCGAGTCCACTGCCTATCCATCGTACCCCGCGTATCCGCCCTTCCGGCCACCCTACTCGCCCTACCAACCGCCTACATTTCATCGCCCAGGAGCTTATCCGAGTTTCCCTGGCTTTGGACCCGCTCCGGGTCATTGTTGCACTGTTGCGTGATCCCTATTCGGAAAAATATTGGAAGTGCAAGATATTCAAATGCTCGCTAAAGAGCGAGCTTTAGCCCTGCATCCTTCACAGTCTGAGAGAGTCCGACACTCTGCATACAGTACTGGCCCTGCCGATGCCTATCGAAGACCTAGACCAGCGGTGGACTATTATAGAAAAATTAAATACGAAATGAACTAACCTTTCGACAACTCAGGTGCCAGTCCCCCATAGTATGTAACGCATGTTGTATGTGCCTCCCTCCACTCTCCCTTTCCGTGAGCTTGTCTATCTCGTGGTAGAGGAAATGGCAGTTCTGATCAAAGTGCTGCTCTCAGAATGGACCCTTTCTTACAATACGATCGGTATCATGCCCTTCACGTCCATGAACAACTTTAGCATCTGATAATTACTCTTTCCGCTGAACAAAATCTTTCCCGTGTATATCTCGTAGATGGTGCAACCAACAGGCCAAGTGTCAATTCCATAGTCATATGGCAACAAAACTAAAATATTATCCGGCCTGATGTCCGCATGCAGAATACCTATCTTTTCAGCACCTTGAGGGCTAAAACAGTTGCTAAATGTAGCTGCGCACTGCTTTGATGTGAAACCCGACATTTTGGCCGTATTTTTTAACGCCTCGCAAAAATACATGGCCAGTGACTCGAACACAATGCAGAGATGCTAGACGGAGAAAAATAACAAAAATAAGAAAAAACCTTTTTATAAGAGGTGTATATACATATATTACCTGTTTGTGAAAGAAATGGCAATTCAAGCGCAGATTGTGGAAACGACGTCGCTCAGTTTCCTATTCAAAGGAAAGACCAATTCATATCCACATATGTATTATATACTGCTGTAAAGCCCCACACTTCTTTTGCACACACTCTAAAATAAGGGTTTGCTTTTATTAGTATGACATTATACAAAAATTGTGGGTTTTGGGTGAGTTGTAAGTTTATAAAATATCTTCCATACTTCGTCATAAAATTTGTTTTACATAGTTTTTTGTTTTTGTTTGATGCTTGCTTCGCCTGCGGGCGAACCACAGGGTCCACACATGCATGACGACATATAAATCTCAGATTGGAAACGCTCGCACTTGAATTTCTGCTTACACAATTTCGGAATCTATACACCACGATGAGTAGAATTTATTGAAATATATTAGAACCACATCCCATCGCTCCTTTTGCTGCTGCTGCAATCTGTTACCGGCGCATCTGAAAGCCAACCGAACCATTCGGGCAGGGTCCCCTCGGAAGGCGCAAGACGTTGTCATTGTAGGTTTGCGGCGGCTGATGCTGTTGCTGGTGCTGCTGTGGCGACTGCTGCATTGACTGCTGGCGCAACAGGGCAGCGGATACACTTCCTCCGACCACGGGCGACCAACTCTGCTGCTGCTGCTGCTGATTGAGCGATGACTGTGGCGGAGATTGGGCTGGCATTCCACCCATGCCCATACCCCCTCCCACCCCATACGGTGGCATGCGTTGATTGAAATGCGGCTGCATGACTGGCGGCTGCTGCTGTGGTGGCAGTGGTCCGGCATGCTGGTAATAATAGTTCAGGCCCGGATTGTGTGGCCCTTGGAAGTAGCTATTGTAGTTATTGTACATTGCCGACACTTGGGACATCTTCGGGGCCGAACTAGAGCGATGCATTCCAGGACCTGGACCAGGATTACTATTGTTATTATTGTTGTTATTGTTGTAGCTGACAGCAGGTAGTGTTGAGTGGGTTCCCGCGGGTGGAGCCGTCTGTGGCGTGGCCAAAAGGCTACCACCGGGTGGTGTTGGGGGCGTTGGTCTGCAAATGAATTTAGAATACATATTAGAGAGGAAAGTTCCATGAAATTAAATCCCCATTATTATGCGTACGGCTTATCATCCTCGGGATTCTTGGCCGCACCCAGAATACGCAATCTGGCCTCCGCATATTCCTGCTCGCGCTGCTTTAGCGTCTTAATGGGCTGCTTGGGTTTCATGCCATTCGTATCCCGTCGCTCTTCAGCCTGGGCGGGGCGCCGCAGGATTTTCACGGTCTGATTGATGGTGGGCGTGGCATAGGTAGCCGGATCATAGTCGTTTGTCGACTTATGCAGCACCATCATGACTGGTTCGCCATCTAACTGGGCCTCGGGTGGCGAGGGCTTCTTGGCAATGGTGATTTGCCTGGGGGCAGGACTGCCGCCACCGACACTGCTCGGATTGCCACTGCTGTCCTGGAGGCTCTGCGGGCGTTGAAGTAGTTTCATTTTGATTACGGGCTTTTCCTCGCTTGTTTGCAGCTTGGTTTGCAGAGTCATAGATAGCTGTGCAGGGCAGAACAAGTGGGGGAAAATTGAATTAGATATAGATTCTAGAGAATGTTTGTTGGGAAATATACAACGTACCCCCGCCTCATCAAGTTCTTCCCAATTGTCTAGCACATCCTCGCCATGGGACATTGTTTAACACAGCTGTTATTTGACTTCTTTTGTTGAATCGCAAACGGAACACGTTGCGCGCGCCTAGGGGCGATGGGAAATAGATTTTTGTTGCTTTCTTTCGGTGACGACTCCTCCCTGCTGCGCGAATTCACTTTCTTCTCTTTCGCCTGCTGCTGCAGCTCGCACTACGACTGATACAGGATTCCTTTGCACTTTTATCAGACATAAGTTATACATATGATTTGTTCACTCAGATTGTACGAAAATGCTACGTCTCTTCTGCTGCCAAAAGAAATGAAAAATACGATACGCAACAATTTTGTCGAAATGCTGTTGTCGTTGTTGTTGCTGCCTCTGCCTTTGCTTCTTCTTATTGTGTCAGCAGCAGCAAATGGCTGATAATTACAGCAGCTGTGAGTCACGAGAAAGGTGTTTTGGCCAACATGCGTTGCAGAGTCTTCGTGTTCACGTCTAAAATTCGTTTTTGCGTCATTTATCAAAATAAATAACAAATTATTTAAACATTTTTTTATTGAAAGGGTATCGGATAGAGGTGTCAAACCATCGAGAGCACTATCGATCGTATCGATATTTTACTGCTAGCCTCTACTATCGACGGTTTTGCGACTATCATGATAGCATCGAGCTACAGTCGTTGCGCTTTTGATATGTTTGGATTGGCTGCTGTAAAATACGAAGACAAATTTGTAAAAAAAAATCGACAGGTCTCATCTTATTTTTACAATGGACAAGTTCCTAAAAGGTTTCAATGGTTTTTTAATAATTATTTGAGCCCGATACTATCACGATAGTATCGATTGTTTTTTTCAAAACATTCTAAACTATCGATGGCTCAACTATCAATCGTTTGACAGCTCTAGTATCGGAAGTGGTGCTCAGTGTGACTGTCCCTCAGAAAAATACCTTCTCATTTTCAAAATATACCGTAAATATACCTTGATCTCAATTTCGACGTCAAAACGGTCACCCTTGTGGTGCTGTAGTGTTGACAGCCGTTTAAAAGAAAATAGCTGTTGTGGTGTTAAAAATAGATGAATATTCAAACTGTGTTTTAGAAAAATATATAAAGACACAGCTAAATATAGCCGAGAGTTGACATCCAACTTTTTATTTTATTTTACATACGAAGCTATAATCAAAAACTATTATTATTATTAATATACTCGACGGAAATAATAAATAAATAGTAATCATTTCTAATAATAAAATATTATTTTATTATCCAGTCGGCATCCGAAGACTGGAATGGGGATGACACGCTGGCGGATACAGACGAAGTCATTGCCTCGGATCTGCTGGCTGAGATCATATCAGGTTCGTAGCAACTATGAATTGACATGCAGTCACTTATGAGCACATTCTGAATGGCTTAGAAAACTGAATTTTAGCACTAATGTAAGGAAATAGGGTTAAAGATGCCCAAGTAACTAATGCTCAAATAACGTAACCTTTCATTCCCACGTTTTGTGCTTACTTAGTTGGTGTCATTTTCTGCTTAGTTTATAAACAATTACATACAAAGTTAGCCAATCTTGTGGAATATTGATTGATCAATCGAATAAAATTATATGTGCAGGGTTGAAAGTTTATAGCCTTTTTACACTGGGCGCGTCTGCTATCGATATCGGAATAGACGCAATGAAGCAGAAAAGGCGTTTACATTGGCAGACGTGCGTCTTGAATTTTGTTTTGGGTGCTTGATGACAAGGAAAGTAAACAAATTTTGAGAAATCAACAGAATTATGCAAGACGACAAGAAAATGGACGAAAGAGAATTTATTCTTATATTTATTTATTATTTTCAGACATTTCTTTGTAGAGCTTGTGGGAGTTCTTCTTAAAATTATGAAAACCATCGAAGTTCGTCTCCAGCAGTGTCATAATGGCATCAGGGGATCACAAAAATGTCGTATGATAATAATACAATCAGTTTCAAGTATTTTATTTCATGATTTTATGTATATTTTCACCTTTTTGCACAACCATTCACTTTAGCGCCAAAATTTGATTTTTTAACTACAAGTTTTTGTTGTTCTTAGAGGTGATAATTGCGCTGATAGGCAGAAAAGTGCAAAAATGTGCAGTTAAGCGCAAAAGCAATCGAATATATTGAATAGACGCACATGAATCAGAGACCGACGCAACTTTTTGCCACCACTAGGGCCCTATGCCTAACCTATGTAAAAAAAACTGCGTCTTTGCCAAGACGCAAAGAAGCATGACGCAGTCCCAATGTAAACAGCCTATTAGTAATGCTAGTTATACCAGCTGACGTTTATTTTATCCGTTGAAATCGAGCTGGATGGCTGAGAGCATTTCACGGGTCACAGCATCACCGCCAGCTTGACCGAAATGAATTGTTAATCAAGCTTAATTAATTAATTAATTAATTAATAATCACCATTAATCATCTTTCGGATGACACGGCTATCCGTTGAGGAAAGACTCTGACATGAGGAGTCTGAACGAAGATCCTGTTGTTCCCTCCTTTTATGTTGAAGGCGGCAACGACCAGCACCTTCCAAAGGTACAGGATGAATCGTCATATACAACGACGAATTCGACGAAAATATGTTATCGATTGCTGCCCTGCACAAAATTTAAAGTGAAAATATTGATTTGCATTAAAAATAAATAAATTGGTAAATAAACGTAGAGGCTAAGGTATTTGTAATGATACGTACGATCTATTTTCTTTATCTTCACTTAAGCATATTATTCCGTTCAACAATTTATTTTTCGAACAAAATGTGCCATATAAGTTATTGAAGCACTAAACTTTGGTTTTTTTCCATGGGTAAAAAAAGTTTAATGGTTATTTTCACTACACATAATAATTTTAATTTTTATTTTTAATCAATCTAATTTTAGGAAATTTACAAAAAAAAATTCATTGTTTTATTATAAAACTTATTTAAAATTGTTTTTTAAATAGTCATCTACATTGAAAAAAATATCTCATAAACTTAAAATTTCTAGGGAAGAACTATTTTCCGATTGATTTTGAGATATTACCTGTCTAATGGATAAAATGTATAAAAATCATTAGTATATTGACCTCATTTTAGATTGTTTTTCAACTTTGAATTGACTTTACAAAATATGTATATCCCTAAATTTTCCCGAGATTTTTTGTGTGTGCATATTATTTTAATATTCCTTAACCTATGTTTAAAAGTCTTTTTTGCTCTTTTAAGTTTTTCGGCTTCTACATCAATAACACCAATAATTTCCTACCATCCATTTACAATACTTTCTCTTATCAATCATATCCTTCAGATAGTAATGTATATTTAGGGATAAACCCACCTAAAAGGATGACGATGCTAAGTCCAAGAATGTGGAACGATAGCTGAGGTGTTCGCAATTCAAACGCATTCAACTAGATAAAAAAGCCTAAGAAGTAGAGAAACTAATCCAAAGACTGAATGAGTTGGAGAATAACATTTCCGAGCTGCAAAGAGATATTATTCCTAACCAGACCAGGCTGAAAAATTTGTTAGATCAGCTGAAAAGTAAACAAATCAAACAATTAGACATAAAATCGAATCTTGGAAATTTATTTACATTGAGGAAGAGAAACAAAGCTGCCATGGTGAGCGGAACAGTTGTAGCCTGTTGACCATTCCGGAAGATTCCATAATGTTAATGGGGTTACAAATGAATACAAATTTCTCATAATGGTGGCACATCATCATAGCGTCATAGGTTTTCAGATACTACCAACCAAAGGAAGATTACGAGAATAACGAGTCGAGAATATGTATTCTTCGAAAACTTCTTAAAAAAAAACAAAAAAAAAACGTTCGTGGAACATACCACAATTTTTTTTGTTAACTTAAAAACAATTCGTTTATTCCTTAAAACTGTTTCAAAATTTTCAATACGAAAATATGGTACAAATTGTTGGCGGGGAAGGGGAGGGAGGTTGTATCCAAGAATTACGACTAAAGAAAAGTAAATTTGCCAAAAGGCACGCTTACTCATCATCATCATCGTCGCTGTCATCGTCGTCGACTTCTTCATCGCTCTCATCGTCCTCATCGCCTTCATCTTCGCCCGAGTCAGCCTCATCGACTTCATCGTCATCCGATTCAGCCTCATTTTTGGCTGCCTCGCTCGTCGATTCTTTGCGTGCTTTTTTTGTGGGCACAACAGTGTCCTCACCGTCGTTCTCCTTAGAAGGAGCAGCTACTCCAGCCGCATCGGCCGCCAAGAGAGCCGCCTTCTCTTCGCGAATCTCTGCCTTGCGCTTCACCTGCTGCCAAGTCAACTTTACGAATTCGGCATCCTTGGTAAGGGCGAACCGGGAGAGCACCTCGTTGGCCTGCTTCTTCAGTTTCAGCATACGCTGCTCGCGTGGTCCGACCACATACGGCGTGTCTGCTGGGGCGGCACACATGCTGATGTACAGTGGCAGGGCCGAGGTGCCGACAATGTCAATTTTGACATACAGCGAACGAATGTTGGCCAGTCCACCAGGATAGACCGTCTCCAGTTGCTTGGTCACCAACAGAATATTCTCCGCCAGCTGTTCGGCACTGTGCTCGTGATTGCCCACTGGGATGGCGGTGAGATCGCCCTTGCTCAGCTGCCTGTAAGCGGTGCGGCACAGAGCACGCGATAGCTCCCTCTGCAGCTGTGCATTGTCCTTGCTCAGACGCACCGGATGCAGGACATTGCGTGGCTTCTGGGTGAACTGTGAAAGATGAAAGAGAGTCAGCAAAATGACAGGATTGACAGCAGTCATACTTTACCTTGCCCAGAAAGGCACTGGCCTGTCCCGACAGCTTGCCGTCGCACATTAAGTAGTCATAGGTGTTGAGGAACTTGCGCTTGGCCTCAAAGCTATTCACATCGTTGCGCAGCTGATTGAATGGCACCACAGTCAGACGCTGCTTGATGCCAATCTCGCTGAACAGATCCTCGTAGTGGGCCTTGGTGGGCTCAAAGTCAAACTTGGCACCGCGCTGCAAGTCCGTCACAATGATGGCCACATCATCGTCGCTACCCACCAGCGAGTGCTTCAGTCCCAGCTTGACCACACGCTTGGGGCAGCTGGGTATCTTGTAGCTGCACACCTGCAGTATGTAGCGGTAGTCGGAGAAGACCGAGGCCGACTTTTTCTTGGCCACCTCTTCGGCCGCTTGGGTCTTGAGGGCCTGGCACATCTTCAGCACATTCGATTCGGAGACAATGTCCCGGAACTTTTGCTCATCAAAGGGCTTCAATTCAAATTGCAACGCGACGGGCTTCTTCTTAGGCTTCTTGGCCTTTTTGTTGGACTTTCCCTTGGCCAATGTGGCGATCTTCTTGCCTGCCTTCTTAGCTTTCGGCGACTTGTCTGGTTTGGAGAGTTTCTTAAGTGGCTTGGTCTTCGCCTGAAGCGATGCTGTGGCTGGTTTGGATATTTTGCTGGCAGTTTCAGCTACTGCTGGCACCGCCTTTGTCGTTTGCTTGGATGCCTTCTCAGACTTTTTAGCTAGCGCTTCAACTATTTTCTTGGCTGGAGCTGCTGTCTTGACTGGTGACGCCACAGTTTTTTTGGCTGCTGCGGCTTTCTTGGCAGGAGCTGCTGTCTTAGTTGGTGCCTCTACGGGTTTCTTGGCTGCTGCGGCTTTCTTGGCAGGAGCTGCTGTCTTAGTTGGTGCCTCTACCGTTTTCTTGGCTGCTGCGGCTTTCTTGGCTGGTTCTGCTTTCTTGGCTGGAACTTCAGGCGTTTTCTTGGCGGGTGCTGCCTCTGTTTTCTTAGCTGGCGCTGCTTTCTTGTTGTCTTTCTTGGGGGCAGTCGGAGCAGGTGTTTCTACTGCCTTCTTAGCTGAAGCTGAATCCGCTTTCTTGCCGGAAACTGTATCCACTTTCTTGCCTGCAGCTGCTTTCTTAGCCGGAGCTTCTATCTTTGCAGGAGCTTCCTCTACAGTCGATTTCTTGTTCGACTTCTTGGGAGCCGCCTCAACTGGTGCAGGTTTGCCTTTCTTTTCCTTTTTGGCAGGCGCTGGTTTAGCGGGCGAAGGAGATGGCGCCAAAATCAACGGCTTCTTGGCGGCAGGAGTCGCAGGAATAGCGGCGGCCTTTCCTTTTGACTTTTTCACAGCAACTGGGGATGCAGCTGGCGACTCTGGAGGAGCTATTACCAAGGGCCTCTTGGCGGCCTTTTGCTGTTTCTCCTTCTCAACAGGTTTTTTCTGTTCTTTTTTGGGTTTTTCAGTGACGTCCACTTTTTTCGGAGCGGCATTTTTGCCCTTTTTGATGGGTGCCGCTACTTCCAGGACGGCTGCTTGCGCCAGCTTGCCTTTTTCCGTGGTTTTCTTCTTCTTGGCCACGCCCTCAATGCTGGCGCTTTTGCTCAGCGACTTTGGCTGTGGTTTCTGTACTTTAACCATCTTTGCGTTGTCAATTAAATGTAATTTTTGCGGAGAAAAACAATTTTTTAAATGCAACACGTGCGATTCGTTAGTGTGACCGCGGATTTATAGATAAAATATACCGCGTTTCCCCTGAGAAATATACTGCTCAACACTCAGAAATATACCAACAAATATACTAATATTTCAAGCCGGTCCGAAACTGTTATAGCATTTAAATTCAAACTTAATTTAAACCTTAAAGCACCAAACTTACGAACGTCTTTAGTTTCCTTTCTATTTAAATAGCACACAGTTTATTTTAAGTAAATAATTCTAAAAATAATCCAATTGTAGACATTACATCCGTCCTGCCGGCCACCAAATGTCCTTGGATCACTCACACACACACAACAAAACACACGAAGCACAGAGGGAGCCGACAAAGTGTTCCAAAGTTATCCCTTTAACAACGCGCATCCCCTGGGAGGGGGGGTGGTGAGCATGTGGGCGTGCGTGGTGTGTGAATTGGGCATTTGCTGGCACGTGACTGGAGGACATGGTTTGCCCGCTGACGTCACAGGCAAATGCCATTGACAATTGGAAAAGAAAAAGTCTTAAAATGTACAAAATTAGAGCTTGAGTTTTTTGGCATTCGCTTTGGCCGGATCCTTTTTGGCACGTTTGCTCCCAGCGCCGCTTGCCGCCGAGGCTGTCGTGTCCTGCAGCTTGTTGAAGAATGCCTTGGAGGATTTGAGAGCGCTCTGATCGCTGGTGCTGGCGGTTATCTGAAAAGAGGAGAAAGCAATTATGAGACTCAACCTCGACTGTTGGCCACACACACTCTTACCTTTTGTACATTGCGACTCTTGGTGATGGTCTTTAGGAGCTTGGCATCCGCCTCGCGTTTCGTGGGCGCCTTTCCCTCCTTGGCGCGCTGCAGGTCGCGCGTTTCGAGCACTGCATTGATGGCCCGCTGCTTTTGCTTCTTCTTGCGGCGCTCGCGATTCTTGTCGGTGCGTGTGCGCTCCGTCTTGCCCAGAGGGGCGTGCTTGGGTCCGCGGAATACCTCTTCGGGGGCCAGCAGCTTGGCATCGCTGACGGCGACGGGCGCAACCTCTTCCATGTGCACCGCCGGCGTGTTGGTGACAATCCTTACCTCGGGCGCCACTGGTTTTGGTGTAAAATGGAAGTTGGAGAGGGCATCGAGCTTGAGGAACAGCGTGCGCATCATTCGCTTGATCTCCTGATGCTCCTTGGGCTCCGGTCCGGCATTTTCGTCGGCATCCTTGTTGGGATCGAGTTTCTCCAGCTCCTGTTGATATTGCTTCTCGTAGATTTGGGCCAGGGATTGCTTGGACTTCTCCTGGTCGAGCACCAGCTGTTTACGGTACTCCTGCGGCGTGTTATCCACACGCACGGTGCGGACCACATCATCCCAGGCCTTGTCGCGAATACGCTGCAGTATGATATCCTCGATGGAGCGATTATCTTCTTCTGTCAGAGGTGCCGTGGGTCGTGTGGTGGATTCAAAGTCTAGAATCTCCTCGAGCAGTGAGTTCTGTGGACGATTGGCCGCTTGGACCTCACCCTTCAACTGCCAGGGCTTCTCGCCGAGCACAATGTCCTCATAGTCGCGTATACGCTGGAACAGACGAGCCTCACGCAGCTCATTTGATGACTGGACGGCTGGTGTGGCCTCTTCTTGGTCATCATCATTATCTGCCTTGTCGGAGCCAGAGTCAGAATCACTGGCGGGTTCTATGCCACTTTTAGCCACGAATTCGGATTCATCGATTTCACTGGGAGCATTCTCTGGGTCTTCATTTGCTTCAGCGGCATCCTCATGCTCTCCTTCATCTTCAATATCATCTACAGTCCCATCCTCTGATTCCTCCTCTGCCTCATCTTCGTTTTCATTGAAGTAATCCCTCTGCTTGCCTTTGTTCTTTTTGTTTAACTTTTGCGCCTCCCGCTCCAGTTCCTCGTCTACTTCGAAAAAGTCCGCATAATTCACATTGACATCATCCTCATCTTCTTCCTCGCCCACACCAAAATCATCTGCATAGTAGTCGATGGCATCCGCGTCCTCTTCGACGCGCTGCTTAGATTTTTGCTTTCGCATCTCCTTGGCGTCTTCCTGTTCCAGAAACTCCTTCATCTCGTCCAGCTTGAAGAATGTGTCATCCACCACAGAGTTTCGGATCCGCTTTCCGCTTTTCTTTGTTTTGACTGATTTGGGTTTGGATTTCGTGGGCAGGTCCTCGGCATCGCTGCCAGAAACATCAAAATCTGAGTCTGGAGCTTCCTGAGCAGGCGCCTCCTCATCAGATGACGCCGCTGGATGCGCTTCGCCCTCATCCTCATCCTCATCGTCGTCGTCTTCGTCCAACTCGATGCCCAAGTGCTTCTCCTTCATGGCCATCAGCTTGGCAGTCTTCTCCAGCAGTTGCGGGAACACCAGTTCGTTGCGCATTTCCAGCTGCTGCCAGATCTGTTCCTCGTCCATCTGCTCCAGCACCAGCTCGGGCAGCAAGTCCTTTTTATTCTCCACATCTCCGCTAATGCTTACGCTGTAGGTTTGCTGTATGAGCTGCTCGATGGCAGCAATCTTCTCCGGCTGTGGCCTAGAAGAAAAATTGTTTAGATTTCCACTGAAGCAAACACGTGCGCGCCGCTTGGACGAAAACAAACTTGAGAAAACGCTCTGGATTCTTGGTCAGCAGCTCGAAGTTGTCCGCTATTTCCTTGAACACATTCGCCTTTTTGGTTTTTTTCTTGGTTCCAATCATATTGGGCGTGTTTTTATATATTTAATTTCGAAAATTGTAAAAAGTGCAACAGTTCCAAAACAAAACTGGCAAGTATCGGCTGGCACGAACGAGTACATATCGATATGTTTCGCCATGGTGTTTTGCCATCGTTAGCTACAGTTAAATAGAAAACTTCCATATAAAAACTAGGTTAAATGGACCCAAGCGATCAGGATTTCAATACAGATCACGAATTGGTATTTTAAAGGGTTTCGTACTTCGAAGAGGCGGCCTCCAGATTTTCTATGTGAATTAAAACATAATTTTTAAAGGTGTGATTAAGCCATCGATAGATATCGCCCATCCTTAGGAACAGCTGTCGCCGACGCTTGTATTCCGGGAATTCAGCATTTTATTTTGGAAAAATGCATTGCAGTCCATAAATTAGGACCACCAACAAAGCACACAAGCAACAATGGATGCAAAATTCTTTAAACTACTTCTGCTGGGCGGAGTGGTGCGCTTCTACTTCGTGCGTACGTCTCTGGCGTCGCTTATCAGCGACCGGGTGGAGTTTGCTACACCTTTAAATTCCCAAAAGCGGAGTGAGTAATCTTCTAAAACCATATTATACGCATATTGTAAATGCTATTTTTCTGTATAGTGAAGGAAGGCATCTATCTGCTGGATCAGGGCATTGACCCATATAGTGGGGACCTGGTCCATGAAAGCCCCCTAGTGCTAAAGGCTTTGTCTGGGCTGTTCCTAAACTTTCCCCAGTGGCTGCCAATCTTCTACATAGTGCTCGATCTGTTGACGGGGGCGCTACTCTATAATTTGAGCGTACGCTTTGTGAAGCAAAAGCTGCAGAAGCAGCGCCTGGAGCGAAAGAACTATGCCAAAGACACCGAACAGCTGCAGTACAACGATGATGACAACTATGATATACCGGAGCTCGTACTGATAGCCTATCTCTTCAATCCGTTAACTGTGCTTAGCTGCATTGGCCTGACCTCGACTGTGCTGAGCAATCTGTTTCTGGCCCTCTTCCTGTACTTCCTGACGAACGGGCTGCTGCTGCCGTGCATAGTCCTGTTGGCATTTGAGACTGTGCGCAGTCTATACCCAATTGTGCTGATGGCTCCGCTGCTATTGGTCTTTGCACGCCGCTCCATAGTTGGGGGCGTCATCCTATCGGTTCTCTTTGCAGTTGCATGCATCATTGTAGCTGCCGCCAGCTATTTGGTGATGCACAGCTGGACCTTCCTGGATGGAACACTGGGATTTATGTGAGTCCATTATAGATGCCTTCATAGTACCCAACCGATTCTTGATGTGCTCTTCCATTGGCAGCTTTTATTTCCGCGATCTCCAGCCAAATATTGGACTGTTTTGGTATTTCTTTACCGAAATGTTTGAGCATTTCCGCACCATGTTCCTAATCACATTCCAGCTGAATGCCACAGTGCTGTACCTGGTGCCGCTCAGTCTTAAGCTGCGGAAGGAGCCATTGCTGCTGGCCACCGTCCTGGTGGCCCTCATGGCAGTGTTTCAGGCATATCCAAGCCTGGGCGATGTGGGCTTCTACCTGGCATTGCTGCCGCTCTGGAAACGTTGCTGGAAATACATGGCCCATGGCTTTGTTGTCTTCACATTCTTCATGGTTACACTGTCTATGATGGGCGCCCTGTGGCATTTGTGGATCTACGCGGGATCGGCCAATGCCAATTTCTATTTTGGAGCCACGCTGGCCTTCTCGACGGGTCAGATATTCCTCATCACGGATCTGCTGTTTGCGCACGTGAAGCGGGAGTTCTGCTTGTACAACGGACAGAAGATAATGATCGATGGGGAGGAGGCGCGCATACTCTTAAAATAAGCCGAAATGCTAACAAATATCAAATTTAACAAAACACTTTATTACGACTTTTATGGGAGCTCCAACCATTCCACGCTACTGTTTGGAGTAGCCGGTCTTGGTCTTGCGATTGAGGAACTTGTACAGATACAATATCCGCTTCTGCATGTCCCTCCACTTGGTGGGCCGTGCAATCGGGTATTTGGTCTTCTCCAGCAGTTGTCGCTTGCGCAACAGCACCTGGTACTCGTTGCCAGAGACACCGCGCAACCAGGACGGCACCGAATACATAACTCGCACCGGGTGCAGTCGATCGTTGCCCAGAATGTCAATGTAGTCATTCTGGCCGAACAGAGCGCGCTTCTCTGACCAGGCGTTCTTCGGCCTATAGACGGGCATGGGCAGCTTCTGTCCGTTGTCCAAATGGGGCAGCAAGCCACTCTTGAAGATCTTGTCCTTGTAGCCGTAGCGCCGCACCGTAGGACCGCGTGCTCGTCGCTCGGCATGGGAAAGTTGGCGCACCGTTGTGGATGTGGCGGAGATCGCGGGCAGAGGATTGCTGCCTGCCGACAGGAGCGTTGCCCTGCACAGCTTTTGAATTGTGCCACTAAGCCAGGACATTGCTTGGTTTTAATTTATGATTAGATAATTGTAAACAGACTTCGCTTCGAAACTTCTCAGGAGAGCAGAGGAACAGCTGCTCGCATCGATAAATAGCCTATCGAGTTAACCGGTAATTGACCGATAGCTCATATCGAACATCAGCTGATTGTGGGAGAAATTTTTAATATTCGCAGTTTTAAAAACAATTGTAATTAATGATCGACGCGGAGGCACTGGAAAGCGAGAGGGTCAAGCTGAAGCGGGATGTTGCGGAGCTGCGGGCCACCCTCAACAGAAAGGAGCAATGTCTACGCGAACTGGAGGCAGCCATAGCCGCCGGTGAGGATAGCGATGAGGCGGAGGAGACGACGTCCAATGACATGGCCACACACATAGAGACCCAACTCTCCAACGACGACATAGCCCGATATAGCCGACAGTTGATCCTCCAGGACTTTGGAGTGCAGGGCCAGTTGAAGCTGAAGAACAGCTCCGTGCTGATTGTGGGTATGGGAGGATTGGGCTGTCCGGCCGCCCAGTACCTGGTGGCAGCCGGATGCGGACATCTGGGACTCATCGACTACGACGAGGTGGAACGCAGCAACCTGCATCGACAGATCCTGCACTCGGAGCACCGCTGCGGCATGTCGAAAGCAGAGTCCGCAAGGATTGCGCTGCTGGAACTGAATTCGCACTGTCAGATCCGCTGCCACTCGCGGCTGATCAACAGCATCAATGCCATGCACATTATACGGTCGTATGATGTGGTTCTGGACTGCAGTGACAATGTGGCCACGCGTTACCTGCTAAACGATGCCTGTGTGATGCTGCGCAAGCCCCTGGTCTCTGGTAGTGCGCTCAAGATGGACGGACAACTGACCGTGTATGGCTATGGGCAGGGTCCTTGCTACCGGTGCATCTATCCGGTACCGCCGCCACCCGAAGCGGTCACCAATTGCGGCGATGGCGGCGTTCTGGGCGCCGTCACAGGAATCATTGGCGCCATGCAGGCCCTGGAGGCCATTAAGGTGATAATCGGCTTGGGCGATGTGATGTCTGGGCGTCTGCTCATCTTCGATGGCAGCAGCTGCATGTTCCGCAATATCCGGATACGCACCAAACGACCCAACTGTCACGTGTGCTCTGCCCAGCCCCTAATCACGGAACTAATCGACTACGAGATGTTCTGCGGAATGCATGCCACTGACAAAGACAATCCCCTGGACCTACTGGAGCCGGATCAGCGTCTGGAGGTCAGGGAATACCATCAGACGCTACAGAAGCAGCCACATCTGCTGCTCGATGTGCGGCCGCCGGCAGAGTTCGAGATTTGCCAGCTGCCCAGGTCCATCAATGTGCCATTGAGTGAAATCCTAGACGACAGCTACCTAAAACGCTTCACCAAACAGCTGGAGGACAAAGAGTTTCCCATTATTCTGCTCTGTAGGCGTGGCAACGATTCACAGATCGCTGTTCAGCATATTAGAAATCGATTTCCCGCACATTCCATTCGGGATCTGGTTGGAGGACTGCATGCGTGGACAGGCAGTGTGGACGCTACTTTTCCTATTTACTAATCCCAAGGACTACATGCATTGCACATATATTTTGTTCCCGATTGAAGTGTACAGTTTTCCCCCTATTTTTCCACTTATTGTTGGTATAAATAAATAAAAGACAAGCTTAAATATGTAAATTGAATCCTTGGATCCAATTATGTGACGTCCGTTTACAGTTAACCGATAGCTTCATTGAAAGCAGAGCACCTGGCGGCAATGCAGCTCAAGCAGTGGATAATGTGCCGGGAACGGGAACAAATGCGCCAACAAAGAGAGCAACAAATAACCACGCCAGATTGGAGGGCAGGTGTAATATTTCGGCTCACGCTCACCTTAAAGGCAGATTGTGTGAATGAATGTGAAACTGTATGCATTTCTCAAAGAATAATAATATCGATATCAAGCATGCACTGCATGCATGCATGCGTGTGTGTGTGCAAGTGCATCGAAATACAGTAATAAAAGCAGTTCCCGGTGGCTTGAAATATTCAAACGCTCCCCGCAGCTGGAGGCAGAAGAAACACACAGCAATCTCTGGACTTGTTGTTCTCTGTGTTAGGTAAGTTTGTGTACAATAAATAATTATTTGTATTATAAATTCAAAGTGCAAAGTAGCAGGCCTCAATTGATAAGACAGAGCCTCTGTTGTGTGCTGGCACTGGCGGCCACAAAGAACAGTTCATTTGCCCAAGCGAAGCAGTGGAGAGTGGACTTGCGCCAAGGGAAGCAGTGGACATTGGATTAAAATGGCAAAAATGCCAATGATTTGGGTTTTTTCCCTTCTATTGGTCTTTGTGGCGTGGGTAAGTTATAGAACTATATAGAGGTCTCCACTACCTACCATTTCATAACATTTGTATGCGTTTCCCAACAGCCTGACGCCCTGGCCGAGGGCAATAGCTGTTCAGCCTCCACCCTGGACGCCCGTCGCTTCTTTGAGCATGAAAATGAGTTGCTGCGCCAGCGCTACCACGAGGAATACCTGGCCGCGTACACCTACAACACCAATGTGACCGATGAGAATCGCCAGGCCATGATTGCTGTCTATGCACGAAACGCTGTACAAAATAAGCAGCTGGCCGAGAAAATCAAGGCCTCCGACTACAAACTGTCCGAGGATGCAGACATACGCAGGCAGGCACTCCACCTATCCAAGATGGGAGCATCTGCCCTCGATCCTGAGGATTATCTAGCCCTGCAGAATGCCATCAGCTCCATGCAGTCGAATTACGCCACCACCAATGTGTGCTCCTATACGAACCGCAGCGACTGCTCGCTGACGCTGGAGCCGCATATTCAGGAGCGTCTCTCGAATAGCCGAGATCCTTCAGAGCTGGCCTGGTACTGGCGCGAGTGGCACGACAAGGCTGGCACCACACAGAAAGAGAACTTTGCCGAATACGTCCGACTCACACGCAAGGCGGCCCATCTAAATGGTGAGTTTGTCCGGCCCGATAACCTGCCGTCTGACCTCTCTAATGGGTGGAATATAATTCTATTTATATAGATCATCGTTCGTATGCCGATTACTGGGTGCAGTTCTATGAGGATGCCGACTTTGAGCGACAACTGGATGCGAGTTTCAAGCAGCTGCTACCCTTCTACAGGCAGATCCATGGCTATGTGAGGTACCGACTGCGTCAGCATTATGGCGAGGATGTGGTACCCGCAGAGGGCAACTTACCTATGCATCTGCTGGGCAACATGTGGGGTCAGTCGTGGAACGAAGTCATTGATCTCTTCACGCCGTATCCGGAGAAACCTTTTGTGGACATCAAGGCCGAAATGGTGCAACAGAACTACACGGTGCTGAAGCTATTCGAGCTGGGCGACCAGTACTTCCAGTCTTTGGGCATGCGTGCCTTGCCGCCGAGTTTCTGGAACCTCAGTTTGCTTACCCGACCCGATGATCGTCAAGTGGTTTGTCACGCCTCCGCCTGGGACTTCTATCAAGACAGCGATGTGAGGATCAAAATGTGCACAGAGGTGGACACGCACTACTTCTTTGTGGTGCACCATGAACTGGGACACATTCAGTACTATCTGCAGTACGAACAGCAGCCGGCTGTCTTCAGGGGTGCACCCAATCCTGGCTTTCACGAGGCTGTGGGCGATGTCATCGCCTTGTCGGTGATGTCTGCGAAGCATTTGAAGAGCATTGGCCTGACCGACAACGGGCGACTGGACGAGAAGAGTCGCATCAACGAGCTGTTCAAGCAGGCCCTCTCGAAGATTGTGTTCCTACCCTTTGGCTATACCATGGACAAATATCGGTATGCTGTTTTCCGCAACGAAATCGAGGAGCCGCAATGGAACTGCGGCTTCTGGCAAATGAGATCCGAATACGGTGGCGTTGAGCCGCCTGTGTCACGCACGGACAAGGACTTTGATCCGCCGGCCAAGTATCACATCGATGCGGATGTCGAGTATCTGCGCTACTTTGCCGCCCACATCTTTCAGTTCCAGTTCCACAAGGCCCTCTGCAGCCTGGCCGGCCAGTATGCGCCCAACGATAGTCGCCGCACCCTGGACAATTGCGACATATTTGGCAGCAAGGAGGCAGGACGAGCATTGAGCAAGTTCCTGTCGCACGGCAGCTCGCTGCACTGGAAGGTGGCTCTGCAGGAGTTTACAGGCGAAACGGAAATGGACACGTCCGCCCTCTTGGAGTACTTTGATCCGCTCTATCAGTGGCTCAAGCAGGAGAACAGTCGACTGGGCGTACCCTTGGGCTGGAGCGAGACGAACAGTAAGTTGTTAGAGTTCTCCCCTCTTGGATTGGTTTATAATGTGTCTATATCCTTGCAGAGATCCCCTCCGACTGCTGTGGCCAGTTTAGCACTTAAGAACATTTAGACTTGACAAAAATCAGCTTTGTAATTAATTATATGACACCAAATCCAATTGATATTTAAATTGATATTTATTGTATCGATTCGTTCGTTCGTATCGTTTTCCATTTCGTTTCCATTACTATTCAATTTTCCATTACATAATACACTTTATAACGATATCATTCATCATCAACATCCTCTACTTCTACCCATACTATCCTTTCCATCGCTTGTTGCATTCAGAAAACAATAAGATTAATTTTATATAAATTAATTGTTTGTGTCGTCTCATTTTGCAATTAAAAAACATTTATCCCACACCACACAATGTTGTATATATGTTTCGCATTTCAGTGTAAATTTTCGATATTATGCTTGCATTTTTTGTACACAGCATTTATAAGCTTACAAAAGTTCATCTCAAAGTTGTATATTGGATGAGCTAAAATCTTTGAATAGCTTGGCTTATAAGCGATCATCGAGTTTTCCATTTAAAGAATGTTCTCTCAGAGGAATTAAATGAATAATTTAGTTTTTATAAGGCTTTGATCTTGAAAATGAAATATAATTACAAATGCATACTCCTGAATATGATTCTTTTCATTTTAATAAATAAAACAATTCATATTCATTGAAGAACTTGAATGCCTTAAAATATAGCATAAATGCTTTGATATATTATGCATATTTTCAAAGCAAATAAATATATCCTATCAACCCTATAAGCAAAGCTATTCAAATGTTAAACTCAATATTGGAATTTCACGTTTTGTGCTGCAGTTGTATATTTGCTGAGTATTACCGATGTGTTTGCCTTCGATTTATGTTTTATGTTTTTTGATTTTTAGTCTCTTTTACATTGTATAATAAATACAAAATAAAGAAAATGTGTATCGAATAAAAGTTACGTGTGTGTGGATCCGATTTCCAAATAGTTTTTCCAATTTTTGGTAGAGTTTTTAGTTTTTAGTTTTTTTTTTTTTAGTTAAAACATAGAAGCTAAGAACTAACAATAAATATTGGAAATTGTTTAAATTTTGTTTCGATTAGGTAATACATATATATGTAAATCTCCCGTGTTTTATGTTGTTGTATGTGTTATAGGAAATACCCCTTAATATTATTTGTAAATTGTATATATGTATATAATAGGTGTATACAGTGCGTTTCTTGACTAAAGGGCAGTTAAAAGGTTCAAGAAAATTGTTTGAGAAATACACTAACAATTCAATATTTCGAAATCAGTCGTTTTTTGGTATAAAACTTCAAGTATTTGGATGTTTTTGATAGGTGTGATATGATAGGAATATGAAACTGCCTTTATAGACGCATAACGCACTGTATAAATGCTCGGGGAACGGGGAATTGGGCTCCAATACTCTTGAGCTTTACATATAAATGCCTTAGATGTTTTTTGTTTTTGGGAGTTTTAATGATAGGATTATTGGACTAACAGTAAGATCAGCTAGGTATTTTCTTTTTTCTTTTGTTTTGAGATACAGATACAATATATACTATATTATGTATATATATGCATAATCGTTAAGACTTAACAGGGGGCTATCAAATCATATCATAGATAAATATCCACGCGTGTGTCTATATTTAGGCCAAGAGTTTAGTTTTGGTTAGTGCTAAGTGGAATTGGAACAACTTGTTTTTTTTTTTTAGTTTTTTGGATAGTATTTTGTATGCATTCTAACAAAAAACACAAATAAATAGCAGTCCTAAGTCCTATGAATTCGATGCGGAAATCTTTGCATGCGTTTCTTTCCAAGCGTTACGTTTAGGTTTATACAAATCGAGTAATGCATAGATGTATATTAAGGATCTTATCCTTTACTACTTAGAGATTATTATTGAATACAATTTCTGTTTAATTTTTGTTTTTGTTATAATTTAATATTAAACGTTTGAAAATTTCTCGCGCTTCATTTGTAAACATTTGTTTTGTTTGTTTGATTCTTCTTCTGGGTTTTTTGTTTGTTTTCTGTTCGCTTCGCTATAATATCAAGAACGAAATGACGTAGGAGGAGGAGGAGCAATGGCAAGCTTTGTTTGAGATGAGTTTTTTTTTTTTTTGGATTTAGAATTGACTCTTGAAGTTATTTCCCCGTCTAATTGACCCTTTTTTGCGAAATGTATTCATCTGCCTTTCGTTTGTGTTCTTGGACTCCTCCAGTTTAGTCCAAGAACGGGTTTTGTCATACAGGCCGCGAGTGATGGGCATGTGGATGAGGATGGGCAGCATGTGGATGTGGATGGGCATGATGTTGGGTGACGCTGCTAATGCTGTGATTACTGCTACTGCTGCTCGCCCCACCGCCGCCGCCACTGCCTTTAGCCCTTGTCGGTGGTGGTGGTGGCGGTGCCTGCCTCATGCGTTGCTGCAGTATGCGCGGCAGCTGAGGATGTGCCTTGTGCTGTGCAGGTGGTGCGGGTGGTGGTGCTGGCCTTTGATGATAGTGGGGCGCCTGCTGCTGCTGCTGTTGCAACTGCTGATGCTTGCCCATCGACGAGGCAGCTGACGACGAGCCCGATGTCCCCGATGTCGAGCTGGTTGATGCATGGGACGTGGTCGATCCCGTGGCCAGTTTGGTGGGCAGCCCACCACTGGCCGCAGGCGAGGCCATGGTCCTGGGCACCGGCGGATCCGTCAGCTTCGGGCCCACCACAGGCGCATAGGAGCCGTCATCCTCGTCCGAGGACAATGAATTCGCATCGGAGGGTGTCCGTGATCGCGACGGCGGCGACATGGCATCCTGCTCCTGCAGAAACACCCGAAATCCCTGTATCGATTCGTTCAAGGCCCACAACTGCGACAGCAGCGACAGATCCAACTGCCTCAGGCCGTACATTTCGCGGCGGAGTATTGCCAATTGGTTGTCGATCGTCGACGAGGATGCTCCAGTGCTGCTCGAGCTGTTGGTGGGCGTGTGCTGTTGACTTCCAGTTGCCACACCAGGACCCGCACTGTGTGTGGAGGAGGCGCGACTGTGTACAGACTCCCGATCGCTGAGCGACTCCTGGGTGGAGGAGAGGCTCCCATGGCGCTGACTATGATGACCGTTGTAGCTGCGATTCCTGGCCGCTGCCGCCGATGTGGAGGGGCCCAAATAGAGGTCCCCAGCGGCGGCGCTCAAAGCGGCCACACTCGCCGCCGGCGAGGCAATGTGGGATGTGTGCTGTTGATGTGGGGCGGTGGCAACGGCAGCGGCGGCAGAGCTCAGACTTTTTGGCAGTGGAGGCAGACCACTCAGCGAATGCTGTGGATGCTGTTGAGGATCGCTATTGTCCATTATTTGGTTGGGCTTCGAGTAACACTCTTCTTCGTCTTCGGCTTGGTATTATGCTATAGCTTTGCGCTTATTTCTCTCGTTTATGCTACACCTCTTGTTTCCGTTTCCGTTTCCGTTTGCTCCTCCCGATTGCGATACCTCCTCTCTTAGTGTATATTGAATTTCCAACTTTGGCGGCACATGGGACACTGTTTGTTCAATGGTTGCAAGTTGAGCCACTTGACAATGCAATGCATGTGGAAACAATGGGAGCAGACACCCCACACCAGGGGGCAATCGTCACCGGGCAGCGCACACTCTGGGCAAGTGCTCTCGAAGGACATCCGACAAATACCGCAATTCTCATCATTCGCTATCCAACGCCAAGTTGCTACACCCGTCCATGACTTGATTGTCACTTTCATTTTGCGCACATTGGTTTGCACTGGAAAATGTATCTGTATCTGCTGCAATGTCCGCGAATTTAAACAACTTTGTCCGTGACTTCTAAAAACGAATGCTGTCGCAATCTTCGTGTTTCTTTTTCGCAAAATATTGTTTTTTTTTTCCTAATTTTTGCTGAAATAGGTCAAACTAGAGGTGTCAAAATCGATGTCATCGCTGTTTGAGTGTTCGCTGCAGACATCGATGATTTTTCTCAAACATCGATATTTTTAGTTAAATAGAATAATTTAAAAATGTTCATATTTTTTAATGATTAAAAAGATGATTTTTAGTTGTATATACTAAATAATATACATATATGGAACTGTATATACACTTTTTATGTACATACATTCACAAATTAACATATTTAATTTAATTTAATATTCAATTTAATTTTGATATGCCACCTCTACTATAATAGTTTTTGTACCAATAATACCCGCTCTAAAATCCCATCTCTATCTCGCCGTGCCCGCCAAAACAACTAAAAGCAATAAAGCAAATAAATATGATAATAAACCATTATTCAGGGGTGCCACAGAAATCACTTCCGCTGGAAAATCACCTCAATTCCATTCCGCCGTGCCACACACCGACTTTTCAGCGGAATCAAAATCGCTCACAATTTATCCAGCGATTTGATTAAATACACCCATAAAACACACCTAAAACGATTTGAATCTTACTTTCCCATAAAGGTTGTTCAATTGGTGGTTAACCCTCATCCAAATAATTTAACACTATACATGTTAAGTTAATAAAATTGTTACGAACTTCTTGATGGTGGGGCAAAGCCGTGGTTGAAGGGGTAGTGGTGAGCGGATAGTGGCGCCCCCTAGTCGGGCGATCTTAAAACTATGAGATCCGCGCGCTCTTGAATTCCCTTGTGGAGAGAGGAGAGCCGGTGTCCCGGAGCCAATTCACCCACACACGCTTAAGGGGAGAGAGAGCGGTTACAGGAAGAGTAGGCCATGCCCTTGAACCTGGTTCAAGGGCAATAGAAGAGATCGATGGGGCTTGGCGACCAACGATATCGGTATGGGAAGCTTAGGCTTAGGCTTAGGACAGATCAAAAAAATCGTTGGCGGAAGACAGTACAAAAAAAAATCGTTTTACGGATCGGGTCTCAGAGAAAAAAAATAAAAATAGAAATAAATAAAAATAATTATAAAGTGAGTGAAATGAGGATGGGTAGTGGTCATCACTCAAAGTGAATTTTTTGTTTGTTTATGTTTCCTCGAATAGCAAGGAGGAAGTAGAGCTGCCTAGCGGGACCGATGCAGATAGACTAGCAAAGCTGGAAAAAAAAGGAACAAAAACTGTGCCCAGTTCCGCCGTCCTGTCCACAGCGGCATGGTCCTTCGCCCGGCCTGGAAGTGGACCCCAGAATATCGTCCCCGTCCTCCAGCAAAGATTTTATTAAACCCTATTTAAATACGTACATATAATTTAGAACCCACTAGGCCGTCACATATCTGTTTATACATTTATTTATTTATTTACCTTTAATTATATTTATTTATTTGTTATTATATATGTAATTGTCACTATTTATAATTATTTATTTATTTAATCATATTTAAAATAATACGCCCATGCCCATAATTTAGGTCGCAGAAAGGAAGAGATTAGGATGGGGATTAGGAGGTCGACCTAAACCAGATAGGAGCTAGTAGAATATAAAAAGAATGTGTGTAAAATTTGATTTAAGGTGAAAATATACGAAAAGATGAAGTGCTAAACATTTAAAATGGGGGGAAAGCGAACTGAGACTACGGGAGGATGAAGAAGATGCTGCACATGGCAGGGAGACCCGAGATAGTCGGATCCGGATCTCTGGTAGGGTGGGTACGTCGGAGGTACAAGACCAACACCTCAACCTGGTCCACGTAGCGGTAGGAGATTGTTTGTCGAGTAGCGTCTGTATGGTTTATTTTTTTTTTTTGTGTCGTTACGTTAGTTTCCGTTTTTGTTGTAGCCGTTTCAAATATTGTCTGAGATGCTCGATTTGTTTGGTTTGTTGTGCGAACTGAGGGCTTGGGAAGTATCCAGCTCTGGGATGACTGGCTAGCCGGCCTTGCCCCACCACCAAGAAGTTCGTAACAAAATAAGCATTTTAGTAAATCACTATTCAATCCGCTGACTGAATTTTCACTTTACGATTCTGCTCTCAATCCGCTGCAGACCGAGGTTGCCACCTAGGGCGATTCGGACTTTCGACGTTAATACAGTAATGCCACCTTGTTTAAGTCGAATTCGGAGAAATATATTTAATATTAATTATATTGAAAGCATTCTGTTTTTCTTTAATTAAGCATTAAAAAAAAAATAGCTCATTGTAGTAAAACTTCCTTTAAGTCAAACGTGTGCATACTTTTTTGTGCAAATTGTGAAAACAATTTGTTGTAGTCATTGTAGGTGGTGGTGCCTGGTAATGCCAATGCCAAAATGCCAAAACAAAACTAACAAACCATTTCTACACATTATTGCCATTGCATTTATGTCAAAAACCCCTGTTCGCCTAAGCGCAGACAAAAAAGGCAGCACAAATACAAGCATAGCGATCATTATAAAAACTGGTAATTGTAATTAACTAAATTAGCAGTAGTTTGAGAAGACAATCACAAAAACCAATCACCGATGCGCATCTGAGAATCCTGCGATACATGGTTTGTATTCTAATATGTTGCCTCCGTAGTTCTTCGATGGCCAAGTCTCGGTAAAAGCATTTTAATTAAGTTTACCGTAAAAATTCATGCATGGAGAGAAAAATGAAATCGCTCGGAATTCTGTGAAAATATACAAATATATGTGAAAACCATACAGTACATCTATATGTGCCAGTTCATACAACGAAAGGGGCGCTGCTGAGTTTTCTGTCCCAGCTCCCAGGCGCTTCGGCTCTGTAAGGCTGAGACATTCGGGTCGGGAGCATGATACAATTATATATATATATATAATATTATATATTATATATAATTGCATCATGGGCTAGCCTTTGCCTCTGCTTTCAGAATGATAATGAATACAAAATATAATAGCCACTGATAAACATACAAATCAATCAAACAAATATAACATTTTTCAGTTTTTATTTCAAATGAAAAAAGAAGGGAGCTGGCGTGAAAAAATGGAGGGCCCCAGATTGATGGTTGCCCAGGGCCCGGTTGAGGGTTGATCCGGCCTTGAATAGGTCGATTTTGGTTTTAAACTTTAAAATTGTTATTTGTTTGTACTGTGTGTATTTACAGTGGGGACTCAGCCGATAAGAGGTGGAAAAATTAAAAAATATTTTATGAACGCTTTGAATAAAATAAATGTACACATCTAGTAGAACATTTTCCAGAGCTTTAGCGAATCTAATTTTCAAGATAATTTTAGTTTAGGAGATATGAGAAGAGATATGTATCATCTTTATTTTTATATATTGTATTTATTTCCCACTCCCACCCACTCTGCCCAATCCTCATTTATGTTACGGCAGGTCAGCATGCTCTCTTGAGCTGCAATTAATTATTGAGCGAGTGTAAGAGTGCGCCCGTGCGTGCGGGTGTGTGTGCATTGGAAAAAGTAATAATAAAAAAAATTCGAATTAATTAAGTCACATCCATGTTCCCCACCTAAAATGATATCTATTAGTAATGCATATTTAAATTCAATAGTTTTAAAATATATGTACATATGTATGTACATATAACAACTAATACAAAAAAATTATAATTAACTTATGCATGCATTTATATCTACAAATGTACATACGTACATAAGTACAAATACGTATATATGTAAAACGATTTGGCTGACAAGCAGCTTAATTGTTTTATGAACCGAGAACCTAAACAAAACGAGAAGGAACGTGCGAGTCGCTTCTGGGGACGCGACTCTACTACCGTACTCAGTCAGTACATACATTTTTGAGCTTATAATTTTTTAAAATTATAAAATTAAAAAAAAAAGTGTACATTTTACATTTTTTTGCTACATCTGTTATCTACATCTACAATGTATATTTTATATCTAACATGTAGATTATAAATGTACCATTCATATTCTACATCTCCTTCGCGGGGCGAAATTTTGAAATACACTTGTAGCAGTGTGATATCACATGAGTCTGGAAACAAAATTTGGTTGCTCTAGCTTTTATAGTCTCAGAGATCAAGGCGCTCATCAAGACGGACGGACGGACAGACGGATAGACGGACGGACATGGATATATCGACTCGGCTATTGATGCTGATCAAGAATATATATACTTTATGGGGTCGGAAACGTTTCCTTCTCTGCGTTGCACACATCCACTTTTACCATAAATCTAATATTCCCCTTAACTCTTTTTTGAGTTCGGGTATAAAAACCAAAAATCTCTTAAAACCTGAAAACCACCCATCACCACCCATCCAGCCTTATGAAAGTGGGCGATATAGCCGAGGTCAAGGCTATATCCGAGAAGGTTCTGATTGAGGTCAGACACAAATCGGAGTGGCCAACGCCCGAAGAAGTCCTCGAAGACATCCTCGCACAGATTGACGGAGATCTACCGACCGAATCAGTCCCAGAACTGCGCAAAGCATACCTGGAAACACTGACGGCAAACACAATCTCCTCCCCAGATAAACAGCGAACAAGCTGCTTCAGGAGGCCAGGCTCCTATCCAATCCTCTCCTATTCGAATCTCCTATGCAGTCCTCTCCAATTCGAATCTCCTATAGAATCCTCTCCTATCCGAATCTCCTAGGGAATTGAGATCGTGATCAGGTACCAATTGTACAACCCTTTTTCGTTTGCTTTGTTCCCAATCGGCAGTTGGGCCAGCAACCTTCCAAAAGGTATTTTTGTTGAATTTTTTCATTTTTTAGGTTTGGTTAACGAATTTTAGCTCCAAAGTCTGTCCATAGATTTAAATGAGCGATACCTTAAACGACGCCAAATTAATGCACCTATACACAAAAAATAGGGGACACAGGATATCATTTTTTTTTCGACTTTTCCTGATTTTTTAAAGTCAAAATTTCGTAAAAAATACCGCACAAAAATCATAATTTTTGCATTTCAATGCTTTATATTTCCCAGACGGTAGGCTGAAATCACAAAGTGTTTGGGCTTAACTTCTAGCTGTTGTAATTATCTTTACAACCAGACGTAAGATACTAGAGTTATGTGAAAAAAACAAGCGCTACCTCTGAAAAAGAATTAAAAAAAAATAACAGTTTTCAAAAATTCTTTAAAAAAAATGTCTGCCATAGAAAAAAAATATATATTATCAAACCATTTCTAAGCCCCAAATCTTTAAGAAAAAGTTCGTTTTGTTCCTTGAGAAAAAATCGCCCAGTATCTGGGAACTGTTCTCCCGACAATGATACTATGTTGCTTAACATTGTCAACGATATTGAGAAAAGTTAATCTTGACTACACTAAAGCTTTTGACTCAGTTGACCATCGCATCCTCATCGCAAAGCTTCGCGAATCCTACAACTTCTCTGCAGTACGGTTGCTATCATCCTATCTGCTAAATAGGAGCCAGGCTGTTGTTGCTGAAGGGAAATGTCGTCCTTTGCCTATGTTAAGTGTGGTGTCCCACAGGGATCAGTACTTGGCCCGATATTGTTCTCCATTTATATAAATGATTTGCCAATAGTATTGTCCGACTGTAAAGTGCACATGTACGCCGATGACGTCCAATTATATGTTAGTCGACCGTTAAATCGAATAGATGAGTGCATAAATGTTACCAATAGAGAGCTTGAGAAAATTAGTGCGTGGGCAACCAAAAATCGTCTATGCCTCAATCCAACAAAGTCAAAATGCTTGATTATATACAAAAACAAGAAAAAAATAAATGAAACTATATTGAGACGTGTAGAAATATCAAACACTCCCATTAGCTACATAGAGAAGACAACTAATTTAGGCTTTATAATAAATAGTACTCTGTCGTGGGATGATCATGTGAGCAAAGCAGTTGGAAAAACATATGGGATCTTAAGGGCACTTAATATTACCAAGCAATTTATACCAGTTAGCATCCGGATGCAGATAGCAAAAGCATACCTAGTACCTGTACTCACTTATGGGATTGAGGCATTTGGAAACTGTGGCTACGTAAACAGGCAAAAGTTGAGCGTTTGCTTTAATAATATAGCTAGATACATATTTAGATTAAGGCGCAGCGACAGAATCTCTGCATTCTCATATAAAATTTTCGACATGACTCTTTTCAAATGGATTGACTATAAGATGCTTACGTTCCTACATAAAATAATCCTCACCAGACAACCCCAATATCTGTATGAAAAATTAAGATTTACCAATTCCGCAAGAACGAACAATATTATCACCATACGATATAGAACACTAAACTCTGAGAGACATTTCTTTGTGAATGTTATTCGCATATGGAATCATCTTCCACATCACATGAAAACAATACGAAACCTTTCACAATTCAAAACACAGTTAGGTGCCCACCTTACACTAGACTAAGATTTAAAAATCAAATTCAATTTAAAATAAAATAACACGAACATAAGCATAAGAAAACAAATCAATATATGTAACCACTTATTAGTATGTCATATTAAAAGATTAATTTAGATCTAAGTTTAATCCCAAACTAATGTGACACCTAGTGACTAGTGCTCTAATTATAAGCCCCTTGCTTGTAGCACTAGGAAATACAATAAAAAAACAATACAATACAATACAATACGTCAGATTTCAAAACTCTTGATGACGATGACTTCATGTCAACTGACGAGAACTCAGAGTTAGAATTAGCAATAGAAGCAACAGATTTAGGTATCAAAGCCGCATTTAATGAAAATGCATTCCGTTATTATGCAGGGTATTTATTGCATAAGGTACTGAAAAAGTACGATTGCAAAAAATGCTCTGAGCTTTTAAAACCGTCCGATGAGGTCCGATCTTCTTCTGAGTGTTTAATACTCAACAAAAATTTTGGCTATGTCAGTAATAGTTTAAAACTTCAAGCTCCTTCAGACGATTTTTTTATATTAGTTAAAATTCATTTTGATATTTTTAATCGGCATTTCGAGACTAAGTCTCACGAATTCCATAGTCCAAAAATGTATATTTTTGACGTCCAAAATAGATAAATATGCAGAGTGGTTTAAATTGTCCGATCCGTGCTTTGCACACCGAAACCATCTGCTCAATTAGTTTGTTTTGATTTTGATTAGGAAAAATTGTAAATGGCTTACAGATAGAATGAAATGCAAAGTCATATGAGAGAAAACTCAAAATAATGCGGCAGTAGGATTTTTTATATATTCTAATAGGACAGGATTGTATAGGATAGGACAGGATAGGATAGGACACACTGTGCCAGCGTGTTGCGAGTGGTAGGCGCCTAAGCCTGGTGTCGGGGTTCCACAGCTCCAGATTGGACTAGACAGGATTATATAGGACAGGATAGGATAGGACAGGACAGGATAGGACAGGATTATATAGGACAGGATAGGTAACCCTCTGCTACCGGGCAATCCACTCACACGCACAAGCCAGTCAGCAGTCTCCGACTTCCCTTACCGGGAATATTGGAGAATGAGTGCAGAGTGCATATAATTCGGCAATATATATTTATGTAAGAACCCTTCCAACATTCCGAAATAGAAATAAGATCTGTAAGACATTGGTGGGAAAATCGATGGCCGGCCGATCCATAAAAGGAGCTGCCTGGCGTGGAGACGAGGCAGTCCATCAGCCATAGCAGTCAGGCAAATAACAAACACGCAATTCAGGCAGGCGGCTAACCAAGAACCACTATACAACAAATAAAAATAACCTAATACATAACATAGCCCGGTAGCATAATAATACGGAAAAATAAACATATCCATTAAAAATCAAGGAACCAAAAGTTTTGTGATTTCGCTAACCATTTTATTTCAGTTGCTGGAAAAGTCCCCGTTTTCCCAATAAAGTCCTTGTGAATTATAAATTATCTTGTAATTCAGGATACTGGACAGACTGTAGATGCACATCCCAGCCTGAGATATGTTCTAACAAAACATATGTACATATATATATGTATATTCCTGATCAACAGTGGTGGAAATACTTTTTTGTCAGCCAATGTGAATATGCACATAGATCGTAGTCTTACATATGTATGTACATATGTATGTATGGGATGTATAGTAATCATGAACTTCGTAGAGTCCAAGTCCTACTGTATTTCCCCCTTATCATGACGTCATAATATTTAAATCAATTAAATTTTGTATGTTTTGTTTTATTCACAGTCATTTCTTAACAATTATTTGAAAATATCTTATGGAATGGTTTAACCGCGTCCGCCAGCTGAGGAAGAGGCGGAGGATGATGCAGATGAAGCGCCGCCGCCACCACGACCGCCGCCTCCGGCAGACGAAGCCGACGATGATGCGGATGCAGAACTAACTCCACTGCCACCACCTCCGAAACCACCGCCGGGACGTCCACCGAAGCCGCCACCCCACCACCGAAACCGCCGCCGGGACGTCCACCGAAGCCGCCGCCTCCAAATCCGGGACTGACTCCAAAACCGGGTCCGCCTCCGAAACCTCCGCCAGGACGACCGCCGAAACCGCTGCCTCCAAATCCAGGACCACCTCCAAAACCTCCTCCAGGACGACTGCCGAAACCGCCGCCTCCAAATCCTTGGGCCTGGGCGTTAGCGTTGGCGTTGGCATTAGCATTTCCGCCGAACTGTGGCAGGGCCGAGGCCACAGCCACCAAAACGGAGAGCGCGACGAACAGTTTCATGACTATGCTTGTGTTCCCTAGAGAGAGCTTCGCAAACTTAGCTACTACCCCGCCTGGGATCGCCTTTTATACAGTCTCGAGGCAATAGATACACCGGGAAAGCCATCTGCTGAACCAGAGATGCGGCCCGGGCGACAGCAACAGCGTCAACAGCAACAACAATCGTAGAATCGATGCCCCAGCAAAATTAACAATATTTATGGCTTGGCTCATTAGCAAGTTCGGAGCGTACGATGGTTGTACCCTACACAGTCTCGGGTGGCTCGATCTCGAGCCCACACTGTAACCGGTTAATCTGTATCGGTTTTTTTGATTTTTTTGCGATGCCCAATTCTCGATGCTGACGTGCACTTCCGAGTGTACGGGATCTGTGGTTGGAGTACATTACAGCTGGCGCCAGTGATATCTAGATGAAGAAAACAAGTCTAACTAGAATCTGTTGTTGGATGGATCCATTGTAGAAATTAATTTGGGAACTACATTTAGATTATGGAGGTTTGATGAGATAATCTTGCTTGTTTGAGCAATATCGATATGGATGTAGTCTTGTTTTTCTTACACGCATATGATTATACATACTCGTACATTACATTACATCTAATGGCAAATTGTTAAATTGTTCAATCGATGATTTTACATTTCATTTTGGACCTGATACGATTTAATGCGTTCGAAAATGTCAAAACAATATTTTTTAACATCACAATTTGATAATATATGTAATTTGAAAGTCATATTTTTGTAGATTACAATTTGCTAACTGACTAACTGCAAAAACAGAGACAGCGTTCTGGGAAAATCAGGCAGTGATAGTCCAGTTAAGCTTAGACACGGCTAGGAACACTAATTTGGCGTTTTGTTTCTCATTCTGTCTCTCTCTTCGCAGAAAGTTTGCAAAGTTTAATGTCATAACACATTAATTAGATGAAATAAATATAAGAAAATTAAATAAAACGAATAAGTAAGTGAAAACCGGAGCCTACCAGCTAAAACCAGCATCTCGATTTGATATTCTTTACATATAAGAACGATATTATAAATGTATGTACATACTTGATCTGCGAATTTCGATTTAAAATCGAACAATTTTTTTCTGTGTAGTTCACTCTAGTCATCTCTACCGAAGGAAAACTTAATTTAACCATTTTGCCCGAAAAAGATAAGTAAATGAGCGGGTCGCAATAATCTATGCTGAATTATTTCTTTTCTCGAACACATCTGCAACATTTATTTTGTTTGGCAAGGCGCAACCTTCTGTACAATACACTTTGACAATGGTATACAAGTTTTTTTCGGCCAAATTCCAAATTTAAATTATTCTAATTAATGCAAAAATAAAATTAAAAACTCACCAAATCGTAAATCGAATTAATTTTCTTATTTTTGTTTATTCAATTTGGGATACAAATTGTTAAAATGTTAAACATTAGATTTGCATTTGCATGTATGTACATATATATGTTTGTATGTATAGGCCAATAGATGAATACAGGGGAGTCCCAGTGCTCCGCTCCCTAAGAAGTAGGGCATTGGACGTTTTATACTACTTCCCCACCCGCATCAGCAAAGCCCACCAACGTATGTGCAACTATTTTTATTATTTCCCCGACTTATATGCATGAATTAACGGCGTTTTTATGCATCGTAGTTCCCATTCAACATGATTGGAGTCGAGTGTCGTGGGACAATGACAGAATAGAGGCATCTCTTAAGATTCGGGTTTTTGATCTTATATTTTTCAGACTTTCTTCAATCATTAAAACTAACTTAGGCATAAACAACAGACAACCGGTCTAGCCATAGAAGCCACCTCCGCCCGATGCTGAGGCGGATGAGGATGCTGAGGATGCAGCGGCCCCGCCGCCACCAGCCGCCGAAGCGCTAGAAGAAGCCGAGGCAGAGGCAGCACCACCCCCACCGCCACCGCCGCCATGATGACGTCGACGACCACCACCCCCTCCAAGGCCGCCATACGGGCTTCCACCGAATCCGCCATAGCCGGGACCACCTCCAAAACCGCCGTAGCCAGGGCCGCCTCCAAATCCAGGGCCTCCTCCAAAGTTTCCATGGCCGCCGCCTCCGAAGCCAGGTCCGCCAAAGCCAGGGCCTCCAAAGCCGAATTGAGGAAGAGACGAGGCAACGGTGACCAGAACTCCCAGCACAATGAGGATCTTCATAATTGGTTTTCTGCCTGTATGAACGAGCGCTGAGCCGTCAAGAAATAAACTGACGGTCTCACACCAGAGCCCCAAAATAATTATTCAAAACGCTGGTCGGGTTCGGCAAGACGCTTGGGACAAATGGCCGCCCCAGCTCGGCAGCCGAACAGATCATTTACCGGTTTTCTTTTCATTTGATTTTATATCTATGTAATTATCAGCGCCGGGTGAATCCCAAACCCGTTACGATACGAACATGCATAATTATGAACCACAGCCCAACATACTCGTACTCATTTACCCCAGGCCAGGCATGAGTCGTCATCGAGTGTACTAACTCAAATGATGCTTGAGGGCTTCCTGATCTGCGTAGTTCCCCAGTGGACACAAGTGCCTGGGGAGCTGTCTGATTTTTTCTAAGGTCGATCATCTGACAAGTTCATCTTGAAAAGTTTATTCCCCTGTTTAGTTTTAAGTCGAAAGCGGTTTTGATGGCGTTGTTTCCAAAAGATGTTCACGTGGCTCGGAGACAGATCAAGGTGTTGAGGGACCCGATAATATACTGTTGTTCTCCTAATTTGACTTCGATCGCAATTTCTCCAAAATTTATTTATTCGATATATCTTGATATTCGATATCCGCCTCTGTTCCGATCGAGTTAACTGTCTTTAGTTTCCAATTTTTAATTTAAGACTAAAAATATTACACTACCTTTGTCACTCTCACAATCTACAAAAACAGTTTGCTAAGGTTTCAAGTGAATGTTTCGTCAATGTAAGTGATTTAATCGATTAGCAATTATAAGTGAAGTTTTTGATCAATATCGAAAATCGAACTTCGTTTTTTCACATAATTTAACTTAACTGAAAATCTTTCAGAAAAAGTTGTTTTAGTTCCTTGAGGAAAAATTGTGTCGGGTAGTGCAATTGAGAAAATCCCAGTATACATATGTAAATCTAGAAACCATGATTAGCTAAAATGATACAGAATATCGAAAATGTTATTTATTATATATAACCTAAATATTAGGTTAAGACAAAAAAATGTTTTTTTTTTCGAAATTTAAACGGGACACCCCTTGATTTTATTATCTATTAAAGTTTTTATTTTTATTTAAAAAATTTTTTTAGATGATGCTACCGAATTTCACAAAATTGTTTAAGCAAGAAAAAAAAAATTCTATTTGCTGAATGAATTGTATAATGCGGTGAAATATATTGCATATATATTCATACTATAATTATCGAAATTAATCAGTTATTGGCAGTAAAAAACATGCACAAGTTTTTGCAAACAAGTTAACTAAATATATCAACCTCAACTGAACTTAATTTTTTACCAGTACGTAAAAAAAAATACCTTATTATCAATATGAACTAGTTTCTTAGTTTCAATATTACTTGAAAAAATCGATTAAATTTAATTTCTTTTTTGCATATTGAACCAAAAAAGTGTATTTTTTTTCGTGGTAGCAACACCCAAACCTTAAACTAAAAATTAAAACAAAAATTGTATAATTTTATTCACTAACAAAGAACAGAATAAGTAAGTGTCCGCTTTAAAAAAACAAAAAAAACATGTTTTTGCCCGGCCCAATACATATATGTATACATATTTTTATATATGTACATAAATAGTTGCATTTATGTATATATAATTCTCTTATTTCGAAGTGTTCATGACCAATAAGGTAACCTCGTACTTTCTGTGCTATTTTAAGTTGACGAACTTCAAGCAGAATCAAATGTTTGCTCGTATCATTATCAAGCAAAAAATCACACAACCCAGTTGAGAATCCCCAATTTTTTTGGTTCTTAGAGATTCATATGTATGTATGTATAAGCTATTCAAGTATACAATAATAATGACTCCCATGAGAAGCGAACAAACAATAATTACTTGTAGCTATATGCTTAATGCGAGGCTGTTAATAAAGTCAACATCAAAGAAGACATTCATTATACATATGTACATTCATATATACACAGAATAATAATATATCTGGCAAAACCAGTTCCAGTTTCGTCATTGCGAACCTAACTTTTTATTCGTACTTCTCCCCTCGGTCACATCGAAAGCATGTGAGGGACTGGCTATTAGCGACTTACAGCGCAGGGGTTTTCCAGCCAAAAGTTGTGAAAAGTCAATTAGGAAAGCGTAAGAATTCGAGGATTTTTCGATTTGAGAGTAAATCACTCATCGAGGGAAAGTGATTTTCGGAACATACTCGAATCAATACTAATTTATTGCAAACTGGGAAACTAGGCCCCCGATAATGATTAAATTTTGCTTTGTTTATTTGTTTATGCAAAAAATCCAACTCATAATCAGTTAATGAAACCGGTCGGGCCTCAGATAGTTTTTCTAATCGTTTTATTGCCAAATTATTGTTGAGGCTTGTCGAGTATGTATTTATATAAGTCTGGGATCTGAAAATTATGTAAATATTTCAATGGTTGATTTATTTGCATTGAATTATTAATGGTTATTAAATGGCGTAGTATTAGAATGCAGTCAAATAAAATGATTGCAATTACATATAATTATCTGTCTAATCTGACAGTTAAAAAAAGTGTTCTGAATTGAAAAGCACTTCGATGCTTAAATAATGAACTCGTACTATAAATATTTGTTTATTAAAATCACCAAAATTTAAATAATTTGCAGTTGATAAAATATGAATATTAGCCGGTGGGCTCGGCGAAACCGTTGCCAATGACAACATATTAAAATGCCAACTAATGAACGTCGTGTTAATTATGTAAACGCTAATTCGCGGGCGCAATCACGGCGGGGACCGGACGAACTTTGTAATATTTTTGCGCGTTAGCCGGTCTGCTCTCGTATTGTTATTGGCCATTTCCATGCTTTTACCAGCCTCTCGCAGATCCGTAAATTGAATTACAGGACCCTCATTTGCAGTGCAAACTTTTTAATTACGAGGCCCCGGGCTAATGAACAAAGCGAACCCATTTTGCGACCGGCAACGATATCGATGCGAACAATACTCGTAGTCGTATGCGATATGCAATATGAATTATTGAATTATACCCGTACTCAAAAAAGAGTTAAGGGGTATATTAGATTTGTGGTAAAATTTCTATAATCTACATGTTAGATGTATAATATATATTGTAGATGTAGATAGAAGATGTAGCAAAAAAATGTAAAATTTTATTTTTTTTAATTCTGAAATTCTAGAGTCTTGTCCCCAGAAGCGACTCGCACGTTCCTTCTCGTTTTAATTAATGTTTCAGCGCATAATGTATTGCCTACTTTCAGCTCTAATGGAATGGTATGGCGGGAACGGCATACTTTCAGGCGCCACCTGAGATGAGCTCAAAGCCCTGGAATATTCAAAAATACCAGTACGAATACGAGTACATATATGTATACACATTGACAAATATTTTACATTTATTATATTGCTAAACATAAATTGCAGTGAACAAAAGAATCCCACAATATGGCTTGACAAAGTTCGACAAAGGCGAATGGAGCTCCCAACTCCTCCGAACTCCACAACTGTTACAATCGCACGGACCGAATGTGACTCTGTGGCAAGCCGCCAGCAGGCGGAGGCCCGTCTCAGACTAGCTTCCTCTTTAATGTTGCAGAACTGCACCACAGTGGTCTCGGGGTTTATTGCATAGTCCAGACCCCCGACTATCACAGAGGGCGCGGGCGCGGACGAGTGCCAAAGGACCAAAGAACCAAGCCAGATACTGCTCCTGCAATTGTTTCCGCTGGCAATAAAACTGCACTTTGAGGCGGAGGCCAAGGAGTTTGCTTAAGATTTCAATATGCTATCTCCTTCCCCCTATGGAGAATCGTGTGCAACAATTTGCAATAGTAAAACTATACTTAATGATAAATTTTTGCGAGGGACACATGAAGTTCAAGCAGAGAGCAGTCTGTCCAACCCATTTAAAAGATTTATATGACCATGAGTGGCATCAATGTCTTCGGTTCTCGTATACATCTGCCGCCTCCCAATAGGCCATTAATTCTGATGAAAACTTACAAAGCCAGAATTCACAACCGACCGAGTGGGGAAAGTTCTCGGTGTCTGATTCTTGCATATGATGAATTCCATGACATACATATGTAGTTAACAGCTGTTCAAAGGGGAAATGTTTTCAATCGGGACACAGCGAGACTTTTGGGACGTGTTTTCCCCTATTAACAGTTTTCACCCGAATTTCCATCCAACTTTGAATGTGTACTGATCAGAAGTCACACAAACTTATGAAAGATTAACCCTCCCTAGTTTTTGATTGGCAAAGATAACTATGTGGATGATAAAGTGGAGCTTCCTCCCCATGAAAGGGAAGGGGTTTCCAACAGAAATCAAGCAAATATGAACCTTGAATACAGCTACAAAGCTTGTTTTTGGAAGCTAGTAACGGGTTTTTATATTCTGTAAACAATATCTAGTCGAGAGAAAGAAGGGATCCAGAAGTGTGCACAGCCGAGCGGGCACGTTGTGAGCCGCGGCCCTTGCACTACTTTTATATCCGGTGCTTAGTCGGTATAGGTATGTGTATGTAATCTTGTTATTTACATGTGTACTTGTGTAACCCATACAATATATTTTGAAGCGCCAGTATTGAAATTCGCTTACACCTAAAGACAGACCTACATATTTGATTCGAACTTAAAAATATTTTATCTTTTTCCCTTTTTTTTCGGCACTGTTTTTATACCCGTACTCAAAAGGAGTTTAGGGGTATATTGTATACCTACATGTTAGATGTATAATATACATTGTATATGTATATGTAGATAACAGATGTAGCATGTAATATGTAAAATTTTTTTTTAATTCTAAAACTAAATAATCATATGCTCAAAAATGTATACATATACTGACTGAGTACGGGTAGAGTCGCGTCCCCAGAAGCGACCCCAGAAGTTCCTTCTTGTTTTAATTGTAATAATAAATTAATAATGTTATAAATATTTTATATATTTTATAATGTATATTCATATTTATATATATACTAGTTGAATTTCTCCTATTGAAAATGGGATTGGATTTTGTCCCAATTGTGCACAAACGGTATTGGAATTATACAATCCAATTGGAGCTCACTTTTTGACGAACAAGCTCC